GTGGTGAGGAATTCGGGGTAGGTTATTATTGGGGGTTGGGAAGGTGGTGAGGGGTTGTATGTTTGTGTTGGTGGAGGAGGAGGAGAAATAGGTGAGGTTGTGGGGGTTTGGGAGACCTGGGGGGGGGGGGTTAGTGAGAGGTGTAGGTGGTGGGTGGAGGGGCGTACTTGGGGAGGATTGCTGGCTTCCTCGTTCCGAGATACACCTAATAGTTCTTGTATCTCGTCACTCCGTAGTCCTTTGCCTTCTAAAAATGCAATCTTCTTGTCCGTCGAGGCATCCCTCACTTCATCTTCCCCAAGGAATCTCTTCGCCTGCTCCATGACCTTTTCTCGACTTTCTGTTTCTGTTTCTGTTTCTGTTTCTGGAGCTGGTTTCTCCTCTTCTTTGGTTGGTTTCTCTGGGCTAGCAGACTGCCATGAAGGCACACCTCCCTTCTTTTCTCCAGAATCCGAATCACTCATACTGTACAACGCGGAAAGTCAAGACAGAGAGTTTGGCGCATTCGTGTTTTGAATGTCGTCGGTTCCCCAGATTTCTGGGGCCGAGGCACGTGAAACAGGCTGACTAAGAATATTCGGCATCCTATTGGCTATGAGCTCACACCTTGTTCCGACACGGATCTGATTCTAACATCGAAAGTCACAAGTTGCGTTGGCCTCATCACCAACCATTGCTCTGCACTAACTTTAGCTTTATCAAAATATTCATTTTTAATTCGTCATACGTACATATACATATACCCGCCATCACATAAGCCACATTCTCTCCTCTCCTCTCCACTTAGCAACCACCGTCGCACATTGCAAAACGTTCTTCCCACCCCTGCCTGGATAATCATGTCAGGAAGAGCCGATCGGGCTAGTAAGAAGCAGAGGAGGCTCAGTACGGATTCCGAGGGCACGGAGGAGGGCTACGATTGGGCCGGCCTGAAAGGAGAACCATCAAAGGCTGGGAAAGCGGCGGAGAGGAGCAAGAACAAGTAAGTTGGTTGCGTTTACTCTTCCAAGTGTGCTTTTCTTTTTTTTATCATATATTCAATTTTTGAGAGGCAATGATTTGAGGGCGCTTAAACCCTGGTCAAGATTTAGAGTGTTGTGCTGTGTCACGACTCATGAATGGGTTGAGAAATCCTGAGGTACAAATAGAATTCGTGGATTGGTTGGACGACGCGTTTGCGGGAGGCAAAGAAAGCCAGGCGCGGGTAGTTCTTTGGATGTATTACCCTGCACGCGCCTTCCTCATCTGCTGCTTCCCGCGAGCCGTCACGACCGCATCGCATCTCAGCTTATCGAGGCGACGACCCGAACACCAACTTATCTCCGGCCGAGCCCCCTCCCAATCCTCCAGCCTCAAATCTTTTTATCCCACGTTCTATCCATTATGCCAGCCCGTCGCAGTCAGCGGAAGAGCTCGTCCGCAACAAAGGCCAAAGAGGTAATTGCTGATGTTATCATTGACAGACCATCGCGATCAAGTCGCAAGGCGGCGGAAACTTCTTCAGCTGTCGTCTCACGTGCTCCTCCAGGAAGTTCAACCCGGGGATTGAGTCTCACCGTCAAAACTTCAGCCAACAAGCTTAGAGAAGCGACGCGCTCTAGCCCGTTGAATCAGTCTGTCACGGTGAATAGCAGGGAATCCTTCACTGGGGGTGAGATTATTGAAGGCAAGAGGTCTAGAAATGTCAGAAAGAGCTATGTTTTGGAGTCGGATAGCGACGAGGATGAGGAAATGGAGGATGTGAATGATCAAGATGCCGAGGGGGATAGTCTAGAGGATGAGGAGGACATAGATGCCGAGGATGATGGATTAGGTGACGACGATGCGGATGGTGATGTCGATATGGACATCGCGCCGCCTCCACCAACCATCAAAATCTCCAAAGCCCAGTCCGGAAAGCAGACCATTACGGCCAAACCATCTTCTAAACCTGACAACAAAACTGTCGAGCAAAAGGAGGTCGAATTGGGCAGTGACGACGAGGAGTTGAGTGAACTGGAGAGCGACCTAGAAGAAGAGGTTGAAGAAGAGGGTATGCAAACGGGCAATGAGGAAGATGCCGAAGGCGAGGAAGAGGAAATCGAGGTCGAAGAGGAGGCTGAAGAGGAAGATGAACTAGATAGCGATCTTGAGACACCAGGAGGTGGCAGCCGTGCTTCAACCCCAGATCTCAACAAATTGACCAAGCGACAACGCGCACGACTTGAGGAGGGCGGAAGCGGGCATCTATTAGCCCTGCCAGATGGTAAAGCCCTAGATCCACTCTCCTATGATATACTAACAAACCACAGAGGTCCAAGTAAAGAAGCACCTGACGGCAGAAGAGCACGCTATGCGTCGTGCCGAAATGGCTCGCCGAAGAAAGAACTTGAGCGAGAAGCGCAACGAGGAGGAAAAGGCTTGCATACCTCCGCGGTCCACATCTTGAATACTACTAATCTTTCACAGATGGAAACAATCAACAAGCTCCTCAAAAAGCAAGCTCCCAAAACCAACGCTCGCCGCAAAGACCTGAATGGCGAATTCACCCCCGACGACGATGTCCAGAAACCTAGGCCGCAATTTGTACGATGGGTGAGCAACAAGGACGGCAACCGTATTGGCGTACCGGAAGAGTGGTTGGAAGCTCCGATCGGTAGTATGTTTCAGAATACTGTCAAGGGAGCTGGAATGGGTGGCAAGTTGATTGAAGAAGTGTCATAGATGAGAGTTTTGGGAAGGGCGTTTTTGGGAATCAACTAGCTGGTATTAGGCACCTGGTGGGAATAAAAATGTCAGATAGGGTGTGAAAAAACAAGTTATCTTCTCACTGGCATGATGGGTCTTTTACTTTAAAAGCTTGAAATCCCTACTCCATGCACATAACACGGTGAGTGTACTGTACCTCGCGCATCGTTCTCACTTACTGACAGCCTCCCAGTCTTTTGAATTTCTCCAAATTAAACCACATAGGAAGGTCAATGTTTCGCTATTGGATATCTAATACTCCGTATTCAACAACGCGGCAGATATGCCCCACTTTCTCCTTCCCAATCCCTCCCCAAGCGTGCAAAAAGTCATCCCACCCACTGCATCAATTTGTTTAATTATCGCATCACGTTTTGCACCCATGTTGCGGTACGCTGCAGCCGTTCCCAACACCATCCTCCTCCACGTTTCCAGATTCTAGCGCAGGAGGAGACAATCAGCGCTGCTTCAGCAACTGGCCCGTTGCTCACCTTGCGCTTGTCGGGCTGGGGTTGACTGGTCGGCGCGGGACGAGAACTGGAACTCGCGACCGTGGGGGCGTTTTGCGATGCTTGGTCTTTTGGCGCTCTTGCTCTTGCTCTTGTTGATCACGCTTTCGTTTGGTTAAACCATCCGTATCTTTAGCAGCAGCAGCTTCGTTGCCCAACCAAGTAATGATACATGTATCCATGAACCACTCACAATGCCACCGTCCAGACTCGTCAGCGTTTGCAACTTCCTCCACATGAAAATGAATGTACAAAGAAGTTCCTTGTATTGTGATATGGGAGCGTTTACTGCTCATTATTTTTTATCTATGTTTGTTTTTGAAGTAATGATCTCAAGTGTTCGGTCTTATATTGGAAACTTTTCTTTAGACACAATTCGTCACATAGAGAAACGCATTTGATAATTAGAGGTTCAAGTGAAGCTCTAGAATAGGTTCATTCCATCTGGCATTCCGCACGTGTTATGTTGACTCCTCCTACATCTCCATCTCCATCTCCATCGTTGTTTCGCTTTATGCCTGCTCGTAAACCACCACCAAGTGATCCTTGAATCCACGGCATACGATCATGCCAAAGACCCTTTCAGCTTCCTGCTGATTCTCCACGAGGATTCTGCACGACTCTTGTCCTCCTAAAGCCCAATTTACAGACACAGATATCAGCATCGTGTGTTGTCCTTGATTTAGACGTTCAATGGTCTTCCTGATTGACGGGAATAGGTCGAGGGTTTCTTTCGTAGGGTGCACGAGAGCGTCGATTTCTGTTTCCAGGTGCGTGAAACTGAAAGGCGGATTCTTGGGCATGTAAATAACTCCAAACCCAGCACCGAAATTGCTTCCGCTGGGGAGTATTGCTCTGTATTCTACCAGAATGTGATATTTCTCTTCGCCCTCGGCATGTTTGGGCTCTTTGCGGTGTTGGTTCATATTGTTTGGGTTTGGGTTTGAGGCAGGGGTCGGGGTTGTTGTATTTGAAAATAGATGAGTAGTTGCAGGGTGTGGATCTCTCCTCTCTTTCGTGACGCGAGGTGACTTTATATGTTTCGGTTTGCTTGCAAAGTGATTCATAAACTCCCCTACGTTATTCACGAATCAAGGCAGTTTACTCGTGAATCTTACTTTAGATTCACAAGTAAACTGCTCTTAACTATAAACCAATATATTCATGAATCACCCGGTCTACACGTGTCTGGATGATTGTTGTCATACGTATCATGAGAGTCAGGCGTGTTTCGTGCAAACTTAGAATGGGAGAAAATGAAATCACAATATCCATCAATTTGGTTTGTATCTGACTACGTATTCACCACACTTTCATGACTCCAAATTTGTGCCACATTATCCTGTCCATCCGTGAAGCTTCTCAACAGTTTCAGTTATACACTCACACGACTTTTCATCTAGCTCAAACGAGACATTACGCAAACCATCTTACAGTCAATTCAAAACACAAGATTGAATTTTATAGGGCATCAGAAGTCAAATACGAAATTAGTAACGGTTTTACATCCCCCTGAATTGTGTATTACTTTTCAGCTGCGAATAGTTATTTCGTTAGTATATGATTAAGTAAAGACTCTGAACGATTTCGTTTTCCAACCGCATTGATTGAGAAGGGGTATACAGGTGTGGAGGGTTCAGCAAGAAAAGATCACAGGGGTTTGGCAAAAGTCTATCTCCAGCCATGTTTTCCATTCATACGATTGTTTTCAGTGTGACCCACAGCCCTCAGTCATTCTATCTGCTCTGAGCCTGAAGAATGCCTCAAGTCCTCTCCTGCCGTTGCGACCCTTTCAATGCTCTGCTTCCTTTCCCTTTCCCTTTGCATTTCCACTTGCTTCTCCACCACTTGAGCTTGAACTTTGCTGAGCAGCATCCGACATCGGATGGATGAGCACAAAATAGACGTGAAGCTCATCTCGGAATCCTCTTCTAGCCATAGCTGCCAGCGCCCTACCCAGCTCCTCATCATACACGAGTTCATTTGTAGTCGATTGTCCGTCTATCGAGACCCATCTCACGAAGACCCTATGAATTTCAAATACGACTGGTCCTATTCCGCTTTCGAAGTTGAAGAAGTCAGAATAAACCAAGTCTATGATTCTGCGTTTGAATTGGTACAAAGTGGCATCATGTGGTATAAAGACCACGCCCTGTCCCGACTGTTGGTAAGACACACCGAGAAGCCCATTCAACGGCAGATAAAAATAGACGAGGAGCGGATCACCAGCGGCAACTAGTATTGGATTCCAACCACGAAAGGGTTGAGGGTTGTTGAAGTTTCGGTTGCCAGGGTTCGGATTTCCACCACTGGCGCCTCCCGCATAGCTGACATTGGGGTTGCTGATATTCGATGCGCGGAAACTCGGGGGTATACGAGGTGAATTCAAAACACCCTGCATTCTGTTGACATCTGCTGGAGTATTGGGTGCGAGTTCGCGAGGCATAGCTGTGGGGGGAAACGCTCTAGTAGTGGCGTTCTGGGCGGGCTGTGTGGTGCTGGCAGGCTGGCCATCTGGGTTTGAAGACATTCCAGCTTGGGGCTGCTGGGATCTTTGTGCCGAAGGCATACTTGGACCTGGTTCGCTGAAGATTTGTTGATGGTCTCTGGGACTTGGAGACTTTGTCTCCGCACGAGCTCGTTTCCCTTTCTTAACTTCCGAGTCATCTTCGAGTTTGACAACTGGTCCCTGCATGGAAGGCTTATCTTTTGGTTTCCTCCTCGCGTTCTTTGGAGGCATTTTCAAAGTCTGGAGTCGGAATATTGGGTATCGAAGACGAGGTTCTCTCTGATCTGAGTATCCGATTTGGGTTTGATCGGTAGCGGATTTGTTGATCAAGGTTCTGACCGATGTGCGGACAAGCAGCTTTATTATATATCCTTCCAGCAGGCTGCATGGTAGCAATTCTAAATCTGATGTTCGGTCTGGAAGCAAGCACCGTCTTCTCTGAACAAAGAAGTGGAAGTGGTTCGGATGCCAGACTATTCCAAACTCTTTCCTCGCCTATCCGCTACCAGTATCTAGTGTTTCTCGGGGGTTCAAACGTCTTGGACATTCTACCTTTATTTGCGTAAGTCCTACGTAAACAAGGATGGTTTTGGTGATTCAGAAATCATTGAAATACCTGGTTGAAAGGAACAAAGCCCCTCCCTCAATGCCAGTAAACTGTATTGCTCCAAGGGGCATCGAAGTTGACATTGTGATGGTAACGATTGGATTGCTGAAAAGTAACATCAAGGGACGTTGATTTCAAAATGAAGCCCGCCTTTCCTTTTGAAATTTGTGTATTTTAGAGCAGACCTTCGAGCCGGGGATTCAACAGCGAAATCGAGCAGAGTCCACAGAGCCATACTTCTGCCAAGTTTTTGTTGCATATCGCACTCCGGTATCGCTCCTCACTAGTTAGATAGGTATGCGCATGTTGGCAGCATCAAGGTGGAAGGAGAAGGAACGAGTTTGCTGCAGATCGCGTCTCCGAAACCGGGTTCTCGCTTAACAAAGGGGAAGGAAGGATTGTTTTGCCGGCTCTTGCCTGTAAAGGGGTTTCTTGACTTCAAACGCATCGCTCCTTCTTTATTTAAAGAGAAATCACGGTATTTTGCAAAGAGGAGAATATTCGGGCTGATTCAACAATGCTGACAGCTGTTATTACTGGATGAGAGATACGAAACGCTATGGGGATACAAGAGTGAAACCCGACGAAAAACACGACCAATCCATAACAATACCAAGACATTCACCTCGTCATTTTTATGCACAGATGTCCATGTGTCTTCAACAGGAAGAAACGGTTTCCCAAGTGCCAGAAGAATCCTCTGCGTCAGTGCTCTCATCCTTCATATCAATTAGCAGTGGTTCAATTCCAACGGAACTGCCAGCCGCTGAAGAAGCGTCTTGTCCGGCTGAGGCCTGACCCTTCCCCTTGGTCCAAAGTTTATTGCCTTTCTTCTCACGCCTGAAGAAATTGGTGAACTTTCTCCACGGCGAAACTGGCAGATGGTCCTCGGTGAACCAGATCTGGAAGCAATCGAATGGCGAGAATCCCCTGTCCCGTAACAAGCCCACAGCAGCGCTAAACAGTTCCTCATTATTCCCCACAACCCGATCCGCCACTTCATTCCCCCTGTAGTGGACCTTGGTGACCGTATTCTTATGCTTGAGTTTCATGATGTCGAAGTCTTCATTGCCGGGTAGGTCGTAAGAGATGTACTCGTTGTTTTCCAAGGCTAGGTATGTAAGCCCGATGAAGAGGTAGGAATCGAGGGTTTCGTCGACAAATTTTGTAACGTAACCCAGAGTTCGCTCCAAGTGCTCATTCCAAATCTTGAGGATGAGCTCCACTGACGGGTCTGGTACCAGTGATGTCCGTGATGGTGTCTATCGTTGGGTTGCCGGTACCATCAGACCCATGGCTGTCATGTTGGTATTGGGCGGCGTGGATTGGGTGTTCACGATAGCGGGCCATATTTGGTATGGTATGATATAGTATAGTAGGCTATGAGTGTATGGTAGAAATGTTCCGCCGGGTATGGGACAACGACAGTGGTGACTGATAAGAAAGCTTTGAGCAACGATGGTGGTGTAGTGATGATGAAGTTGTGAAGTGCAGAACGGATCGTGAGATTTGGATATGCAGATTGAAGTATCATGTCCAAGGACAGGGAAGGAGCGAACAGTGCAAATGCAGAACACGGAAACCACTTACCTCAGATCAGAACCTCATTTTCAACGATTTCCCTCCTTGTTGTTTGAGATCCAGCGACTGCCAATTCTATATCTCTGCGGAGAAGTCTACCCTTCATTGCCACTTCACGGCCCTAATGATAAAGACAATCTGCATATATATTCGAGTTCAGCCAAGCCAGATGTTTTGATTCCCTGATATTCGGGTACCAAGTTGATATAATTGGTACCCGTACATTACCACTTACTCTGCGCCTCGCAGCTCATCTTCGCATCAGAGTAAAACCTGAGTTCGTCATTCCACAACCACCAACTAGTTCCCTGAGATACCTACCGCTCAGCGGTCTTTAATTCTACATAGCATCTAGGATTGGAATGGTTTTGGAAACCTGTTGTTTCCACGGTTGCGCAATCGATATACCCGTTTGCGAGTATGCCGTGATACCAACTGTTAGCTGCGAGTCTACTTCTCATATAAAGACTCTTAGAAAGATCAGAAATCCGGTTGCGCAGGTGATAGCTGGTCGATATTTGATGAGCTGACTTGAAGAATATAAATACAACCAGCCGGTAAAACAAAATACAAATCCACCCCGAAAAGTGAGGGGAGAAGTTCGGGAAGTGGGTTTAACTTCTAGAAGGCAGTTCGAAAGCGTAGAGGCCGGGCACTGATAAGTGAGCTGTCAGATATGAGTGGGGGTGTATGCGATGTTGTGTACTTGTTGGGAGTTGGTAGTAATTAATGAAGTATAGGTACCTGTTGTTCTTTTTATGAAAGAAGAGTATTAATTAGCTCCCCAGGCCCACCAGGCTGTTTTGGAGAATATGTACCCCGGACCCCGCACCCGCAATAACCCGCAACTAAGGCTTGATGCTCAAACCCACTTAGGCTGATTTTCCTAGCTCCACCTCCGCTAGAATAAAAATAGATAGATAGAATTGTAGACTGAAAAATTGGCCTGCTTGCTTGCGGAGTGAGCAAACTGATATTATTGCGTACTCCGAGTAGATAAAGAAGAAAATGCAGCATGCCTCCGGACTCTCTTTGCTACCTTTTCATTTGGGCTTACAAATATTATAGGAAGCAGAACTTATCGTCTTCAAAACACATGGAGTTCCACGTCATGGACATAGCATGGGGTGAAGGAATCCAGTACTGGCCAAGAGCTTAACTTCAATTATTGAAGTGCTCAGGAAGGAAATGCAGGAGGCTATTCTTGCCCTCAATAACGGAGGAACAATGGACAAATCCGCGAGCAGAATATAGCCGGCGAGGGCACAAAGCCGGTTGACGAAATGCATAGCATATATAGCCAGTTGGAAACGTCTCGTTTTGAATATCAACGGTCGTAATGACCATATCAACGTCTCGCCCCGTGTATGCAGCCCTGATCCGTGTCCAAATATATACAGCGCATTCGATTGAAATATATCCTAGATCACTAGCGCAATAAGCTCCTTCAATGCTTCGCCTTCTCCGCCTCCAACTCCTCCCTCTTAACCATGGCATCAATCCTCTGAAAAGTTGCAAACCCTTCCACAAAAGCACTAACAATCCACTTGAACCACAACACCGAGCCCCTCTCGACCCCATACTTCCGCAACCTCGTCCGATCCAACATAAATGCCTCAAAAAAGTGCAGCAGCAGCGTCGGCGCAAACAAGGCCTTGCACGCCCAATGGAACCATTCCGGACCGCCCGGGAACCACGGCAGCGCATTATCATAAAACCACGTCCCTGGCACTATCCTGTGCCGCGTCGCGAAGAACGTGAATGCCATGCCGCACAGCCCGAAGATGAAGATGTGGAGTGCGCTTCGAGGGCGCTGGTAGGAGGTTATGCGGATGCTGCTGATGTCCAATGCGGCGCGGGACTCGCGGTCCATGTCGACACTCTTTTGACGCGCTTCGGCGTAGCTTTTCATGGGGGGCGTGATGGGGATTGTGTGGGTTTTGCCGTCGGCTGTTTGGAGGGTCATGGAGGAGAGACTCAGGTCGGTCAGTGTTGGGGAACGGGCTGCGCGCGAGGAGAGTTGAGAGTAGTGGCGGAGGTAGTAGGACAAGGAGTCTTGGTGGCCGGCGTTGAGATGCGAGATGATGCGCTGCTTCATTGCGGCATCTTTGGCGGCTTGGTCTGCCATTGTGGAGGTCGTGTTGGGGGATGAGGGTATCCACAGAGGAAAATGTAGCGTTTGCCACAAGAGTTGGAAGATATAGGCGTAGGTAGATGTAAAAATATATAGAATGGACGGGCGAGGTGTTGAGCTTAGCTTGGGTGGACCCCGACCTCGGCTGCTGTCAAATATTTCTCTACCACGTAGAGGCGAGGTAAGCTGACCCCTGAAAGACCCCAAAACCTCTTATGAAAACCTCAACGTCAATATCAAACGTTCATACGTTAAGTACCTATAGATCGGCAAGTCACTCCCGCTGATCACAACTAATATGACTACCTAGGAGTACATAATATGATAGTGGAGTGATTAAATTCTTTTCGATTGAAGCTACATACTATTGTTCTTTTCAATTGTCCCAACCTACTTTCGAGCGTTACGTTTCCATTACCTACCGGTACTTCCTTTCTCAATGCTAAACTATCCACTCATAAAAATGATTCTCCTTTCAATAATGGTCGCATGCTGCCGTTCAATTCTCGAGAGAGTGTGAGAAGAGTCTAGTACTGTTCTGGCATCACGGGTTCGAAAACGGCACATGCTTAAGGTCTCGCGGTCTCATGGCACTGGACCTAGAGTTTATAGAATAATACATTTCATGGGGAATTTATTCCCTTGCATTAGACCGCTGCCACGTCTCCAACCCCAGATTTTCTTCCATTCCCGCTAGAACAGAAAACCGCAAATATAGGTTTCAAGTGGCTAAAAGAATCATGTTCACGGTCCACCCCCCAGTCCACGAGCTTCTCAATCTTTTTTAGCCCGCATAATACGGCTATTCGTACCCCGCTACAGGTACAACTTTTACTTCAGGAAATGGTAGTTACGTAAAAAGAGAAGGAAAAAAAAGAGGGTTTCTATTACAAGGCGAGGTTGTTAGTCACAGTCAAGCACGATTACATTTAAGACTGTGGGCGATTGGATCCTCCTCTTCTTGGCGGGGTGGGATACGGGAGCCGGCTTATGTCGTGCGTGTTGCACGTGGTAGGATGATGATGATGCGTAAGGAATTGCGATTGATATTCATTAAGGAGAGGGGGGTATAAGAAGACGTGATTGTAGAATAATAGGAGATGAGTTTATATCGAGGATAAAATAAAGCGTGGAGAGAAAGGAGTTGGATATATTTTGAGTTCGCTCGCTTAGCTTTCATGACCCCTATTCTAAGAGACAATCACTATCATATCACGGAGAGAAAATATGTCATCACATTCGCATTCTCGCTCTGCTGGTCATTCAGCTATTGAGCGGCTTCCTTGCGAGATATTGAGTGAGATTTTGTTCTCCCTTACTTTAGCTACGGCCAGAGATGCTTCAATCCACTTTGCCGACACCCTTCTAAGTACATACACTTCAATTCTATTGTCTTTCATTATCCACTAATAAAATACTCAGATGATCCCAACACCTCAGATCCTTCACCTCTAGCTCAAAGTGCTCTCTACTCATGTCTCCTCACATCTCGGACCCTCCACACAGCTGCACTTCCCGCCCTATACCAGAATATTTCACCTAGTAAACATTCCACCATCAAGAAGCTCGGCGCTCAAGTGAATCGATACCCCCATCTCGGTCATTTCATCCGAAGTTTTGATATCTCACGCCTCACCTTCCAAGAAGACCAAAAGGGGGAGCAGAAGAAGCAAGAAGATACAATTGCGAGTTTGCTAAACCTCCTTCCGGAATTACCCATGATAGAAATACTCCGTGGCCCCGGGTTCCGCAACAATGAGCTAGATCTCTATGTCTTGAGATGTGTGCTCAGAGGCCAGTTGAAGAGGTTGAGAGTCTTGGAATGGAGTCCTTATATCACAAATTCGATGCTCGAAGAGCTGGATGCTGCACCTACGTGTCCCGCAAACGCAATCAGGAGTTTGAAATTCCGGGGTGGTGATATGAATCTTACAAAGTTTGTGAAGAGATTTCTGAGCACCATGCCGGCACTTCAAGAGCTGGCAATAGACGTCGACGCGGAAGCTTTATTCGGCATCCCTGCAACTGCAAGGCTAGAATATCTTGATCTCAAATCAAGCGAGGAGGTCATGATGGGACTCGCGAAATTCATGTCTTCTCGTGCCGAAATCACAAGTTCACTGAAAGTACTTAACTTCGCCAGGTCAGTTCTACCACAGAGCCCGTATTTGGAAGAGGCTGCAAACTTCCTGGTACACATACCGAAGATGCTACGATCACTTAATTTGAGCTCTTGTGTTCTCTCTCCGGCGAATGTTTCTGAGGTCAGGAGATTATGTGCTCATCTTGAGGAACTTAGCATTGGTGCTGGACTGCGGCTTTTGGAATTAGAAAGGATCCTTCTGTCGGGTGTTGATATCCAGGAAGATGATGAAGCAGAACAAGAGGAAGGAGATACGGCTTTGAAATACGCCACAGTCATAACACCTATTGCTGACGCAGTCGCTATCTGCAAATTGCGCCGTCGTTTGAATATGGTTGAGGTAAAAAGTGAGAAAGAGACTCCGAGGTTGAGATATCTGGATATCAGAAGCATGGCGATGGAAGAGCAGAGGAAATTGAAAATATCTATTTTGCTTGGAGGATGTTGTCCGCATTTGCGGATTGTTGAGTTTTCCGAAGAGGTGTATTTGACTGACGAGAGGATGTCGAGGGTTTTGGGGGCGGTGGGGTGGAGGGTCAGATGCAGAGGAGGGAGATTTTGGATTGAGCGGAAGTGATGGGATGAGATACGTTTTGGGGAGTTTGGAAGTAAGGTGGGGAAAATAAAAACCGGACGCTGTTCCAAAAATAAAAAAGATTGGCTCTGGAACTTACGAGGGGAAACAAGTTCCAAGTTTGATGGAGTTTAGTAAGAGTGTATGGGTTGGGATATATTATATATAATGTTTCATGACCGTAGATGAATCTCGTATATGAAATACAAAAATGGATATAATAGTCTACTCGACGTCCAAGGGGCTTCGAATTTCGTCGTTCCTGGGATTCAAACATGAGTTAGAGCTAACTTCAGCTTTTCAACAGCAATCTAATCGCTGGTTTAGCCAGTATTGAAGGTATGGTCACAGCCCAAATCAAGCTCTTCAACCATTTCCCGAGCTTTCTAGTCCGTCAGAAACTACTTCGATAAGTTTCGTGAGGAAGATTGCGGCGATTATCTCAAGTGCATGCACTCAGATTCCAACTGGGCGATGTGTCAAGGCTCGGTAAAGCATCAATAAACGGATTTCATTAACTAAGACAACTACGAAGAAGAAAGCTAGAAGTACAGAAGCAGGGAAGTTGGGAATAACCTCAAGCGCACGGACCAAGTCCCTATGCGAGTGCGACCCATAACGTGACACGATGGTCACGGTGCACATCACATCCATTTGTTAATTAGCGCTTTACCTATTCTCGCCGTTGAGAGAAATTTTCGGAATATGCTTTACCTCTTGGTAGCTTTTTTATGCGAAGCCAGAAATTTGATGATTCTGAATAAAGGTTGTCGTTATGAGTCTAGGATAGTACGAGTAGGTAAAATGACTATTCCAGACTGGGCTAGTGCGTTCATAGTACTTTAACGTCTGTCCATTTGCCAAACCGATGTGTTATCAATCCCAAACTTCCTCTGAAAAGAAAAAGGCTTGATTGATAAATCGCAGGCCAGATCTCGAGATAGCATAAGAGATTTATCCTGTGAGGTAAACTGTTGCCTAACCGTGCCGTATAAGTGTTAGCGGGGTATATCTAGCCGGATCGTGATCAAGGCCTTTCTTTATCTTTATCAATCATTAACTCATACCTCAGGTGCCTTCTCAAATTAACGGTTGATTTGCGACTTAGATGTATTCATATTCAAATTCAGCATGCCATCATCGTTCCCTTCTTATGCTCTGCTTCATGCATCTGCTCGCCGTCGAAGCAATGTCTATGTCTCCTCTCCGCCGCTCAGAACTTGTTCCGTCTCTTCACTCCTCACCAATCAAACTCTCAAAGATGAGAGACCTACGCTCAGGCGGAATTTCCTTTGAGCGAACAAATGTCCTGCTCTTGCAGCATGTGCGACTGACGGCTCCCATGAAGTCCCTCGTGGATTTCTCAACCAATGGTCTTCAGCAAGTTTATATCGATTACTCTGACTCCCTGGCAATTGAAAGGTCGGAGCTGTTCTTGAAATACCTTATTTCGACAACGAAATCGAAGGATAGCATTTGGGAGGTGGAGATTAAGCAAGGATACGGTTGGGGTAACTGGCACTTGCTGTCGACTTTTATCGAGGGGCTTCCTATCATATCAACATTTAAGTGGGCGACCTCCTTCCCCAGCCCAGATATCGTTTTGAAGGCCATCGAACTAAACCATCCAACGTGCCGTTTATTCTATCTACGAGTTGTCCTCTCACACAGTAGATAATACCCAGCGTGCGGTCTTCGATGACGACGACGAATGGCTGGACCGGAACACTAATATGCATAAGGCATATCTACAAAAAGATAGCAGAGCGCGCGACGTTGACTCCATAATCAACTCCACCGCTCTCTATTCTATCCGCGCGGGTTTTGATGGTTTTGGCAACTCTGGTTCTGAGCTTGCATTAATACATCGAATGCTTACAGGCTGTCCAAACGTCCGAGAGCTAGATCTGCATCTTGGCCAGCAATGCTGTCGCGGGTGCTATGTTAATCAGGGACTGCCGGCGTTTAACTTTAGCGAGAGTAGCAAAACTCTACCCGCTTTGGAAGATTTAAGCCTTAAGGGATACAACTTTGAGTCGAATGCATGTGGACAGGAGTTGATGGCATGGGAAACACAACCAGACACTCTTCGTTGGCCTCTCAATATGGTCCCAACTTCGGTCATTCAGTTCATTGGGTATCCGTGGCTTGGGTATTTGGGAGGTCTCGTAAAGGGTGTCTCCAAACAGCATCCAATATCATGGGACGAAGTAGAGGAAGAGACTAACCTTGATTCTTGGATTCGATTGATGGATTGGTCACATCTTCATACATTGAAGCTCCACCAACCGTCCACCCAGCTTCGAAAACTCGAACGCGATTTTATACCTAACTTGAAGCACGTTGCTTTTAGTTAACTACCTCTCCAACACATCGGCGCTAGAGTCGTTGTCGGTGCATGATATCGGCTACTTCTCTCCAGAGCCAATCATCGATATCATTCTTGATAATCACTGTCCCACGTTGAGCAATCTCAGGCTTGATAGAACCTTCCTCAATTCTACACACCTATCTCAGCTTTCGCACCGATGTCCCAGATTAGATACCTTGGACATCAACATGGATAGGCAAGAACAATGGGATTACGAGTTCCTGGACGCCCTTTCCCAGAGCTCCGATCGCTGACTATACGGGTCGATCCTCGACGGATGAACGAGGATGAAGAAGATGCATATCTTGGTTATAGCTGGAGCGAGACTACCGAGCATTATCGAGATAATCTCCTTGATCGGAATGATGAAACTATATTATTGGCCTTGAACGCATATTTGAGTAAAAGGAAATTGGGAACGAAGTTTGAGAAATTCCGAACAATGATAGGAGGACTTGATGTTCCGCAAGCGGCTAATTGATTTTAATGCCTCTTTCTTCCAGAGATCTGCCCTCCAAGTTCCTACCGTCTTGTCGATCGTACTACCTCTTTGTCACTCGGGAAAATCTCTTTTTGAGGCATTAAAGGGTATCGGTAGCTAGTTCTCGTATGAAAAAAGCATGGAAGGATGGAATGATTGGAATCACATATGAAACGAGGTTAGGTAAGTCCGATGTACTTGAACCTACCTATTTAGTATATCCCTGAATAGTCGTATAGCTACTCCAGCTTAACAACTTCCTAAACGGATCACATAAGCCCTACTTGACTTTGGATTTAGCTTTAAGATTTTCGGCAGATTTTCTTCTTTCTAAATTCGGTCCGAGTTGCTCCTCTTCCGCATTTACCTAATCTGGTTGGCACATGCGATATCTTTTTTTTTGAACGCGATCGTTGTACTTTCGATGCTGGGATTGCCAGAACTCGAAGAGAAAATGCACGAAAATATTAAACTCGCTGAAAACTTCTAATGAAGGCCAGAGTGGGATTAGAAGGCGAAACAAGTGGTAGTGAATCTTCAACTAGTTCTTTCCACTTCAAAGACGAGCCGCCTCGATTTTGGGTCATCCCAAGTCCGCTGCTCCTGATTGATTCCCAGACCAGTATCCATACTCGCGCTGACTTTCCACTCAGTCCCTGATTTCTCCCCCACTTCCTTCCACATCTTCTCGAAAGTTTCTACATTGTGTTTATACATTTTGCTTCCGCTGCTCAACTCAATTGAACCGGCTTCCAAACTCCCGATCTGCTGTCCCAAAATCAAGACTCCTTTTTGGGGCTTCATTAAAGTCACAATTCGTTCACAGGCCTTGGTTTGTCCGGCCAAGTCGAAGAGATGCAAGAAAAGTCCAATCTCTACAAAATCCATCTTCCCTTCTAATTGTTTCAACGGTCCTTCCGTATCGAAAATATCTGCCTCCATGAAATGAGCATGCAACGTTTCTCGATCTCGAAACAGGTCGTATCCCAATTCCAAGAAATCGCCTTTCAGCTCTGCTCCCCACAAATTCTCTGAAGGTGCTCCATCATGTACCAGCTTGCGAAGATCTTGCGCAAAGCAACATCCTAGGTCGAGTAAAGATGCTCCTTCTTTAAGACGCTGGAGGACGATGGGATACGAGGGTGAGCGTGAAATAGCGAGGTCGATAAAGCGAAGTTGTCCAATACATGGATAGGGATGGATTTCCCAGGCTCGATCGCGCTGTTAATACATTATCAGTTAGTCAACCATTTTATAGGACTCTATCAACGATAAAAAAAGACGGAGTCGCCCTACCACTTCCAAGATGTGAGGGATCACGCGATTGGGTGCAATATGACTGTAGCTTTCCAACAAGTCCCTCTGCGCCTCGGTGATATTTTCAAGAGTAGGCGTATACCATCCTACAGATTTATCACGACTACCAATTTTGAGGGGTGCAATGGTAGTGCTACTGCTATTTATCTCGGCGGATGACATGGCGAAGTTATTCTTGTATATTGATAATAAAAAAGAATACGAACAAAACTCGAGAGGTGCGAACAGGGTTTCAAGTATATTAACCGTCTCGGGCTATTACGGCAACACCCCCACAAACGCTGGTATTTCTAGGGGAAAAGTTTTTGAATTGATTGCTGTATATATAGGGCCTTCAGGCCCTAGCAAGCCTATAGGCAGCCGCTATAGCCTGCCAGGCTACAGGGCCACTTCCACGCTACAACAAAAGCAAAGACATATTGCAACGCGTCTACTTCAATAATGCCGGTCTACCGGCCGTCAATAGTCACTTGGATTCCTAAATCGGCTCAGAACCACGAAGAGGCTGTTTGACCGTCGGAAAAGTTCCCCGGAACCCTCAAGACGGCCGACCCGACATAAGTGGAGGATACAATGCACAAGTTGGCTGTCTGTGGCGCAAAGGATAGGGAGAGAGAGTCCATCGTCCCGCTGCCGGGGAATAGAATCCATGGAAAAAATCAAATTCCTTTCATACTCCGTATGCGTGGGCTGTTTGTTGATGTGCCGAATGCAGCACTTTATCCACTGCATATGCGGGCGCGGAGAGAGCCCCCCCAGGAATTCCTACGTTCCACGAACCAAACTCGCGAGTTGAACTTCCCAACACCATTGACAGGATCGCTATCCCTGTTTCTGCAGAGTCCCCAGTAACAAGATTATAAACTCCCGAGCCCCGATGCTACATTTACGAGTTTACTGCCGTCTTGAAATCCGCCTGTTCGGTAAGGTGTGGTATACCCTGGAGTAAATTTCGGAAACACGCCACACGGCCAACGAGCGACTTGAAGATGGGCGCCACTTTTTTAATTCTTTTTTCTTTGGACTGCAGGACAATCCTGGTGATAGGGTCTTGATGGCGGCTGGCCATATTAAAACGGTTTGACATCGAAATTAACTTAAGGTCTTGACAAGTTCACCACCCTTGTGCTTGCTTTAGGGTCCAATGGACGTGGATTTCTTTGATGTGTGTGATATGAGTTGCATTACCAGCAGGGCAGTTGAGGTCTTCCGGCCTTCGTTGCTGCAGGGTATAGCATAAATATGCAGGATGCAAAGGCAATTCGAACAGGAATGATGGGCCGGTGCCAGGGCTGCTTGAGCCCTGTTGGAAATCCCCAGATCGAGGCACTTGTGGTTTAGAATTGGAACAGGCAATTTGAACTCGATAAATATATAATTGCATTAAAGATCTAAGTTCGGTCTCTAGCTGTGTATGCTGCTAAGAACGAATGAGGCATCGCTGCTGCTTTTGAAAACTCCTCGTTATGCTTGCTTATGCAGCATGTATATTTTTGTCCGCTACCACATGCTCTCCCTCTTCATCAGACCCCAGACTAAATGGTGTCCATGAGCGAATGACATGTCCCTTCCACATTAGGAGAATGAGGAAGAAAAATGCGAAAAGGGAGAAGAACGCCATCATGCCATAGAACCAGCCAATATTGGTCTTAGCAATCCATTGGGTTGCATAGAAGTTGATTGATAGTCCGAGGAAGAGACGCATAGAGTTAACAGGAATCGTGGCCTCGACGGTGTGAGATCGGAAGCACTCGGCAATGTAACTACATCAAATTAGAAGTGGATAGAAATATTTGGCCTGGAGATACTCACTTGACGGTTACTGGAATGCTAACCATGGATCCAATAGTAACGAAGATCTGGCCGAGTGCAAAGACAACCCAGTGCAATTTGTACATCAAGGCAGCACCCACAAGCCCAAGTCCCACCGGCATCATAAAGAAGTTGGTAAGCCAGAGGGCGTGGAGACGATACTCGGGTTTCCAGACTCCTCCGTGACGCTTGGCGATCCAAAGTGGGATTCTGTCACTGACAAATTGTCCATATACCAGTCCGAAGATAAAGCCAATCCAATGTACAAATGTGACTATAAGATAATCAGAATGGGGAGCTACTGTGCAGAAATGGATCACTTACAACAAGCATTTTCTGTAATGGTAAAACCATAACCACCATGTTTCTTAGGCTTCTGGAGCCATACGGGAGTCAAAGCGTTCAAGGCCACATAAAATCCAAAACTGATGGTATCAAAACCAGCCACTGTAAGTAGGACCGGAGACAAGGCGATTTTGAATGGCAAGATGGCAACTTTGGCCTGTAACATCTATTAGTCAAAACACGGCACAGAGGCTTTGTTATAGGTACCGTTTCAACCAAAGTTGTTGGCTTGATCACACTATTGCTTCCGGGCAGGAAAGGGAAGAAAGTTTGGATACGGTTGGCAATCCAACTTTCTGGTGGTGTCAGGTTGATGGCCCCTTCAGAGCGATCGAATGAGGTCTCTTCCAGGAAACAAAATACCAGAATAGCTGTAAATGCAAGCAAGCCCACAGACCACCAGTACTCAACTGGCCAGTAGCGGTTGGCGGCAATGAAGCCGGAAAAGGTTGGTCCAGCCGATGCGCCAAAATTCAAAGCCAAATGGAGGATGGTGAAGACTCGGCCTCGTTGATGAAGGAAGAACAAGTCGACCAAGTATTTTGGACCGAGAACACTGGTTACCATTCCAAAGAAGCCGGCAAGGAATCTGGAACCAAAGTAGGACCAGTAGTCGCCCTGTTTGGTCATCTTCGGCGCCCATATCTGGGCTGCGAGACATCCAAGCAACGCAAAGAGGATTACACAAGAGCGTCCAAACTTATGAGCAAGTGGCGAATAGAAGAATCCTCCACTTGCTAGACCTGCAGAAGCGGCCGAGTTCTAGATGAACGTTAGAAAGTACCCAATAGAACTTTAGACCATTCAATTACAAAGTAGGTGATTTGAACAGTTGTTTTGTGATAAAGCTTTGCTTGTTGGACCAAGTTTAGCTGGCCACAGAATGGAGCTGAATATCCAGCAAACATTGCAATAGATAAAACAGCAACCATTCCACATTTCTTGCGAAATGGCCAGTTCAAGGGATCTCGGGGGTCATCTAGAGGCGTAGGAATGAGAACGATGCCATCTTGTTGTGGTTTTTCGAGCTCAGGGCTTGGAGGGCCGGGGTGGACTGTCTCCTCGATGGACATTTCTTTGTTTTCCGTCATAGTGCTACTGGTAGGAGGTCTTTGATGTCGTCAAAAGTTTCTACCAGATTCCACAAAAGAGGTCTAAGATCCTTCGACCCGAGATTGTGGTTGGGACGCAGGTTGACGGTTCAGTTGAAGAAAAATGCAACTGATGGCTTAAAGTGTCACAAATAGAATACAAGGAGGGCAGGATGACAATAATAAGAAGTAAAAATAACCTTGCAATAAACGCGTGCCAGGGAGCTACAGCTTGAAAGAGCTTTGCAACCTTGGGCGGTATAGGTTCTGGAAGCAGAGAAGGTTTGATATCCTGGGGCTCTTCGATAGTGCTGCTACACTACAGTCAGTGCGTAATGCACTGAAGCACCCTGAAGAGTCTGGATTGGCCAGCTTGTGACCATAGAACCGCAGAACTCGCAGGGATAAGTCATTTACAAAGTGGTCCAACTTCCAAGACGCGAATGCAACCACTGCTTATCTCGTCTACGGGAGTAGACTCGTCAAATAATGGCTTGCATAGAATCCTGGAAGCAATTTGCATTTGATAGGCGGCGGGCCGCGGGGGATCACCTAGTCTCGATTCTCAAAATCTCAATTACGACAGCGGAGATGTAGCCAGTTCCGGGGCGATTACGGAGTAAGTCCCCAGGATGCGTTTCGACAAGGATGAGGTTGGACCACACCATTGATCCGAATCCTCATGCCCCGCTATTTGGCTTCCGGCCCGCATTTGATCAGTCCCGGAAATGTTGGTTATTTAATCCCTAAATTTGGGATTCCAAATGTACAGCGTATTCCCGACGAGGATCCCCACGAGCAGTATCCCAATTTTCATCATACTCCTAAAGCTATAACTCTAAGATATATAGGAGGTATTTTGCCTACTTCTTAGTCAGTCTATACTGTTAAGTCACCAGCTTGCTGCTTGAGGGAAAGTTCAGTTCTGGAAAATCGGCCACGGACAGAGATTTGTATCCAAATCGTGACGGGTAGGGTAGTCCCTGCATATTACCGGAACACTTCCGGAAATTCTATACGCTCTGACTGGTCAATAAGCCACCCGAAAAATGGCGTGCAAGCCAACCACCCCCCCCCCCCCCCAATTTGCATACCCTACCTGTACTCGAACGCATATCTACTTCTGTTTCAGTCCACAAAAGCAATCCATTTATGCAACCTCACTTTCTAGACGTCCTCTTCAAGTCTCTACGAAGTAGCCTTTAGTAGACGTTTAGGTAAGAATACTCGCAAAAGCCCGAAGTGTGGGGTTGATACTGGAAAAGCAAATTCGCAGAGAAATGCCTCCCGCACCAGTCGGATAGGCATAGGCATTGAAGTTCAATAAATGGAAGAGCGAGGTTTCGAGCCTCGTAACGTTTTAATTTACAATCCATGCCTCCAAGGATATTTTCTTGAAGCAGTTGTCGCTGTACCTTGCATTACATACCATCTCTATGTGGCATGTCAGCAGGACCCGGGCTACCATACGAGTACGGGTGAAGCCGTTGCGGCCATTCAAGCTTGAAAGCTTCTGAAATGGCTAGTGTTCGTGCTTTCTTGAACGCTTGTAGAACTCCAATCAGCAGGCCCCAAGACAGCCAGGTTTTAGTCGAACCCAGGGATCTTATCAAATGAACTATGGAGACAGAAAAGCAAATAGGCACATTGCGACATCTCCACACTTGCAGAAGTTCTGGGTAGTGTTGATGTTTCCGAATACCTCGTCTTTTTACCCTTGTCCTGCGTTATAACATCCCCTTAGACCCTCTCGTTGTAGTCAACTCATTTCTTGATGTAACCGTTGGATTTCCACACCCAGTCAGTCTACAAACAGTATCGTATGAAATCCATAGATTTCAGAATACGCACAGAGGTTGATCCTCACGCACAAGGCCGAAGCTCTTTTCCTGGAAGTTACGATCCGAATCCCCTGCCCCATGCCAGCTTGTTATAAGCTTGGATCCCCCAGAGGACAAGTTTGACATCGATTTAGACATCTCACTGCAAATCCTTTCCTATTGTTGCTGCCAGTTCCAGATATCTGTATCCACCGGATCGATAATGGAGTCATCGATCAAGCAGATAATCGATCGTGCTGCTAAAACGTGTCCGCCAGACAACCCATCGGATGTCGCTAATCGTCGATTGTTCGCTTGGGTTTCGACGACGCTGGTGCTGGTGCTTGCAATCTTGAGTTACGTGTTGCGCATTTGGGCCAGGAAAAGGTCTTTTCAACCTTTGAAATTGGACGACTATTTGATGGGCGTTGGGTTGTTGATCACACTGGAACCAGCAATCTGTGAATATATGCGTATGCAACCTCAGCCAAATACAAGGAATGAACGGAGTACTCACATGTTTGGCAGTGATGGCAAATGGGCTCGGCCACCATATTTGCCATGTCTCAGCAGAGCAAAAATATCATTTTTCGAGAGTAAAACTTCAGGATATGTCCAATTTCTGCAGAACAAAATCGCTAATATATGTAGCTCACATTTGCCCTTCAAAGAGCTAACCAGCCAGCCCTGGTCTGTATCAAGAGCTCGATCCTCTTGTTCTATATGCGTCTTTTCCCGTCGAAGAAATTCAGAATATTCGCATATGCCAATTTGACCTACACCATTGGCTGGGGAATCGCAACATGGTTTGTCAACTTGACAGTCTGTACGCCCGTCGCATACTACTATGACAGGACCATTCCCGGCGGACACTGCAAGAACCAAGTTGTCAGCGGGACTGTCAATGGTTCCTTGTCTCTGGTCGGGGACATATTCATTCTAGCACTTCCGATTCCGATGGTTTTTCAATTACAGATCAACGTTAGGCGAAAAGTTGCGCTCGGGGGCATCTTCTTGCTCGGCAGCTTGTAAGAATCTCAACTCCTCTTTAACAATTTTGAAGGCTCACTTTATACCAGTGTTTGTGTAACCAGCGCTATCCGAATCGCAGCTCTCATCACATTCACTCCGAACGACGCAACCTACACGCAAGTATATGCTAGTGGCTGGACCTTTATGGAAATGGGCGTAGCAGTTATTAGCGGCAACCTTCCTCTCATGCGGCCACTCTTCGAAAGATTTTTCCGTATACGAGGTGTCAATTCGTCAAAAAACGGCAGCAATCCAACTGGTTCCCATCAGCAAAGCAACAATAATCTTACTGGCAAGAGTAGGTTTGCGTCCAAGGTGGATGCAGATGGATTCGAACGGATCAGTGACGATGGAAGTAATGGACCCACACAGCCCAACAGTCTCCGGGATATTGAAATGGGCGACAGAACTATTCTGGTCAAGACAGACTTTACTGTCGAAGAAGAGCAGGCGCAGCCATTTCCAGAGGAAAACATTGGCAGAAAAGCGAAGCACTTTTCCAACCCCATGAATAAGTAAGCCTATCTGAGTATATGCCGTTATAAAGTTTTGAATATACGGACGGGAAAAGTTATCATTGGGTTTGCTGCTTTGTAAGATATTGATCACGTCGGGTTCCAAAAATAGAGTGTGCATATGAATATAGACATACAGCCAAATGACTGCACATAGAGGTTGATTTTAAGATAACATCTAGGCCGCAAATTAATTCTATGACTATTAAAATCATTGCACAGCTAGCCACTGTATTGAATTTAGATCAGAAGGTCCAGTCTTCCGTGATATTTGAAGGTGCTATAGATTGATAATTTCGATTCTAAATGCAAGCAAGCAGGTGGTGGAGATACCAATTTTCTTGAAAGATGACGGAGGTTGCATTTCAAAATCCAAAGCCATTTCCATTGTGCATGACATTTCGTGATATGCATTATTGAACGCGAAGACAGCCATGCAGAATTTAGCAACGTTTGAACCTTGTATGACGTTGCGTCTAAGAGTTTGAGCTTCCCACTTGCCACAAGGACTCGGGATCAACTTCCCCGGTTGACTGCCCGCATCTACTCAGGTATGCGGCACAAGACATCAACGTGAGTGCCACATGGGAGTCATTCTTCTACCTGGATACGAGTTCCGAACGTTGATTGCCAATCCTAATACCTCGGCGGTAAGCCATGAGCCTTGTGTAAGCAGTGGTCCATTAGACTGCTTTTCAAAAATCAAGTTGCTCCATGGTGCCTTTTGTTAAGCCGTATCTCTCCTAGTCTTCGTAGATGATGGTTGGAGATAATAGAGAGTCACGGTTGTCAATGAGCGAGATTTTTGTTCCTAACGACGCGCCCTCCTTTCTCAATGCAACCTAGTGGCTTAGATTGCACGTGCTCATATTGCTTAATTTCAACCACCTTACACTTCTTCTCTTATGAATATTCATCATAAGCCGAGCTGAGAACACCGGTACAGACTTTCCTTCCCTTGTAAGGCATACTCTTCGTCCTTCTCATCCTGTGATGTTGTGCCTGACAGTTCCTGACATCGCGCGGCTGACGGGCTGACCATCTTTTCGAAAAGTCCAGGCCAGACACATGCCGGATCATGACTTTTTCATGGAGGCGGCAAGGCATTGGAATGATCCGTATCACACGACGAAAGGCCAGCTTGCTATTCTTGGGTGGCTTAAAAGACTTTGTACAGATGTTTCTCCTTCATCGACATCGGGACGCTGATTCCGCATCCCCATCCCGCCTTTCCAACTGCTGCCTCGAAGTGGTGTCTAAATGCCGCGTCTGGTATAACCTAAAGCGTTCATGTGGTTGCTGCCTTCAATGTCTATGAATTAGTCAACAGTGTTGCCCGTTCATTAAATGTGGTATCTTACGAATCTCATACACTACCTGCCAAGACCTGAGTGACACTTTTCCATCCTATCATGCCCACCAGGTAGGATGGAGAGGGACGCAATCCCAGCTAGCCACTATGTTTTGCACGCGGCTGTCCATCGGAAATATGATGTTTGCGTTTCTATAGGTCTACTCGTTCTTTTTGCATGTCCGTTTTAATGCCTCCTTCCAATAATGCCAAGCAAAGGAGAGGCAGTGGTGTACTGATTAGAAGAAGATGGGACGAGATGCGGAAGCAAGAAGTCACTGCATCTTACATTTCGAACAGTTATGATGGATCTGAATTAGTATTTAAGCATTTCCAAGGTCCGCCTTCCGCCTACGCATCTACTATTAATCTTCTCAAAACCCCTCAGCCACAATCTATTAGCTCCAGCAGCGTCAACCTCATCATGAGTTACAAAACCTTAGCTATCTTGGCTACCCTTCTTACCCGTACTGTTCTCGCCGGTATTGATAATTGGCTCTCACCAGAGTGAGTACCTTTCAAACAATGAGAGTTATGAGCTAGTTTTAACTTGGAAATTTAGGTACAAGTTTATCTTCCAATTCCCACTTCCCATCCCCTCAATTGCGCAGCCCATTACGAGTTACAAGAATCCAAGCACGGGAGCAACAATTGACTACTTTGAGATTGATATCGTTCCGTTCGACAAGCAGACTTATCCAGACCTAGGCACAACATCCTACGTCGGTTACAATGGAACTGCTCCTGGTCCTACGTTTCATATGACCAGGGGCAGAGAGGCAGTTGTGAGATTCATCAATAAATATGACAGACCCTCTTCCATCCATCTTCATGGAAGCTACAGTCGAACCCCTTTTGACGGCTGGGCAGAGGACCGCACCTTTCCTGGGGAATACAAGGACTACTACTATCCAAACGCTCAACCAATGAGGTAAGGACATTGATCTCTTCCTGAGTTACATGCTGAATATATCAGGACCTTGTGGTACCATGACCACTCATTGAGTATTACCGCCGTCAACGCTTATTTTGGGCAGGCAGGATTCTATGTGAGTCTGGTAATTCCACCATGAATATCAAATGTTTACTAGAATAGATTCTTGATGATCCCGCGATCGATGCTCAACTGAAGCTGCCAAGCGGAGACTACGATATTCCCCTTATGCTGGCAGCCAAGCAGTTCCTACCAAGCGGCCAGCTCGTCTCCCCTGCAACTACACATGTAAGCTTATGGGGTGACGTGATCACGGTCAATGCACAGCCCTGGCCGTATCTGAATGTCGAACCAAGAAAATACAAATTCCGTCTTCTTGACGCTTCTGTTTCGCGCTCGTTCAGCCTCTTTCTAGTAGCAGACTCGGACCCAAACACCAGACTCGAGTTTATTGTCGTCGGAGCCGACGCCGGTTATTTGAGCAGCTCGGTTCCTACTAAGTCGTTGGTGATTGCTATGGCAGAGCGTTATGAGATTGTCATTGACTTCGCCAAGTACCAGGGACAGAATCTGACGCTGATGAACGAAAGAAAATTTCAAAATAACCCGGATTATCCCGCCACGGACCGTGTGCTTCGTTTTGTTGTTGGAACCCATGTCTCAAGCACTGATGGAAATGGTGATGTGCCTAATCAGCTCGTCACACTCAATAATCCAGAAAACCATCCCGTCATTGACAAACAGTTTACTTTCGAGACCAAGAATGGACAATGGCTTATCAATGGCGTTGGATTCGAAGATGTTCAGAATAGAGTACTTGCATTTCCGAAGCAAGGAAAAGTCCAAAGATGGGAGTTGATCAACAATTCTGGAGGTAAGTTACTTCTCATTTCTCATATTGAAGTATTGTGACTCTTCTAACATTCCCCAGGATGGAGTCACCCAATCCACATCCATCTCATTGATTTCCAAGTGACCAAGCGCTCAGGAGGGCGCGCTGCCGTCGAGCCATACGAAGCCACCGCATTAAAAGACGTGGTATACCTAGGACAAAACGGTACGCCCTCCACCAGTCCATTCCAGCTCCCCAACATCCTCCTTCGCCCTGCTAACCAACCACCCCCCAGAAAAAGTCGAGGTCGTCGCAAACTTTGCGCCGTGGTCTGGTGTCTACATGTTCCATTGCCACAACCTGGTGCACGAAGACGACGACATGATGGCCGCATTCAACGTCTCGCAGGTCGACCTCTCCGCTTTCGGCTACCCGGAAACCACCTCTTTCATCGACCCTATGACCCCCGCCTTCCGCTCCAAGCCCATCTCCTCGCTCCCCTTCCCCCAAGGCACCGCGCAGTACTTTGCTGATATCCCCGTCAGCGTGCTGAAGCGGTTCCAGGACCTGAACGCGTACCCGGATAGTAAGGGCGTGGAGAATGCGTTGAAGAGCTTTTACCTGACTGCTACGGATGCTGCCGTTGCGCCGGTTAGTACGGGGGGTAGTGGTGGTGGAGGGGGAGGAGGCAAGACTACGTTGAGTACGCAGACGAGTGGGACGAAGACTAGCACTGCGAGGTGATAGCAGAGTTTGTTTCCAAATGCCATGGAATACACGACTTGAAGGATTTCATATATCTGCTTCTATGCCTTTACATCTATTTCACCACAAACGTATACGCCTATCACAAGCTAACTCGCTACAACAAAACCACACATATAATCTTACATTCATTTCCCCAGAAATAGATTACAGTATAATATCCAATCAGGATTGTTGATAAGAGCTGCGTTTTTAGGTACAGTACAGTAGCCAAGTTCATGCTATGGGTTATAACTAAGATCCAGAGGCGATAGACTATAGATTTTCAATTTCATTGCATTGCATTGCATACGAGAACGAGATGTATGTCGTGATGAGATAGAAATCAAGAACTAACATACCAGCTTCCTTCATTCCTACCTACCATAGTAATTAATCAACCAATCAATTAATCGATATCGTAAGTGCGGGGTGTTATTTGGTAGGACCCCCATTTTACCCTCGGGACATCGTGATCCGACTCCCTGCACAGCGAAAATCAAGCCTCTAATTATTCCGCACTGCAGGCAGCGGTGTACAGAAGCATCTCCTTCCTCTAGTAGTCTAAGGACACTGAACTGCGGAGTCGCACGCGGGGGAAAATGGGGGAAGTGGGGTTTGTACTGTATCTAGGATGGGGGGTTTTTCTTTTCTTTTTTTGGAAATAACCATTTCTCTATCACTGTCTAAGTGCAAGTACAAGTACAGGTGCAAGTGCAAAAGCGAAGGCAAACGCGAAAGCAAAAACTATGCGTCTCCTTGCTACTCATTCGCGTTATGCGGTATTCTTGTTTCTGTTAAGCTCGGGTATATTGTGCGAAGGCTTGACTGGCAGTTCGTCTCCGGTTGTAGATCTGGGGTATGGTATCTTCGAGGGGTATTTCAACGAGACATCGCAGTTGGATATATATAAAGGGTAAGCAAGCAAGCAAGCAAGTGAAAGATGGAAGAAAAATAGAGAGACAGACAGGAGAAAGAGAAGACTCCAACTCTATGTCATGAATTGTCCTTAACTTCCAATTTGTTGAATGTTGGGTTGGGTTTCCAGAGTTAATTGGTTGATTGATTGCTATTAGGATTCGCTATGCATCGCCTCCAGTCGGAGAACTGAGATGGCAGAAGCCAGAACCGCCCGCTGTGAATCGAACAAAGGTTACGCCGGCCGTGACTTTTGCACCAAGATGTCCCCAAAGCCCCAATGCACCGCTGTAAGTTGCGTTCCAAGTCACCTCAATAAGCCCTCTGACTAACAATCTCTCAGGTCAGCGACATACAACTTCACAGCATCTGGGCTTGGAAATGAAGACTGTCTGTTTCTCAGCATCTACTCTCCTCAAAACGCTACCAACCTCCCCATTATGTTTTGGATCCGTAAGTCGTCTTCCACGCTGCCGCGAGAAGCTATATATATTCTCATGCTAACCTGGTTGAACTCGCAGATGGCGGCGGCTATGGCAGCGGCTACGGAGTAGACGATTTCTCCGAACTCGTCATGAGCAACGCGCACGGCTTCATCGTAGTAGTGATCCAGTACCGACTTGGAGCCTTCGGCTTCCTATCCTCTTCGGAAGTTTCGGAGTCTGGAGTACCGAATGCCGGACTGCATGATCAGCATTTTGCGCTGGAGTGGGTGCAGAAGTATATTGGAAACTTTGGCGGCGATCCGGCTCGCGTGACGGTGGCGGGGGAATCGGCGGGTGGGGGCTCGGTCATGTTGCAAGCGATGGCTTATGGTGGGACAGAAGGGACGGAATATTTTAATAACGCTATTGTTGCAAGTCCGTACCTACCAATGCAGTGGGATTTCGATGGGGTGGCACCTACGCAGTCGTACGCCTTGTTTGCACAAGCTGCTGGTTGTCTTGATGCAGCAGGAGGAAATGAAACAGACGGAAATGTATTTGCATGCCTTCAAGCAAAGGATTCTATAACATTGCAGAATGCCAGTGCTCAGGTCTCGGGACATGCAAAGTATGGACAGTGGGCTTTTTTGCCAGTCACAGATGGGGAGTTCGTACAAAAGAGACCAACGGAACAGCTACTTGCCGGAGAAGTCAATGGCGTTCGGATTCTCTCAGGGGTGAGTTCAGAGACTGGAAATTCTGATGATGTGCTAACGAGTCTAGAACAATGCTGATGAAGGTCCTGGCTTTGTTCCCCAGAGTATCGAAACGAATGAAGATTTCGACGTCTACCTTCAGGATCTGTTTCCACTAATGGACAATGAGACACTGTCTAAACTGGCTTTAATCTACAACATCCCAGCTACCATTCCAGGTCCTCTATTCAGCACCCTAGGTACATCGAACCCAACTGCATTGAACCAGTCGGAATTTGCAATTGGACAACAGCAGCGAGCGAACAACTTGTACGCCGAAACAACATTCGTTTGTCCTAGTTACTGGCTAGCAAGTGCATATTCATCCCAGCAAACAGGCCCAGCAAAACAATCTTGGAAATACCAATACTCCGTGCCGCCATCTGAGCACGGTGCAGATCTCGACGCCTATGAGGCTATTGGCCGGGAGGCATTGGGACTTGGAACACTCTCGACTGGGTTCCGCACTGCTGTGCAGAAGATATGGGGTCGGTTCATCGTATTCAACGATCCAACTCTTCCCGCTCCAATAGTGAAGAACATTGTCACTTTACCAAATGGCACTTTGACTGGGGATAACTTGACAGCAGCCGGGGAAGGATTCTGGCCGACGTGGGAGGGAGATAGTAATAACGGAGCGGCGAGTTACAGAATGCTGAACTTGAATATGACAGGTGGACACGAGACGCATATCTCTTGGGATAGTGCAGACGGGGTTACGATTAACGTGACGCAGTATGCTGGTCCGGGACTATCGGCCAGATTTGACATTGTTGATGCATGGAGTTGGGAAGGTGATAGAGGAGCAAGGTGTGAGTTCTGGGCTGATATTGGAGAATTAGTACCCGAGTAAAAGTAAGAGCGCACAATATCAAAAACGGGACGGTAGCTTTCAAGACGAGAGAAAAGGCACTTGTTTCATGAATGCTAGTGGTACCTTGCCTGTTGCACTTGGCTGCTTACATAAGCGTCTGTGGGATAAAACTCTTCATCTCGATTGGCTCGTCTTAACTGAATATACATAAAATTATCTGTCCATCACTTTTATACTAGCTCTGATCCCATTTGTCGTCCTCTCTGTGGCCAGCATTGTTCAACATACCTCAACAATGAGAATGGTCACGTGACCAAATATACTAGCTTCATAGCCGTGGATGCGGGGTGGGACTTTAAATGCTCCGATACATCTCTCTCTTAACGAACCCCTCTTCCAATGCAACCGATATACCACTTATCGCACCTAAATGCTTCCTTGGAATAAAGGGGACTAGTGTTAACAGCATGCTATATTAGCACTGGTCCACTTTTCAGAATCCGTAACGTCGATCTTCACCGGTGAGCCTGAATTGAAACACTTGATTGCCACTCTACAACTCTCTCTCACTCTGTTCTATCCCATTCTACTCACATCACTACTGAAACCAAGCTCACCATCTCTCCTCTCCTCTCGTCTAAGTCTTCCCTCCACTACTGCTCTACAAGCAGTCCTCTAGCTACGCGTGAATCAATCTCAATCTTGCTTAACCCTAACCCCCAGCATCCTTCATATAAAATATATATTAACATACCCAACCCTACCCCGCTCCCGAAAACCAAACACGCCATCCTCCACATCCGCCAATCACAACCCCACCATGGGCCCCGCACCCGCTTCCAGCCGATTGGTCCACCCCACGCCCTCGTTCGGGAGATCTGCACTGCACTGCACTCCACTTCTCCACCTCCACTGCTAAGCAAATAACGGAATGACCGATGCACGTACTATAAGATACCTACCAGTATCCTAGACGGTGCGGTTACGCAGCCTCGTCGTCCCCAGGAAACCGAAATCCAGAACGCGAGAATGAATTCCTTCATTCGTCGAGTGTGTGCTGCCTGGCCGATGTGTTTTGTGGGAAGGAAGGCTGGTGATGTGGGGGTGGGAGTAATTTGGGTGGGTTTTGATTTCTGTCTTTGCTTTTGCTTTATGATGGGATAGATAGCATGGGATGATTACATTACATGAAAGAAAGCAACGTTTTTTCATTTTTTCTCTCTCACGCAAGAAAGAAAGAAAGAAAGAAAGAAAGAAAAACCAAATACATACATACATAACAATTTACACATCTGAATACGCGGAATCCTCTACCCGATAACCTTCCATATACTAAATCCCTCCATCAGCTTTCCCTGCCTGCACCAGCCTTGATCGCCCCCACAACCCTCTCCATTCCTTCTCCCTGCCACGAAGCGCGTTACGCGTACGACACCTCCCTTCCCCATGTTCTCCATGCAATCCTCCTCCTCCTACGCCATCACGAGCTCTAGACTCGTCTAGGATTCTACCACCTGGTAATCCTCAACGCAGCCAGTCTACGGATGCACCATCCCGAATATCCCGGCTGATGTATCTATCGCTAAGGGCCGCTGGCATTTGCGTGGATGGGGATACAGTACGCAGCACGGACGGCTTACTTGGTAGTTCTCGCGCTGCTGTGTAACTTTTCGTCGGGCTGTTTTGTGTCGATACGATCGATTCCGCCGACTATGGGTGAGATCGGGACGTGCGCGCATCGATCGGTATGGATGTCGCGATTGCGGCGGGGTCGGGTGTTGATTGGGAATGCGGGTGCATGGCATCTATAGTGCAGAGGGATAGGATTGAGTCTAGCTGGCATGGCGTTGTGCGCTGCGGTAGCTGCGGTGGTTGTGTGCTTGATGGCTGTTGCGCGGTTTGCGAAGATGGGGTTGAGAGTTAGGGAGGGTTATGTATTGCCTGATTCGGATTTGCATTTTTTAAAGGGTAGGTTGTTTAGGAAAGGTATGGATTAGAGATTTGTATATGGGTAAAGATAGCGAGCGTTGTTTATAGACTTGCTTTCCCTTGAGACTCATATGGCATGACAAGCGCTAGTACACCGGCGAGGATAAAAAGAGCCCCGCTTGTATATACCGGTGCAGATGTCTCGAGATTCGCAAACATTGCAATGATAGGCTGCAGCGTGTTAGTGAAGTGCACTTTTAGATAACTAGTTAATGTACTTACTGCCATGATGCCGAAAATTCTGTTGGCCGATGCCGTCAGGGCATTTCCAGTCCCTCTGTCTTTGGTAGGGAAGATCTCCGGGGTATATGCATAGAGAACAGCGTACATGACGTTACTGCAGAAATTGTAGGCGCAATTCCACCCCAGCAAAGCATTTGAACTTAAAGCCGACGTAGAACCGTACAAGAACACCCCAGTAAGGGCTGTAGAAACAGCAAGAGTTCCCTTTCTTCCGAATCTTGGAAGTTCGATGAGGAAACAACCTAAAAGCACCCCGGGAATGCCTAATGATGCGATGATCATCGAGTCGCGATAGGTAATGTATGTAGACCCATCGCCGAATTTTGCTCCGCGAGAAGCTTGGATGAATGGGAGGAAGGCATTGTACAACGGAAATGCCAATCCGATGAGGGCCCAAATAAGCATGATTAGGGAAGTGGAGAATGCCAGTTTCGGCGTGGCGAAGAGTGCTTTGACATGAACTAGGCTTAGCTTTTCGAGCTTGCGTTTGAGTTGAGCCGCACTGTCGGTTTGAATAGCTCCACCAGCTCCCAAGGACTCGCAGGCTCTGAGATCTTCAATAGTCACTAGACGTCTGTCAGTATTGCCGTGAAATCAAAAGAAGTAGACTCACGGCTGGAAACCTTCCCATTTCTTCGTGCAACATCATGGACGACTCTCACCGCATCCTCATCTCGTCCCTTGCCCATCAAATACTTGGGGGATTCATGAATCGTAAAGAAAACAAAACGGATGATAAACTCAAGCATAGAAATCCCTCCCATAGCAATCACAAAATATCTCCATCCCATATTGTTCGACTTGGTGCAAGTTTCCTCTTCTTCACAAGTGAGATCTCCTAAGAGTGGCCAAGCAATGGCAGTAGCTATGAGTTGAGCAAAAGCCCAATCAATCGACAAGGCATTCAACAGCCATTGATGAGAACCCGGGAGGAATTCCAGGAAAACAGCCGAGTCAACTGGGAGGTTACCACCGACGCCAAAGCTCCACAGGGCAGCGAAAATGCCAATGGCGGCAAAGTTGGGGGACCCAGCAGCAATGAGGCCAAAAACTGCAGTCACACCAAGCGTGAAATTGAAAGCCCATTTTCTGCCCCAGATGTCACATCCGAAGCCCCAGAATACCGCCCCAGCCAGGAGACCGATATTCTGAGAGAGTGAGAGAAGCGGTGGGCGAGAGGGGTTGAACTCATTTGATATCGGTTTTACTATGATAATATTAGCCCGGTGTTCTTTTTCTTTTTCTTTTTCGACTCTTGTCTCAATATATTCCCGTGACGTAGTACGTACAGATCAGAGACGTGACAATGGGCCACATATTATCATTTGCCCACCCGAACCCCACCACGACAAAGAGCTGCCAGTTATACTTGCCCATTCCAATTTCCTGGATCTGCAAAACATCAGTATCATGCCATCATCACGTGCGGATACTGCGTGCAACCTACTGCGTGATTCAAGACTTTCGCTTTGGCCTCATAGACAGGATCAATGGTTCCCGTGGGCAGAGCAGCTACATCACCAACAGCAGCCAGCGACCCGCCCTCGCCCTCGTCCTTCGAATTCGCATTCGAGTTCAACTCCTCACCAACCATCGCAGTCTTTCCCACCGTATCAGTGTCAGGATCCTGCACCCGGGTCCCAGTCTCAGCTATCGATGCGTTATGCTCATGCTCGTGCGACATATTGAGTAACTCGTATGCAAAGCCGTCGTTCGGCCGACGATACGATCTTAGCATCAGAAACCTCGAAGGAGAAACGAAAATAAAATAAAAGAAGGGATGCGAGTGCGTGTCTATATATACTTATATAATAAATATATATCTATGTACGGCTATGTTTTAGTGTAGTGGGATGCAGAGGAATGGATTCGCAATTAGGTCACAGATTGAGGTGCTCGAGCCCTGTCCTACTCTAGCTTGTCTGGGGAAGGCGGGAGTTCTAGCCCGGGGTGTGAGTCGCACATATCCGTAATTCGCTCAATTGCGGGCGAGAACCTTCCTGCAGGATTGCAGATTTGCAGATCGTGTGGGGGGATTTTTACGGCTATACGAATAAAAATGTAAAATAAAAATAAGAACAAAAAGGTGGTATTCAGTCTCTATGTTTTATCTTAATAATTGACACTTCAGAACATCCGTGCCGCTGTCTGTTTTCCGTCCCGAGCGGGTGGCGTTGGGGCAAGTCCGTGGGTATTTACTGTCATGGTGGCGTTGGGACAAGTCCGTGTGTCTTTACTGTCACGACAGCGTATCATGCAGTACGGTTCCAGTTCTCCGCATGCCGAGATGGTTATTTCTGGATATAAGACAGGGCAGGGCAGGGCAAATGAATAGTGGGCTTGAAGTTAAGCTTATTTGAACGTCCATCTACACATGTCCATCCAGGAGAGTGAGGCTTTCCAGGCAGATTCATATCAATCACCGTGTTACCAGTACAGGCATACCAGTATGAGGCATTGATGTCCGATTTGACAATTTGTTGTCTTACATACAAATGACCGCAGTGCTCCACCCCTCAAGCTACCTCCACCACGCCCATGTTACTTCACACTCCATCATATCCACGCACTTGATTTCCATCCCCATACCTCTCGCCACTCGTTACATCTCAGAGGGAAATGCATTTAGCATCCAACGTAGATAGCTACTTTGTGTCAGACAAGCTTCACGTAATTATGAGACGATGTTTCAAAACATACCATTGGCGTAAAGAGCGTACGAGTCAGCATTTAGTACAGCCGAAGCGCTGGAAAGAGCAATGCTGGCACTGTATCCATATGCATTATCGTCCGTTCCTGGGCTGTATGTGGCAGGAGCATGCGTCATCTCGTGGAGCGAGGTAGTTGCGCGATCCTGAGCATGGCAGGTGCTGGAGAGTAGAGGGAGATCGCTGTAGTACAGTGGGCAGTTGACGATCTCATTGGTAGACGGGAGGGTGTAGGCCAAGACGTTGGATTCGCAGTAATCGTAGACATCAGTGCAGTAGTACTTGGTTCCTCCAGATGTGATGGACCCGCATTGAGTCGCAACGGCGGACAGACGGGCAGCGACGGTCGAGCGGACAGATGATGAGGTGGTTTTGAAGTACTCGCTGAACTTGCTGGATGAGCCCGATTTAGCTGCGGTTGAGGCAGCCCGAGCGAGGGAAGCGCAGGAGCTGAGTGCGGCGGTGGTGGCTGCTTTGTTGGAGCTGGTGCAACCGGATTGGAGAACTGTACGTTCAGCGATAGTCATTTCCGGGATTGCCTTGGGGGCGAGTTTGGCAGCTTCTCCATCAACGGCCATTGTGAGAACATTGGTCTTGTATGTCACAGCATTATCGGTAAGCTCCTTGGAGTCACCGATGGCGAAAGGAATGGCACCCTCGGCGCTGAATGAGTAAGTTCCGGACTTGAGGTCATGAACTGCAGCCGCATTGATGGTTGTGTTGAAACTTTCGCCGGCCGCAAGAAGTTTGAAGTAGTTATCTGACAAGTCATTCGAGTATTGAATGCTTCGGTACACTCCCGTAAAGGCGACAGGGGCATCTATACAGAATTAGAACTACGCTCCATGAATCTCATTAGTAGATAATGGTTTAACGAACTGGCTTCATCAACAACAGCCAGCTTTTGAACTGGTGCGGCGTCCAAGAAAGTGCCAAGAGTCAACAGGTTCAAGCTCTCAGCGCCAACGTTCTTGACCGTGGCGATCACATCCGCGACAGAACCCTCAGCAGCTGTGAGAGTAACTTCCAATCCAGTATCACGTTTCCCGTTCGGGATAGATGCAGCATTGGCAACGGCGGCCAGAATTAAAGAGGCCCGAGCAAAATACATGGTGAGAGGTACTGAAGCTGGCTGAGCTTTTTGGAATGCTTTACGGTTTCTGAGAGATCGTCCTTTGGATCTTGAATCGGCCGATAATGAGGGTTGATAGTAAGTAAGTTCTGCTCGTTACGGACTTGATGGAGATATATATACTTTTCCTGCGTTCTATTAAATCTTTGCGCGATAAGGTATAAGCAATGGCCTTATCCAATATGTTTGTTGAGGCTAGGCGCGGCATATCTCATACATTGTTGCTAGTGTAGCATTCAAGGTCGCTTCAAATTGGAAGGTCACAAATACTCGTATCGTTGCGACCACATGGTTGAAGTTCTGGGGAAGTAAACACTTGTAGCCGCGGGGTATAGTCACCAAAGAGGCAGCCAAGATTTACAAGAACCGTATCGAAGTAAATAAGTATGGTAGCAGCTCCGGTAGTTGCATGAAATGCACAAAGGAAAATGTCCAGAACATGGATTTCAGCCGGAATTGGCGGATCGGTCCTGGGTTGAACTTATGCCTCTGCTGTAACCCATGCAAATGTTCTAGCGAGCAAAGCTTTGGTATAGGGCAGAACAACCATTTTCAACGCGCAGCACTCGCTGTAGGGTACTTCTGGGAATTTACTTTAAGCGTGGCTCGAGATAATACTATTAACAGTAGTTAATATCGAACACAGCAACTAAGTGTAACTCATAATGTGCTCAATAGATCCAAATATCAACAATCAAATGTACGCAATATAAAATCAGAGGGGAATCACGGGATTTCTGCATTGCCGTAGGTAAACGAACAGTATCTGAAGAAGTGAAAAGAAGGTAAAGAACGAGTGTTAAGCAAAACGGGAAGGCGACAAGACGTCTAGGTTGCAAGCGCTCTTGGCTGCTTGGCAAGAGTGACAGCCATCAGAAAGTGAGCCCAGACTGAAGGACTTTTTTCCTCCATCTTTGACATGTAAATCGAGCGTCGTGGGATTGCCAAGGTGATATATACTTGGCTGCAGAATAGCTTTCATGCACCCAACGTTAATCAAGTTCGAGATAAAGATTGATGTACCTGATCTTGACCGGTTCGGTCCAAAAAGCTTATCGATCTAGCTTGGCGCAGCTATCACCAGTGTTTCCCCTCTTCTAGAAGTTGGCAACTTCTTCTTGAAGGAATGGCCCGTCTTGGCTATGGAAGGCAAATGATAATATCAGATTGCAATAGATCAACCAAATGATGGTGCCACATCGCAAGACTCCGATAGATCTGGACTCTGGAGGCTCGCGACGGGTATTGGTAGCTCGTACAGCACGAAGACGGTGTTCTCTCTCCACAAGAACCTTTGAATAGTCCAAGCCGTCCCTAGCATCGATCAAGCCGCCGATTTTGAACCTTGTGCTGGTACTTGGTCTCGGTTAGGAATTGTTGCCGGATAAATAAGACTCTAGATGGGGCTCGATCTTGATATTATTGTGAGTGTGGCTGCGAGAGGCTCGGCAGCTTGACAGACAGCCACCTTCCAAAATAAGCATCGTACATTTAATCCCTGACTAGTTGTGTGGGGTTCCTGAAATCGATTGCCGTGTCGTCATGCGGAGCATCTCCAGAATGTAGCCACTTGAGTGTGATGCAAACCAACTTCCTGTTTAGTTTGCTTCTAAACGTCGAGTTAGAAAAGTAAGTTGAGACGAACTCCAGAATTGATCGGGTTCTTCCATCAGTTAGTTCCAAACTTTGCTTACCTTAAACTGGACGCTTCGTTGGGATGTCCAGGCGTTGAGTTATCGAGTATTGCTGGACCAGGTCGACACATCTTCTGATTCCCTGCCAATCTTCACGAGGTCGCCAGCCCGTAGGGAAAGATCGATGTACCGCCGTATCTCCACCACCACTACGGGCGTACTCTTCCTTCTTCTCACAACAACTTATTTGTTCCTCTCGAGACCTCTTTCCAGCGCCGTCGAGCAAGAAGCACCCATCATGCGCTCCATACCCCTTCAAGTCAGCCTCTCCAAGGAAAGCTCTGCCAACTCAGACTTGGGATCTGCAACTATCCATGTGACCGTCAAAAACACATCTCCAAACCCAGTCTACCTCCTCCTTTGGTCATCACCTCTAGACCCTCGTGCTGTAGCCATGGGGACTGTGAAGTTTGTTTCGTCAAAAACGAATACGACAGCGCCGTGCTTGAACATCAAAATTAATCGCAAGGTCCCCAAGTCCGGATACTTCTCAATCGAGGATGATCATATCGTAATGATTCCAGCTGATGGGACTGTTCAAAGAGCTCTCGAAGCAAGAGAGCCAGAGGTAGCGTTGACAAAAGGCGAGAAGTATTTGGCCAGAGCGCAAGGACATTGGATGGGAGTCTGGACGCAAGGGAATGACGGAAATGAAGTCAAAAAATTGAGCGTGGAGGATGGGCTGACTGGGGAATTTGAAAGTAATACGATTGAGATTGAGATTCCAGCAGAGGGAGGAGAAGAACTATAAAACTGGGTGGTATACCGAAGGTGATTTGGATGCAAGTATTGCGCTATCGCAGGGTATGAAGAGGTACAAAATGCACATACGGTATACTTCAGCCGATGATAGGGATAATGATAAAGAACATAATTTGTTAAAGGGCTAATATATAAAAATTGTGTTGTTTTGGAAGGAGGTTGAACAGCTTGGTGACGATAAGTTTTATCTTGAGGTCGCTAAAGTTTGGACGCCCGGCCGCACCAGACCAGACCTCGTTGACTCCGAGACACAACATCAACAACACAAGGGAATTGTAGGTCCGGCCACCGTGTATTCGAATGCGATCCCTCTTGCACATGGGATGATCCAAAGTTGAAAGCTTCTCCCGGACACCACGTTCAGCAAATGTCCGAACATCGCGCACAAGCCCCCCATGTGGAGCTTGCTCTCCATCAATCAGATCCCAATCGACGGGAAGATTGGGCAGAGGAGAGAATGAACACGATTTATTGAAGACTGCGGAACCAAGAATATATACCCAGTAATAGAACTTGCCATTTTTGCAGATGCTGGCTCGAGAGCGGGCAGATACACTCAACTTTTGACCAGCGCGCGTTCCTATTCGCCCGGTCGTACAAATCAGGAAGGAACGGCATATGATATAGGAGAACTCATGTCATAAGGATTATCGATTACTGGGCGACGGTTCCAGGCTTGATATACTGTATTTTCTGAGGACAAAATCGCCTGGATGAACCTTTTCAAATGTGAGAGCGGCCTCTTTAGCATGCGTTCGAAAGGTCAACACACAGCGACAAGAGTCATCTTTCGTGTTCCATTAAGGGAAGAGAACTCTTCAATAAAGTTTCTCTAACACCTACTATAAAAGCTATTGGATATCTCAGGTATTTGAGACTTGGTCCTTCAAAGAGGCTCGGAATTTCTCTGGGAGAAAACCACCGGCCGTCAGATGTGTGCTTTGCTTTCTCACCAATTAATTTTCTTTCTCCCTCATGTACACAATCGCACTACTTCCGTTCTCTTGGACTATTTCAATCTTTAAACCAAATGTTAAGCTATCTAAGTCGGCTTTCTATTAGAATCACATTACCACGTAAGCATTTTGGTCGCACCATTCTTTCTCCCGTTATCCCTTTCTTACGTCCGTAGCGAGCGCCCCCAGAGCTGACAACTCGGGGTCTGGGGCAGCCTCACAACCTTAGCTGCATCAGCTGAGGCATCATTGGACAGTGTGCCTTGATTCGCATCGCGAATGTGGTAATTTCTACAAATACGACGGGCTGCTTCGGTGCTATTTCCACATCGGCTTGTTTCGTGCAGATATATATTGCTCCGCATCCGACTCGTTTTGCGGCTCGGATTTTACTTCCATGATCATGTCCTTACAAAATTTCTTTGATACAATGTATACTGATTTCGACAAGTTTGTCTAATGGCATTAGCACAATTCATACACTGTCATATACTTCGATTTAATGGTTTCTTGGTTCCATGCAACACAAGCTTTACTCTCATTGTTGGTGTTGAAGTCGCCGATTGCATGAGCTACAACAGCGGCCTAATATTTCGCAGAAATCATTTGCATACCAATCAAAATTGATAAGTTTGACATGCAATAAAGATGGAGACAAGCAAAAAGACCTCACAGACAAACCCCGTGGCAATCATAGAGCTGGACCCGAAAGAAGCAAATCTTCCCGAAGAACAAAACCCGCCAGTACTTCCAAAATGGCGATTGATTTGTCTGACAGTTAGGTATACTTTACCATCATGAACTCCAGGGCCCGTCTCTAATTTTCATCTTCTAGCGTTTGCTTTGGCCTCTTCCTCTCGCTACTCGATACCACCATTGTCGCAACAGCACTATACACCATTGGTGTAGACCTCGACTCTCTCCAAAAAGTCACTTGGGTCGCGCTCTCTTACACACTTAGCTATCTTGGTTGCGCCGTGATATTCGCTCGCATCGGAGATATTTTCGGGCGGCGCAACGCCTACATCGCCGCCTTTCTCATCTTCTTCGCCTTCTCCCTCGGCTGCGGATTCTCCCAAACCCTTGGCCAACTTATCGCTTGTAGAGCCCTGCAAGGAATAGGTGGCTCGGGTCTGTACTCCCTCACTTTTGTGATCCTGGCGGAAATAAGCCCGCAGGACGAGAAGATGGGACGGACGATTGGAGCATTGGCCGGGTTTGTGGTTGCTATTGCGGGTGTGCTTGGGCCGGTTCTGGGTGGGGTTATTACGCATTATACGACGTGGAGATGGGTATTTTGGATCAAGTAAAGTTTCCATCCAGTCATGTCCGCACTTTCAATCTCTAATTTTCTCAGTCCTCCTATTGGTATCATCCCTTTGATAATGTTCGTAATCGCCTGGCCTAACCCCCACCAAATGACCCCCAGCCTCCGGCGCTCCTGGAAACAGCTTGATATCACAGGCTGTATTCTACTCATCGCCTCCACGATCCTCATCGTCTTCTCCTTCCAACAAGCCGGGATCCGCTCTTCCTCCTCCTCTACCTCCTGGACTGAACCCATCTTCCTCGCTCCGCTGCTGACCGGCCTCCTATGCCTCTCCCTTCTTTTTATTTGGGAAGTCCTGGTAGCCAAGTACTGGGAAGATAGCATTGCAACCATGTTCCCACTGCGCCTGATGAGGCGTAGAGTATATATGGGCTACGTACTCAGTACTCTGATAGCAGGATTCCCGTACTTTATGGTCATGTTTGCGCTCCCCATCCGCATGCAAGTCGTCGGCCACAAAACCGCGCTGATGGCCGGTATATCGCTCTTGCCCATGCTGGGCACGATTGCGGTGGGTAGTATGCTCGGGGGCGCCATAAACGGGAACCGAGACTACAAATTCCCTACTCTCGTTGTGGGAACGATATTCATGACGATAGGCTGCGCGGCATTGTCGACGCTGAGGGCCGAGGGAGGGCTGCAGGGCGGTATTTATGGGTTTCAGGTTTTTGTTGGCCTGGGTTTCGGAGTGCTCATTTCGACTGTGAGCATGGCTACCAGTCTCGAGTGCGAGATTCGGGATAACAGTACGCTCTATTCATTACACCTTCCCTCACCCTTTCTTTCCCCACATCCCACAACCACTAACAACCCCACGCCCTACACAGCCGTAGCCCAAGGCATAATAGCCCAAGTCCGCATCCTAGGCGGCTCCCTCGGCATCGCAGCCTCGACGTCCATTCTCGGCCTCTCGCAACGCCAGCACCTCTCCCATCTCGATGCGTACGCCGATGCCTTTAGCGCCGATATGAAAGTAGCTGCCATTGTCGCTGGCGCTGCTGTTCTGGCTACCGCAGTTACGTATAGAAGGGAGAGGGTGAATGTACAGGCTAGGGTTAGGGAGCGGGTTGTGGAGGAGGGGGCGAGGAGGAGGGCGTTGGCGGAGGCGGAGGGGGTTTTGAAGGGGGAGGTGCTGGATGGGGAGGTAGGAAATGCGGTCGCTTGATTAGTATGATATATATGGGGCTGTTTTGAAGCTTGGAGTTAGGTGTGTTGCGAAGGCGTTTTGATAGAGGTTGGTTGGGTAGGTTGGTATATACCGTATCTATAGTCTGAATTCGCACGTACATGAACGTGGATTGGCGCGTTGGGATATTGGGTTGTTGGGAAAAGGAACTTAGGTATGTTAGGTATGCGTTAGCTTTTCTGGGTGAGCCAATTGTCGTTAATCACCGTTGAGAATTCCCCCTAAATAACGAATTTGGAATAAACCAGTACCATCTATCAATTCCGGCATGGCATGGAATCGAGATTTAAGAATTGTGTTGCGCATAGGTCTCGTGGGTCGAGACCACATCACGAACATGATTAGATTTGTAGGTTAATATATACATGTTTATTTTTCACTCCTATCACCATCAGACTTTACGTCGCCTCTTCGCAATACTCCCCGTATTCCCCGCATTTTCCTCCGTTTCCCCAGCCTGCTCATCAAGTTCCTCATCCGCTTTATCAGCAGCCAAACTAGCCTCTCGAATCTCCTCACTCCTTCTCTCCGCACTCCTAAGACTCGCGATGACCTTCTCGACATCGGCGGACATGGCTTTAGTATCCTTTACAATCCCATCCTCATCAATCTCAAAACCCACGCCCTCCCCGCGTCCCTTTCCCATACTCTGCCACCTGCCGCCAAAACCGCGTTTGGGATCGGGATTGAACATGATGGCATTGGCGAACATACGCATTAGCTCTTTTTCAAGTTGTGCGTTGTTGATGATGCCTTTGGGTGGGATGAGATCTTCAGAGATAGGAAGCCAGACGCTGGCTTGTGAAGCGTTTAGATCGTCTGGCGCAGCGGCTGTGGCTGCCTTATGACCAGCAACAATAGCGGAACGGATACTTTTCAAGTCTTGGGGGCGAAGAATGAGGTGCTTGTAGCCAGGTGCATCACGCTCTTTGATAGGTGCACCAAAAATGCTGGCACTTTTGTGGCCAGATATAGTTTCTAGTGCTGAAGCTGAGATCTTGACAAATGCACGAGTCCAAAGCACTTGACTCGGTGGAGTGGATACAGGTCGCGATTTGGGAACATTGCCAATGCTACTGTCTCGCTTTCGTTTTAATGTCGGGCGAGGAGAAGGCTCTGCTCTTGAACCACGTCGAGGAACAGCAGATGATTCATCGGCAGTGGTGTCACCTGCATCTTCAATGCCAACAGGAGTTGCAACTTCTTGCTTCACGTGATGATGGACATCATTGTCCATTGACATTTCTTCAGCGTGAGACATAACAGACTGGCTTCTGTGGGACCCAGCAATGACTGATGATGCGGTGCTGCCAGCTCTAGTGCGCTGCACGTTTCGGCGGCTTGGCTTAGCTGCCTTGGAGGACTCAGGTGCTTTGGTTTCGTTCTTCTGGGATTTTTCCTCAAGGGCATCCTTTTTAGAGTCTTGCTTTGAAGCTGATTTCTTAGCAGTACTCTTAGGAGGAGGTTTCGCTGATTTAGCTGAATTAGCTGATATAAGCACAGGGCTCAGAGGCTCAACAGGTGGCGGTCTAATGTCACTGTTGGGACGAGGCGTTGTAGGCGTCGCATTTGGCGTCCATCTCGTTCCACTGCCAGTAATATATGCATGAGGAATGCCCCGAGATAGTGGAGTATTTGGTAGACTTGGGCCTCCTCTTGGTGTTTGATTTGGCAAGAGCTTTGGCCCTCTCGGAGCTTGGTTGGCATTATACGGAGAATTGTACTGTCTGTTCTCAGGAGCAATAAGATCTGGACGTGGGAATGGAGCTCGGGGACTTGGAGGAGGTGCGAATTGCTGAAACTGTTGTGGGGCTCCAGGATACGGTGGAGGATATGGTAGATACTGGGCTTGTCCATTCACAGGTGAATGTTGAGGTTGATATTGTGGTGGGTAGGCTCCAGGAGGTAGAGGCCCTTGCTGCATCATAGGAGAAGGTGGACCGGCACGGTCCTGCTGGCCAGCAAGATGTGCCAGAGCATCCATTCCACTCACGCTCCGAGGCCTTCCTGGGGTATTTGGTGGAGGGGAGTGGATATTTTGTGAATTCAAAGGAGAGGGCGATGATGGTACATATGGATGCGGGGGCGGTAAACCTTGAGGCGCGGAGAAGCTTCCTCGAGGCGGTAGTGGGTACCCTTGGGGAGGATACTGCGGAGGGGAGAATTGAGGGGGGAAATGTCCAGGTTGGTATTGCGGAGCTTGTGGAGGCAGCCCATACGGCTGCTCCCATTTCCAGTTGTTCTCGGCCTGCTGAGGATTTGGTTGTAGGGCAAGCTGTCTATGTTGAGCTGGAGATTCACTGCTTTCTGGTCTCTGTGTTTCCATACTTGGTCGAATGGGTTTTGCTCCGTTTTGTTGTCGTAGATCAACTTGAGGTGAAACTGGCGCTGCGATCTTAGAATGGCCGTTTAAATGACCACTGGTTGGTAGAATTTCTGGTCGCGACTCGATCCGAGGAGATGGGGCTTCTATCGTAGAGACCTTTGGTGGTAGAGTCACTTCCCTGACAACATCAGCCGGTTTGGCTTCTGGAGGCTTCAATTCTGGAGCTTTCAGTTCTTGTGGCTGTGTCTTCGTCGAAGTTATGCCATTTGTTTTCCCACCTGCATCGTCCAAACCTTGCGAGGGTTCCGTAGATACAGACACGGCATTACTCTTGTTTGCGTCAACTAAATCCTGATCTTCCTTCAATATCCTCTCATCCCATTCCCCCCTCTCAATCTCATCTATCTGCTTCTGCACCTCCGCATATTTTCTCTCGTCCTCCCGAATTGCCTTGGTCATGTACTCTCGATACCTCGCATACAGGCGATCGACGAGGAGGGGAAGCTTGTCCTTGTGTTGCTGCGCATCCGCAAGACTTGGAAGGGGAGGACTCTGGAGTTTGCGCTTCTTAGATCCAGGCTGAGAGCCATCGTCCGGTGTTCCTTCCTTTTCGACTTCCAACTCTTCGTTTAGAAGCTGGAGATACTGTGCTCGCAGTGACTGTGCACTCAATCGCTGGGGATCAAAAGTTGGGCTTTCTGTGACAAGCGCGGTGCTGTTCATCAGTTCGGATATCTGCGAGAAGACGTCGTCCTGAGTACCATAATAGACGAGGGACTGGAATAGCAGCAGGCACTCGAGCGGCGTGTATGCCGCTGTCGTAGCCATTTCTGCATATGTCCCTCGCCACCGATCGAGGAGAGGACTGCGCATCTATTATTATGAGTATCTATGCTTTTGTTGGGGGAATCCGAGCATGGAGAGTGGTGAGCCGGGGGTGGAGGAGGCGCTCCTGATTTGTTGGTGGTTCGATGCGACCGACGTGTCTGGGGAAGACATAAATTGTTTTCCGATCACCACCGTAGCTGCCAAAATCCGAAGGTAATCGTTAGATGGGAACCAAACAGGCTTAGCACGCCCCACCTAACAATTCGATTTACTTAGAAGTAGTAATGATTGGATCTTTATACCGAGTTATTAACTTTATTATATGAATTATGGACAACTAAATCGATAAAAAGTTCTATTAAAGTTATTGAAGAATAGATAAACTTAGGATAAATTTTATTAAAAAGAAAAGCTTCCAAATTATTGACTAAATGTTATAATAAATGAAGCTTAATGTAAATTTCCATTGTTTATTTATCTCTGTAAATGTATAGATATATATATGATCTTTACATCTCTTCTGTCTCCACTATTAATACCTACTATAAATGCTACCTTATGATCTCCTTTAATCATGCTATGGCCTCTTATTATTCGCGTATCAGATTGCAGGCATCATGCTGGGCTCACTCCACGGTGCTCGACCCTCTTCTCCGTATGACGGCTAACTACCGCATAATAATAATATCCTTTTATATTCTCAAACTTAGTATTTCCCGCATGACATTGATATAATCTCTGCCTTTTCGTCTACTTTCCACAAGAGAAAAGGGGAAGAGGAGAAGAGGTCAGAGGGAAGGAAGGTGCTAAGACAAGAAGGCAGATGACACTAGCCCGCGACCCCTTATTATGCCAAATTAGCTCGAGGAGATCCGCATATTGAATTTGCCCAAAACCACCTCCACGTACCACACTTTCCTCTTCTTCCTATACTCATACCCTACTTCTATTCTTACCTACTACATCACTCATCCATCCTCATCCCAAATTGATCCTCCACTAAACTTCAAAATGTCTGACGAAGAGCTTGACCGCGAATGGCAGCCCAGCAGTGTCAGACCGCAATCGTACGCCTCAAAACACCCCAAAGCTATTACAACATCTAATAAATCCTCAGCACAATGGCGCGCTCCTTCTCCCTTGCCCTAAATGATCTCTTTAAAATCGACAACAGCCTAGCAGATCTCGATGCCGCCGTCTATGAGAAGTACGTTCCCCTACCCCTCACCATCGCATAACCATGTCTCTCACACAGCCTTACCAGGAAGAAAGCAGTAAGCACGCAAACCACCGAACTCGAAGCCCTCGAAGCGCGCCTGAAAGCTACCGAAGAGCGACTCAAAGCCCGCGGCGCGTCTCCCCTCCCCAATGAGAAAGTCCCCTCGGGACGATCGAGCCCTCGACAACGCGCCCCGCTCGCCGCAGACACGTTTACAGATACCAAGCCCGAAGACAGAGCGCCGACTAGTCCACTCTCTTCACAACCGCCAGCTACGGGAAGCAGACCCCAGACGGCGAATAGGCCAAAGACGGGGAACAGGGGTGACAGTGGTGCCCTGCCGCCCATGCCAGGGGCTTTACCACCTACACCTGGTGCTAGCGAAGGTGAATTATCCAGCTCCGAATCCGAATATGTGCTTGTCAAAGGCCGTACTGACCATTCTGGGGTCCAAGATGGCGATGATGCTGCTCAGCAATGAACACGATATATGTCGACTGCACCTGGCATAGATGGGGGAGAGTGGGAAGTAATAATTATGCGGGACGAGCATTTGATCAGTTAGATTACGGGCTTTGGTTTCGACTTTGCGTGTGGTCGTTTTGTTTGGGATGGGCGTAAAGCGGGATGGCATGGTAGCACACTCGTTTTGGATACGGATACACACCTCTGGCGGAATGGATGTGGGCAATTGCTTTTGTATATACCACTGATGAGCAATAGATGATCTTGTCTACAGACTTCTTGCTACTCTCTTCTACGGGGAAGCTAGCATTATGAGACGAGAAAGAAATTTACTCTCTGGACAATTGGCCTAGAAGCTTGAGGTTGTGCTACGCCAAATGTCGTAGCTCTTGAGATGCGCATAATGATACGCAGTCTTGATTGCTGACTTGTTCACCACGCTGTAAACCAGCAGAGACCGGAAAGTATTTAGTGAGTAGGCCCTCCTTTGCTTGTTTGCAGCTATTTCTGCTTATGTCCCATATCACGACTGCGTTTTGAGCATATGGAACACTCGAGCTAGAAAGTGCTCAACAATCAAACGGTTTTTGATATAGAGCGAAGCATCTTATACCTATTAGATCATACTGCTAATTCCAAGAGCGATACTAGAAAAATCGCTCTATCTTTGCTGGTGTACGTCTCATAGATAAAGTGGAGAAGCCTCCCAGTGCTTGGACTAGATGGCGTGGGCACGTGTTGAATGCGTGTGAAGAGAATCTTTGGCTTCCCGGTCAGATGAGGTCTGGAGTGCTTGTAAGTCACCTGTATTTGACATCTCAGGACCTTATGACATTGAAACTGACATGGGCACGTGCTCAGAAAAATAGTCCCTAGATCTTCCGTCTGGTCTGACGATACTCTTTGCTCTGGAATTGTCATACTTTTGGAATGGAGGTGTGTAAACACGACTTTTGCTCAGGAAGGAGCGAGTTGGGGGTTTCGACGGAAAGGGGAGGAACGGGTTAAGGAGCGAGCTTTCTTAACTTCTGCCGACGAACGTTCGACTCTTCAACATCAACTTCGTCAATTGGATCCAACACCATCATCAAGTGGTGACATTCAAAATCACTTCCCATTCTACTAAAACTATCACGATTCGAGACGCATTCAAGCTTCCTTCTTTCAGACTCTCCACAAGCATCTTGAGGATACCGAAGGACGAGTTATTGGCGAGGACTCGACTGTACCTGTTTAGTATTTTTCCACCAAGCTCCTAAACCACCTCCTCTTCTTCAACTTCAAGCAAGTCCAAGTGCAATCCTAGTCCGCCTCGACCATGCCTCCAATTCCGTTTCGAACGCATATGGGTCGCACGAATGTAGCCAACAACACGGGGTTGAACCAAGTGGTGAACCCAAGAGATCCCACCCAGGAAGCCAAAGAGATCTTACGCAATACATTCCAGGAAGCCTTGGACAAGATGTCTCCTGAGGACCGCGAGAATCTCGTGCAACTGGCTCTAGATGCTACACAGGCCGAGGAATCGAAGGAGGGACGTTGGTTTTTGACTCGTGGCTTTCCCGGGTTCTTCGCCTTGGTTATTATTTTCGTGGCTATTGTGTACTTCAGGAACGACTTGGTTGAGAAGAACCTGCACGCTGTTGTGGAGGTGGCCTTCAATATAGTATGGATCCACTTTTGGCAACACTACATAGCACATCTGCGCAAGGGTATGGGCATCAAAAGAACCCTGCAATGCTTGGTGTTCATCCCTACCTCTATCACTACTCTCCTTATCGTCTATAACGCCACAAACCAGAGGGATAACTAGGTTCAGGGCTGGATTGACCAAACGTATGTTTTCCTTTCATATCTCAGGGATCCTGGAACTAATTTCTGGTGCAGTCTCTCACAACTCTGATATTCTTCACTGTAAAAGAGCATTGTACGAATTTGCGGATTCAAGAACCCGCTACAACAGGCAGTCTGTTCCGTTTCCAATGAATCCGGAAACCTAGGATCCTCAACATTCTTTGCTCTTCCTTTCTACGAATCCCAACACCCCTTTCTGACACACAGCTTTTGCGCATGAGTCTTACACTTGGCGACCGTCAGACATGCAGTTAATTCGTCCCTATATTATGAAAATGGCTTCTACACGTATCCCAATACCAGCTTAATTCGATTCACGGTCTTTCCTTGCCAACTTGTACTACCCGAGCTCTACTTACCCTCGTTACTGAAGAACAGAATCAGACACGGCGTCAAACATGAATACTCGAAAGATGCAGCTTACCCCTAGAACCAGCGATGAATTGTGTAAAACCAACATCCACCGCAACTCTCGAGACATCACATATCTGGACCTGGTTCTGAGACGGTCGAAGTAATGAAATAACGAAATGATGTGGCACCAGGATAGGGTGATTAGGACAAAGGTACGTTGTGCTTGGGAGATCAAACACACTAGATTTACTGACCTTCTGTAGGTCATTGCAGCTCTATGGCTTGTGTTCCCTTTTGGTTTCTTTGGATCTGGACTACGACTGGGCAATAACTTTAGAGAGCAAAAAAGTGGGCGATCATAAGCCTGTTTATGGCTGCTCTGTAACGTAGCGAATTACAACCAGCCATTCTCTACAACTCCTCCATTGACTAAAATTGACCGCTCTATTTGTTTTGGGCAAGTTCTTAATAGAATCAAGTTATGTATTTACTACTCCTCCCGAGACTACCTGGTGTATCTTAGGTTATTGCCACACCTGCAGACTATTGCCTTCCCCGCCCCCGCCTCCCCACCTATGCCCCACTCGGGATTCAACACCACCATGAATCGATGCACGTCCGATGCACGACTGTAACCATAAAACTTTACAAAGATAAACAATTTGTTTATATCTAAGGGACATCATCTACAAATAAGTCGATCATATTTCTACCTCCTCCGCATTCTACGCAAATTGGTTTTCTAGCAGCCTAAATGACATCGACACAGCCTCTCGGGCCTTTCAAGCTCGTGACTGTAAACACGGCACCCGAACGCGCAAAGAGGTTAATCGGTCGTTTGGTAGAGGCATTGAAAGAGAAATATACCATTCTACATGTTGCTAATGTACAAGGTAATTAAAAAGTCTCGAGATATCTTTAGAGTCAAAGGAAACCCCTCACTGAACAAGCAATGCAGAGATCGGAGATGTGAAGCCTACAGTAGAAAAATACCAGCCGGATATGCTGGTAAGCAACTTCCTTCTGTTTAGGATTTAAGATGTTACAGTATGATAATAATTTGGCTCCAGTTCTGCGCATCTATGTGGACGCCCGCGCAAAGCTCCGAGATCCAAAGCATTGCGCGCTCAATCATCCCCGGCATTAAAACCATGGCCATTCCTCAAGGATTACAGGTGGAGAAGGGTCCTGATGCAATAGTCGAGTTTCTTCTTGAGAAAGTGCCGTTGCTTATTGAATCGCCTGGGACAGCTGCATTCCGCCAGTATTTGCCTGATCTGAATACACCGCGATTTCAGACGGCGAAGGATCAGGATGCGTATCAGTACGTGGAACATTTTCAGAAGACTAAGAGCCCGCCATGGATATATGGACTTACGAAGGCCTGGGAGAAATTGTTGGAAGAACCGTATAAAGGCGTTACTACTGATGGTGAGAGACACCTTCTTCAACTACATATTTGAACCAAAAAAATACGAAAAGCTAACTATGCATGTGCAGGAAATATCATCCCTAACTTATTCCATGTCCAAGATGAAGGCATCCCCATCGACAAAATCGTAACTTCAGTCGAAAACGTCCTCAACCAACTAACCCCCTCACAACAAACAAAACTCTCATACCCCCTCAACGCCCGCGAATGGCGCGCATGGTCTAACCCTGAGTTCCTCCTCCGGCCCCTCGGTCTCCGTCTCGAAGAACAGCCTGCCTCCATCTCCACATCAATCCTCGCCGTGCTCAAAGCCACGTTCTCGCCAGCAGGTTACCAGAAAGCCCTATCAGCGATGCGCATCAACCATTTCCTCGGCCAGCTATGCAACATACCCAAAGTGCTAAATGAGCTCTCCTACAATTTCCTGCTCTTCGGCGAGCCATCCACAACCAAGCCCTGGGGCTGGGCGCTCTATGGCCATCATCTATGTCTTAGCGTCTTTCTCCAGGGCCCACAGATATTCATCTCCCCCGCCTTCACAGGCGCGGAACCGAATATCATCGACGAGGGGCCGTTTGCAGGGACGCGGATTCTGCACAAGGAAGAAGCGCTAGGTTTGAAGCTCATGCAGAGTTTACCTGCCGAAAGCCAGATGAAAGCCCGCACGTACGAGCTGCTGAAAGACCCGGCCATGGCGCTCACGGGCGATCTGGCCGCCGATCGCTGGAACCAGGATGATCAACGCATCACCTGCGGTGCATTTCGTGATAACCGTATCGTACCGTACGAAGGGATCCTCATCTCAGAACTTACATCTATTGCGCAGAAACTAGTTCTAGACATCGTCGAGCAGTTCCTCCTCTATCTGCCTGACGGAGCAAGGAAGCTGCGGCTGGAGCAGGTGGAGGGATTGTTTGGCGAGACGTATTTTAGTTGGATTGGAGGCTTTGGTGCGAGCGATGCGTTTTATTATCGGGTGCAGAGCCCAGTTGTCGTAGTAGAGTTCGATCACCATTCTGGGGTGTTCTTGTCGAATCAGGAACCGGCGAGGTTTCATACGCATACTGTGTTGAGGATGCCGAATCAGGGGGATTATGGATGTGCGGTCAGGAAGGGAGAGGATATGGTTCCGTGATGAGATGAGACGAGAAGGGAAGGGAATCACATTTTATCTATAGCTTTGGGACATCTAAATAACTTAACTGCTGTACCTACCTTTTACATATATTTTACTTCTCAAGCGAATATCTGATAAACTTATAGTCATGTCTTCAAGAGTAATCGATATAGCACAGGTCAACTCGCTTACTCTATAAAAAGCTACCTCACTCCCCTAATAAGTGTCTCCCTTCATACTACTTTAAATACGAAAGAGAATAGTTCTTCATTAACACCATCGGTGTTGCTCGAATTGATTGAGTATAAATAGGATGTAGGCCCATTGTATGGCATGGCATGGGAAACTATTCTGTTCTACAAGTACTCGTCTCGTTCCGTTCCCCCAGGCCATGTACAAGCGAGCGGGTATAAATTTACCCGTAGACACTCGAAGAGTATTAGCTCTCCCCACATGGCCCCACAATTAAGTGCCCCTCACTTGTCCTCCACATCGGCATCTTTTCACTTACGGAGTGTAAACTCTTAACCTAACCTTGACCCCGCTCCATCATCATCACGAGTGCTCTTCTCCGAACTCCGTCTTTGAATGGTTGGTTGGTTACAAAATGTGTAAAAGGTTGTTTGTGTTATCGTGTCGGACCCGGCAAAGGGAAAAGGCAGATTTTGTTAGGAGTAAAGCTTTATTTTGCCTCGAGTGAAAGCCACCTTCCACCTTCCACCTTCCTTCTTCTACATATATGTATATGTAGCATACCGGTACACGCTTCGCAATGGTATATTGATCATACATATGCCTGACTTACTCTATCCCTTGTAATCCATTTACTTTATTCTCATCTTCAAAATCGACAGCGCTTGCTATCTATCGAAGCAGGCACAGGTTATATAAATATCCATCCCAAGATGACGTCTCCTCCTCCGCAGTCCACGCGTTCGCTGAAAATATGTATCATAGGAGCCGGTACGTTCATTCCTCCCTTGCTCCTCCAAGTCTGGATTTCGCAACCTCAAGCTGAGTCATGTGCCGTGCTAATCTCATGGCAACAAACAGGAATGGGCGGATTGACCTGCGCCCTCGCGTTAGCCAAGGAAGGGTTTCAAGATATACATGTCTACGAAACGGCCTCGGACCTTGGGTTCGTGGGCGCGGGAATCCAATTGGCGCCGAACATGTCACGGATTTTAGACGATTTGGGCGTGTGGAAGGAGATTGAGAATGAGGCGGTGGTTTTGAGGAAAACTAGCATAAGAGGTATTGTACAACGCTAAATCCCTGATGTTTTTTTTATTTTTTTTGCTTTTGGAAAAGTAAGATGGATAGATGGGGGACGAGATGGTATGGCATGGCATGGCATTGCATGTACTGTGCTGATTGACTCGAGAGGAAAATAGAAGGTGCAACAGACACCGAACTCGCGAATGTGGATCTGGGATATATCGAAGAGACATATCACTACCCGCACATGGTAGGCCACCGGCACTCCCTCGCAAACGGGCTCTACAACGGCTGCCTCGCGCAAAAAGCCATCACGTTCCATTTCCGCACCGGTGTCCAGCGCGTCCTCTCCTTCGCGCCCAAGCCCTCCTTCACAGCCGTGCCCCGCGATAGTCCGGATCCCTACACCGTGACCTGCGACATCCTGCTCGCAGCCGATGGCATCAAGAGCGTAGCGCGCGGCGACATGCTAGCCTCCCTCGGCCTCACAGCCTCTGTCATCGACTCCCAGCAAGCCGCATACCGCATCATGTTAACGCGCGAGCAAATGGCGAGCGACGCAGAGCTCCTCGCGCTCATAGACGCCGAGGCAGTAACGCGGTGGATTGGCGAGCGCCGGCACATCATCGCGTACCCGGTCTCCAACAAGCGCATCTACAACCTCTCGACCACGCAGCCGGATGTGAATTTCGCGGCGGCGCCGTCCGAGACGTATACGACGAAGGGGTCGAAAAGCGCCATGTTGGAGGTGTTTGGGGATTTCTGTCCAATGGTACTCAAGATGCTAAACATGGTTCCTGAAGGCGAAGTCTGCGAGTGGAAACTGAGGATCCACGAACCTCTCGAGACATGGATTGCAGGGTCCACGGCGTTGGTAGGAGATGCGTGTCACCCGACGTTACCACACATGGCGCAAGGCGCCGCACAAGCCATCGAGGACGGCGCCGTGCTCGGAGCCGTACTGGTGCAACTCCCCAGCACGTCTGCCGAATCCATCAATAAAGCCCTGAGAGTGTATGAGAAGATCCGGAAAGAGCGCGCCGAGATGCTGGTTGAGCTGGCGGCTGCGTCAGCGCGGAACCTGCATTTGGGAGAGGGCAAGGCGAAGGAGGAGAGGGATAGGATGTTCAAGGAGTTGAGGGACAAAGGGGGAAAGGCGCCGGTGCCGGATAAGTGGGCTGATGCCGATGTACAGAAAATAGTGTATGGGGTTGATTGTGTCAAAATTGCGAGGGAGAATTTCACGGATTTGTGTAATAGTGTATAGTTTATTCTCTGGTATACGGCTGTAGCACCAAATATATTGCTCTATACATCTTACTAAGCGTTATACCCCAGGAGAAATCCAAGGTATGATTTAGAAAAGCCCTGGCTCTCATCAGACTGGTTCGCTGGAATTTCCGTAGACTTGTTTAGCTACGATTGAGACAGTTCCTTTCCTCAGCTAACTCTATACCGGTTGAAACAAACCAACCTTGGTCGTTGCTTAGCTTTCATATTGCGTTACATCTACTCCCTGCTAGTGAATTTAGAAACAGAACGTCTTATCCTAATATATCTAGGTAGACCTGGCAAAATTACATGGAACCGTTTCCCCGACAGAAATAACTGTGATGAAATAACATAGGTGCAGCTTAAACGTGAATAGGGTTCACCACAAGGCCTAATAACCCATGGGTCCCTATGGGCGGGTCCTGAGGGATTTCTAGACCTATGAGTCGGGTCTTGGGTCCTTATCTAGGACCCATGAGGACCCATGGTGAACCCTAATCGTGAATGCTTGCAAGATACAGATTACGGTATGAAAGGGCTTGGATTCACTCTTTCTCTGCAATGAAATCTTGAGCAAAGAAGATCTAACGGACGAAGAAGTAGCTCACAGATACGGCGGTGAATTGCCAGGTTACGTAGATAATCTTGCCAAGCGTGCTCGGTGGTTTCTACCCATCCAGAATTACCTTTAACACATGAAGCAGTTTGGCTTCCGGCTGAGCGAGGTTCCCTTGAGATCTCCACGCGACGAACCTATCAGGTCTAACCAGCACACAGCCATCCTCACCCACCTCTCTCCTCTGCGCCCAGTCAAAATAGACATCCTCGTAGTCTTGCCCCCATCCAATAGAGTAAACCCTAATCTCGATTCCCAAAACACTGGCAACGCTGGCAGCAGCTGCCTTCCATGACTCGCCGCCAATGCCGGTAAACAAAGAGAAGGTGCAGTGTCCGGCTAGATCAATAGTCGAGATCTGCTTTGCGGGTAGCCGTGTATTTAACCATGCATGAGGCAATCGGCTTCCCGGATATGTGGTAATTTCATGCTCAAGAACCGGATCTTCAGGAAGAGGGGGCCTTGGACTTTCGTCTTCGAGATAAATTGCTTTCGATTCATACCGCTGGTTCATCTCTATGCCCACACCGTGAAACTCGCGCGCCGTTCCTTTGATCGCTGCTTGAAACCTCCGTCTCCGCTCAATGCCCGCGGGTGTGGCTTCTCCTAGTTCGGCGAAATGCTTCTTGCGAATATCAAGCGATGGATCTATCATTCCTAAAGCTTCCCAGACTGGGAAGTGGTCTCGAAGGCCTTGGTTGGCACGCGTGATCACTGATTCTCCCACAGGTTGCCGTTCGAGACTGTATGAGTCGAGCAGACTTGGGTTAGCTTTGCCTTTGGTCACGTAGGCAATCTTCCATGCTAGGTTGTAGGCATCTTGCACGCAGGTGTTAGATCCTAGGCCGTTGAGGGGAGGGTGGCGGTGAACAGCATCTCCGAGGCAGAAACTGGATATGTTAGGATAATTTGCCCTACACAAGGGGGATTGGAGGTCAAGAAACTTCCAACCCTTCTGAAATCCCCAGTGGCAGGGCTACCTTTTGGACGAGAGAATTACTTACATGTTGTCATCCGAATAATATTCTGCTACAGTCTCGTTGATGAACCATTTCGAGATTCCGAGAATCTCAAGAGGTATTGAATCATCTCCTACCATTGTCTTGACGCAATCAATATACTCTTCGTGGGACGGAGAAAAGTCAACTCCCGCCCCTGGCGCAGGGAATAAAATAAACATCCACCTGGAGGGTTAGCTAAATTCATCCACTTCTACTAAGGAACATATACTCGTTCCATGGCTTCACCATCCTAACAATGGCCGTCCATCCAAATGCTGGACGCTCTACATCTGGCTGCATCACCCAATGCAAATTCCCCATTCGATTCTCAACAACATGCTCCAGATCAACCTTGACCAAAACATTCGTAGCCAGACCTTGGCCGGGTTTCTTGACCAAAGGTATCTGCAATTGACGCAACACCTGGCTTCGAGCTCCATCACAACCGAACAAGTATTTTGACCGTATCTCATATATATGTTTTGTGAGATTATCCCGCACCTTGCTAAGAATCGTACCATTGGGTTTGCGCTCGAAGGAGAGGAAAGTCGTATCGAAGCGGCAAGAGAAGCCATTGTGAGTCGCATGGTGAACAAGAATAGGTTCGAGAACGGTTTGCGGGATATCGACGTGGCTGCAAGGACTTGCAGCATCATAATCGCCCTGTACAACAAGCCGGTCAGCCGTGCTACCGTACTTAATTCCCCAAAAGTCTAGTGACAACATACTGCCCTCGCGGGATCGTTCCCCCAAGAATACATCCGCGCGTATTCCTCACCTGCCATACTCCAGCACCACCTTGTATGTTGCATGCAATCGCCCTTCACAGCAACTCGAACGCACTCCTCTTCTAGGCCGATATCTCGCAAACATTCGAGAGCGGCCATGTTGGTGATGTGGGCTCTCGGTGTGTCTGCTGTGCTTGGCGTTGCCGCCAGCATGATGCCTTTCAGATCTGCATGAGATGTCAGGAATTTTATTTCCTATGTGGGCACATGAAGGTCTACCATGCTGAGCCAGGAAGCAGGCAAGTGCTGCTCCTGCTGGACCTGCCCCGATGATGAAGAGGTCCGTCTCAACGTATTGGAGTTCTGCTTCATCTTGGCAATGGCCATGTCCTCTGTCGGTTTCTCCGGAGTCGGTCAATGGGGAGGTCGTTGACTCGGCCATCTGTTCTCAACCTTCTCGAAGCTGTCTTCCACCGTTGCTGCTCGGAGGAAACATCTCGAGGCTCGCGCGCACCGTCAATCTTAAACTCTCAGGATATACCGGGCCGGGGCGGGCCTTCCTTTTAGCAGCTTATGAATTGCTTAGTGGCCATTACTTCCGGGTTACAAACTGTGGGGGTTGAAGCATCCTATCCTATCTGGCAGACCCACTGTTCTACTCCGCACTGGATTTAGATAAGGAATTTTTTATTCTTTTCCAAACTGATGATCAGTCAAGCCCAGAATCAACCTACACAACTGTTTACGACATGAGAACAAGGAGGCTATATGGTTGTTTCCTTTGTTCTCGCTGTGCTTCTACTCTTAGTTGAGTCCTTCCCTCTTTTCGTTTTGCTTACTTTGGTCGCTTTTCGGAGGGCACGGGTCAACATCAGGACGTTCTTTCGGCAACGAGAGTAAGATGCGAGATATGCGCCGGCGGAATACATTTCTAGCCTATCCCAAAACTATAACAAATCAACTAAATGAATGACATTTCCCCTCGCGTCCTTGTGTATCAGTGAGCGTTCTCTTTCAAAATTTCAGCCATCCAACCACCAGCCCAAAGGCGTCCGTGTAGCCATATGCTAGACACGCCTGTTGTTGCACTTGTCTCTTTCGCTTTCGTGGTATTTAGCCTGGCTTTGATAGCCAGCCTGCCGCATGGGCCTTTGGCCTGGATCGGACTATGAATAAAACAAACAAACAAACAAACTCACTTCTGCATGAGTCAAGGTGCGTCACACTCAACCAACATTCTTGCAAATCCCTTCACATCCCTTTGCTTCTATCACTATCCCCTTTTGATTCCATAGAGGGTGATTTCACGATGGCGAGCTTTGACATCGCAACAAAGGCCAACCTGGCATCGGTACTGCCAGCCCTGGTGATGGCAATCCATATCCAGCAGGAGCAAACGTCACTCATTCCTACTGTGTCGAAAACCTTCCACAATGGTGATACTCTCCCTAGCAAAGAGACAATTCAAATGGCATCTCTCGACGGCAAGACTTTATCTGGGAAGGCAATCATTCACTATCTTGCAGAGCTAGCCAGCAGCACGGAAGCCAAGGGAAACCCTAGGCGTGCAGCTTCTGTTAGTCCCTACTCATATGTTACTAGAATACCCGCTAACACAATGGATGTAGATTCAAGAATGGGTCGATAGAAGCGAGAGCTTCTTGGCTACCGACATGAAGATCTTGCGCAACTCCCTTTACGAGTTGAACAGTCATCTCACGTTGCGGAGCCATATCGTGGGTTACAGCCTGACTGTTGCCGATTTGGCCGTGTGGGCAGCAATTCGAGGCAATCGAATAACCCATTCCCTGATCAAGCAAAAGCCGATTCAGGAAAATGCCCATAGATGGTACACCTATATCGAAGAATCCAACCTATGGCTGTCAGAAGCAATCGCGGAGCTTACGAGCTTTGAAGTGAAAGAACGCGCCGCAGGAAGTGCTAAGGGAGCGAGTCTCGATATCGATATACCACATGTCGACGGACCCATGGTAACAAGATTTCCGCCTGAACCTTCTGGATATCTACATATCGGTCATGCGAAAGCGGCTCTGTTGAATGACTACTGCGCCCACAAAGGTGCTGGGACCTTACTATGCAGATTCGATGACACAAATCCAACGAAAGAATCCATGGAATTCCAGGATGCTATTTTGGACGACTTGAAGTTGATGGAAATTATCCCTGAGAAGACATCGTACTCTAGCGATTATTTCCAGGAGATGTATGAGTATGCTATCCAACTTATCACAGCCGGGAAAGCATTCGCGGATGATTCAGAATTGGGCAAAGGCGATAAGGACCGAAAGAACAGGCTCCCGTCCAAACGGCGAGATCTCGGGATTGAGGAAACTCTTGAACACTTTGGTGAGATGAAGACTGGCTCTGAAGAGGGTCGGCGATGGTGCCTTCGCGCCAGGATTGCATACGATAGCCCTAATGGCACGATGAGAGATCCTGTCATCTACAGATGCAACGTCACTGCGTAAGTCCCTCACTTTTTAAATAATGTGCCTCCTTTCCGCGGCCATGAGGAATTGCTGCTCTCCCTTTTCGTGATGCTTACTCCTCGGTTTTAGGCATCATCGAACAGGCACGCAATGGAAGATATATCCGACGTATGACTTCTGTGCCCCTATTTTGGACTCGATTGAGAACGTCACTGTTGCCTTACGTACAAATGAATATCGTGATCGCAATGTTCAATATGAATGGATGCAAGATGCTTTGGGGCTGCGAAGAGTACCCATCTGGGATTTCTCGGTAAGGAAACCACCCTCGGCGTGGCATTTCTGCGTACCTTATGGGACATGATAATGCTGACTCCTGATAATCCAGCGAATGAATTTTGTTCGTACTGTGCTTTCGAAGAGAAAGCTCACCAGAACTGTCGCTGATGGGAAGGTCTCGGGCTGGGATGACCCTCGGATGCCAACAATTCGAGGCATCTTGCGACGGTGAGTGCGCCCCAGTTCTTCGAGATACGTGGACCTTATATGACTATCTCTATTTCCTTTACAACATTTATTCTGCGTGTGGGGTGTGACTGACTTATGTTCACTTCTAGAGGTATGACAGTCCCGGCATTGCGCGAATTTATCCTCCGACAAGGGCCGAGTCGCAATATTCTCAACCTTGAATGGGGGGCGCTTTGGGCACTTAATAAGAAATACATCGATCCCATTTCTTCTCGTCATACAGCTATCGCTCAGGAAAATATGGTGACTTGCCACGTAGCTGGAGTGGAGCACTCGACCGTGGCTGAGAAGCCAAAGTACCTCAAGAACCTTGATCTGGGTACGAAGAAAGTGCTGTATGACAAGACAATCCTCCTCGAGCAAGTTGATGCCCAGAGCCTGGCGGATAATGAGGAAATTACCCTAATGAACTGGGGGAATGTCTACGCGCGACATATCCACCAGACTGAGCAGCCAGACGAGACAGGACAGCGTAAGGTTACTGGGATAGACTTCGAATTGCATCTGGAAGGCGACTTCAAGAAGACCAAAAAGATCTGCTGGCTCGCAGCTGTGAGCACCAACATGATTCCAGGTAAGTGATTTTCCTCCTTGATCTCTTTACGTCTAAGGAGCCGAGCTCTGGACAGAACAATGTGGCGGAGCTTGAGAAAGGCTCTATCATGCAGTTCGAGCGCAAGGGCTATTATAAACTTGATGAGAATTACAAGGCTGGGGGGAGGATTGTATTCTTTAACATTCCTTCCGGCAAAGATTAACTATTGAAGGGACTGCCCACTAAGGCATTGGATGCCTTCAGAAATATTGCTATATAAAACTGAATAGTACCTGCTTTTAGGATACGAATTGATATCATATACCCGACAATGATGTTGAATTGTAAAGCTAAATTATCGTTCCCGACTAATCGGCAGCTCCGGAAAGAATGTTAAATTTAGCCTCGATAAGTCCATCCTCGGTCACCATCTCGATTGTAGAGAGGCATAAACTCGATTTTGGGAATACGACTCGTTGTATAATAGATCATGTAATCTACAATCAAATTACATCGATTTATGAGGCATGCAAGGCGAGGTAAGTAGAAACTGATATCGAGTTATGGTTGCCAAACAGGCGCTAAGCGGGCCAATACAGACGATGCACTGCGCTGCGTATCTCATGCCTAAAGCAAATCACGTCGAGACATGCGGCTTAGCGGCGTAGTACCTAGGATGGATGACGTTAGTTCCAGCCTTATACATCTTGACAATCAGGTTCCTCCCAGCCATCAATCACTCTCGTCAACTCGACGTTCATTCATTGCTATTGTTGTCGCCCCTCGAATGCCACTCTCCCTCTGACCACTGAGACTTTGGAAAGAATGGCCACATATTACGAGCCTCTCGATGTTGACTTTTATGAAATTCGAATGCTGTCCATCTTGCCTGCCACCACCCACGATGCCGTCGTGAAATGCACGCTAGAGAAGACGAGCCTGCTAGGTCCGCCCAAATATGTCGCTCTTTCTTACTGTTGGGGCGATCCCAATTTCACGACCACGATATTTGTGAATGACATCGAAGTTAATGTTACAGTCAATCTTGCGGACGCTCTAAAGCACTTGCGTCTTCTTGAAGTCACGAGAGTTTGGGAAGATGCCTTGTGTATCAACCAGTCGGACCGACAGGAAAGAAGCCTTCAGATCCGACATATGAAGCACATCTACTCGAAAGCGGACGATACTTATTCATGGCTGGGCCGAAATGATGCCGATAGCTCAAAAACTGCTATGAGGTTTCTCCAAAAGCTTTTGCTTGCCGAAGACGGCGCACTTCCTACGGACTTGTCGAATGTACATTCGCCTGCTGTAAATGGCGAGGCATTGCAGCCAACAACCATGCCGATCATATCGGAAGTCTTAGCGCCCACGTCCATCGAAGAAGATATTGCAATAGCTGATGCTGGCGAACGCAGGTTGCTTGAAACGCTTTGTCGTCCGCTTCAGGACTTCTTTCAAAGACCATACTGGAAGCGACGTTGGATTATTCAGGAGATTGCCGTGTCGCCGCGGGTCCAAATAAGCTGCGATGGTATGCGAATGACCTTACATGAGATGGAAGCTGCAGTACGCCTTTGTCGAAATTCTTGCTACTGGAGTGCGGAAACCGAGACTGCTTACTGATTTATTGACCGGATATTGCAATTCCGTCATGATCACCAGTCAGATATGAAGCCTTCTCTTTGCAGAATGATTTATATGACCCAAGAGTCTCTTTCCGCAGATCCAAGGGACAGGATCTTCGCATTGCTCAGTCTCTGCCATGATGGGCCAGAGCTAGTTCCCACCCCAAACTACCGGCAGCCCCTCGTGTTAGTCGTGGCAGACATATCGAAGGCTCTTCTTCGGAAGAAAAAATATTGTGAGGTTGTCTTGATCAATCGACTGCTGGAGACTGGTAGCAACCCAGGTCCTCTTTCCTTGTGGATTTCAGATGAAGCCACAAAGGACGTAGCTGAAAGCGGCTATTCTTTCCTCAACAAGCAACTTGACTCAATGGGGAAGTTGTGCATGCTAGAGACAAGCAGGGAAATCAGTCTTTTCCTCCAGGTCGAAGGTGCCGTGATTGGAACAATCGTTGCCGCAACTTCGATACTAGGCTCTGGTGGCGGAAGCAACTCAGATAGAATCACGAGTGGCAGTCTCGAAGAAATGCTACTTACAGATCAGTCAACACAACCAACTGCGTATTATGCTTCCAGTGCGGAAATCGCTGCAGCTATAACTTCCTGCCTGACACAGAGATACGCCGGCGCGTCATGGTACCTCTACCGAAATTTTCCAAGTACAGCGCAATGGTTCGAAACTCATACTCAGGGTTTTTTCAGTGTTGACATAGTCCTGCATGCGGTTAGCCTTTATCTTGCAGAGTGTGGATATGAAATACCGGGCTTGACAAGACCCCATCACATCTCACGTTCCCTTGAATGTGGGGATGACAGCTTGGTGACACATGGATTGCTAGTTCGATGGCTTGAGGCCAACGCCAGTTTTCTCGTCCAAGGAATGGTTCTAAAGGACAGGATGAAGCAATGGTCCTCTGGGCTATTGGTATTGACATGGAGACTGCTTCGGGCGATCCTCGTTTTTGGTTTGACCATGTGCCTCTTGATATACATTATGATAAGAACAGTAGATGAAGTTTCTTTATTCTCGTTGGTAATTCTTATGCTGCTTATATTTGCCCTTGCGTCTTTTTTTTTTTAATGAAATACTTCTTTATAATGATTATAACGATCATGTCTCTAATCTAGTAAGGAAGATCTCATCCAATATGCCCTTCCTCTTGGAGATGCCAAGGAGACTTATCCGTTCCGACAAAGGTGCTATTGGGATGGCATGTGGTGCGACTGAGCTTGGGGACAAGATGCCTTCTCGCAGGTCGGACTTCTCCAATCATTCTGCGCAAAGTAGGAGATAGCGATCGCCTCCGATACATGGTCGTGGGGAATATTTACGTTCACATGTCGCAGCCTGATCTGGAGCTCTACAATGGATTCATTGACCAGCAGATCGATGACGTAGCATCGGCACCGGGGAGAGATTTTGAATGTCATAGCAGGATAATTGAGATTTGGAGGCCCGAAATTAGGTCCCAGCAATGCGTATTGGCTAGGGCACGGGCTAAGTGTACGGACAGGTACACGGAGGAAGGGATACTGCAGACTTTTCATCTAGTCTAGTAGATTTGATTGTTTAGTAGTCGAAAGAACAAATGTTGAGTACCTACACTCCCTATGCTAGCCGGTCACATTGCTCATTCGTAGCTATTATCGCTGCTCAACCTCCGGGACGGAAGCGATCATTGCTGCAAGACCAGCTTTCTCCTTGATACGTTTAACAAGCTTCCTCAGTTTGGTGAAAAAAAACCTCTCCTTGTCCTTGGTTGGCACTGTTGCGCGCGTCTGGTCATAGCGCTCTCGGCGATAATTGGTCGGGAGAAGCAGGATAACAAGGGAGGAGAATGAGGAGGGAGTGGGATGTTTTCTTCCGCAGCCAAGCCCAGTCATCACATGGAAGTCCAAATCTCGACCAAATGGTAGGTACAGTTGCTTGTGAAATCGGCTTCGCCCCTTTCGCTTCAAAAAATTGTAACCACTTGGTCCATTTTTGGCGTTGACACCTGTATGTGTTCGTCTCGACTGCCAGTTCTGGTTTTTTCAAGTACTTCCCTAGCTAAGTCAACTAAAATATTAGCGATACCCAACTCGCCTTCCTACTGGTACTAGAGTCTTTGCAAAGAAGACAGACTTGAGCATGAGGCATAGAATGGGCAAGAATTGGCTCCGCTCCTGCGATCACTATTAGCGGTACTTTGGAGTACAACCGGCTAGGGGTGCTTAGTTACAAGTGGACACTGCTAAAAAATAATTAACTAACAATCTCGCGACACCTAATTCGCCTTTTAACAGTACATTATTTGCTGATTGAGGATATGCCGCTATTAGCTCTTTCGTCAATCACGTAAATCTTCCTCGAAATAAACTAGCTCCATTTTTGACTTGGCGCCAGAAGCGAGCCCCTATTCAGCAGCCGAAAATGGCCCCCCAACCAAGCCTGAACTAATCTTGGACATGCAAATTCGATCATCCTCACGCCCAAAGCAGGAACTAAATGATAAAATGATAAGAAAACCGCAATGTAAGCACCAAATACATATCAAAGCCTTTGCTGATGTTAGCTTAAAGTCGATACAAATCAAAGGGAACCTGGGGAACTATCTTTATGGAGACGCAGACCTTGTAAGCATTGTGGAGGTGGACATTTCGATTCAACTTGTGCGACGGGCCGTATTCCCTAAAAGCCAGAGCATACTCAGAAGATTTCAGAGGAGCAAGAGAGGCACTTTGTTAAAATTGACCAAGATGGTGATGTTGTTATGGATGAGTGGACAAAGTGCGTGTATTGTGTATCAGAGTTAAGGTCCTCGGTCTTGCGACTTTAAGTAGGAATAAGACATAAAATGAAGCTCAAAATCTGAGGCCTAGAATTATAGCCAGAATTAGACTTTTATGTACCTTTTAAAACACCCTTCGATATGGGAGTCTCCTTTTGCCCTAGTCACAATCAAGTGACTTGAAAGTTTTCCAAAGTCCAAAGCAACCCTACTTTGTTTGGGACCACACACAATATAAACCTTTGTGACAACGTTTCATCACGTAAGTATCGACTTTTTGAGTGGAATTTCTCCCCTTATAGATTGTAGTTGATAACGAGAGGTCTGCTTTCAGGAAGAGGCTTGCAGGTCTCGCAAAGGCAGTCACAATTGCCTCTCCTGAAGGCGTTATAATTATAATATATAGTGATCTACTCACCGGCCTGATTTTTTCTTAACGCTATTACTTTAAATATCGACGTACTTTCTTATGTGCCCCTGGAAACTTTCCTTGTCTCGAGGCTGTCCAAGAACGCTTTCAGATCGGGAACCTGTAGTAGCAGCGATACGGCTGCTTCCACTGTGCTCTGCTTGATGACCACATTTTTATTATTGAAACTATGTCCTTTCGATTCTTGTAAGTCAGCAAATATGCGCTACAAGCCTTCCGAACCGTCATCTCGGAGTGTATCTGAGTCTAGAACTTAGCTTTAATTACTTCAACAAGTGCTGAGCTCCTTTGAGCTATTAATGAGTAAGTCCGTTGCAGTATCATCAAATTCAAAAAGCAGAGCAGGAGTGAGACGATATGTAAATGGGTGATGGGGAACTCTATGCTTATTAAAGTTAGCAGTGGGAGGTCATATAGCTAAGGTTGGCAGTGTGCGAACGTTAAGCTTATCCAGTACATAGCTCCACCAAGTCCCTTGTTTTTGATATAAGTAGCTTTCAGCTCTGCTTCGGCAATATTATCGTAGCTTATTAGCTCTTTAGTAGATGCATCATAGCTGTATGATGCCCCGATTTCAGGGTCAAAGTATTCAGTTGCGCCGGCTTTAGGAAGTACCTTGTCGTCCCACACTCCGTTCTCCTAACTTAAAACATCACCAAGCATAGTTGCTAGTAGCGCTGTAGGCGCTAGGAGTTATCTACTATTCTGCGGTTTATTATATAGCATAGGTTGAAGTACGGACTGGTAGCTCCCGCTGCCACTACTACCCCGCATACACCCTTAGCTCCCCAGGAGACTGGCTTGGCAATATCAGCTACCATATATCTGGTCATTTCCATTTCACACCTTAGTATTGCTTCCATGAAAGACTACTGGTGAGACTACTACTCCCGAGTATAAATCGAAAGCCAAAAAGCATGTCACGTTCAACGAAATGGTAGGATAATGCCCCTTCCATCTATTGTGTAGAGATGACAGAAACTCACCAAACTAGTCTTTTCTACACCTCGATACCGCTTTCAAATTATATTAGTCAATTCGGCTTTGTTCACATTCTACCACTCCCAAATCCCGTCCATATCTCCATCTCCTCCCTCTTCACCCGCCAAATATCCTGCAATTCCTGCTCAATAGGCGTCAGCTCGTTCCCCTTGGCCCACAACTTCGCATGAACACTCGCAACCCCCATTTCCACATCCCGCGGAAGCGGCAAATTGATATTCCAGCTATAATTGAGCCGACCCCAAGGCATATTACGATCCTCCCTGTGCGCATAATTCAAAAGATTCTGCTCGGGATACGTGGTATCGAAGCGGCTGGTGTTACCGAAGAGTGAGAGGTAATATGTGAAGAGCTTGAGCGATGGAGACATGACGAAGAACCCGGCGTTGAAATACCCCATCGGCACAGGCGGGTATGAGTGGCTTGCGGTCGTGACTTCGGAGCTGGTTCCGAAGACATACGATTCGGGAAGAGGGCTTTCGTCAGGCTCAATGCTCGCCTGTTGCAGAGTCTGCTGGATTTGTGCTGCGGGATCTGCGAATACGCCGTCGAGAGGTTTAAAAAGAAACGTGTCTGCGTCTAGGAACAGAATCCGATCGTATTTCAGGAGTTCGAAAAGCCTTAGCTTGATCATGACGTTCCGCCATCTCTCGTGCCCCGGCTTAATCCAATCTACATCAAGTTTTTCCACTCGCACGATAGTAGCGCCTTCCCGCTTCAAGTGATCGCATTTCCACGGAGGAATGTCAGACGTGACAAGGACAAGAAAGGGTATCGCGCGCGTTGTGCGTGTGCGTTTGTCGTGGAGGAGCTGGTAATTGAGGATCCGGGTGCTGAGGAAGTATAGGTCTGTCTTGCGGGAGGGGTTGGAACTTGTGTCTGGTAGCAATAACGTCGCGTAGGCCAACTTGGGTTTTGTATTCTCCTGTATCAGATTGGGAAGTTGCGGGGTAAACCATCGCAGGCAGAGCAGGACAATTGCAATAAGCGGAAGCAGATAGAGCGCTTTTGGAGACCTAATCGATGGTCCCATCATCATTCATTGAATGTCCCAAGAGAGGTTTCCTGACAGAATCCCTGCATGGTCATTGAAGATAAGAAAGTGGGAATAGAATTTGGGCACAAACTTTTGTTGCCAGCGTGGTGGTTTGACAATCAGTTTTGAAGGTGAGGCTAAATTGGGTTTTGGCAATATAGAAAAGCGGAAAAATGGATATGGGAGAGTGAGCGGTATGTGGCGTTTACGGAAAGAGACCCTCCGTTATTCTTGTGGAGCAGAACATGGTACCAAGACGTGACAAAAGCTTCTTGGCGATAATTAAAGTAAAGTGTGTATCTGAAGATGAAACATCTCCACGCAAAGGAGGATAATCTAGATAGCAGCTAATGGCAACCATTCCAAAAGAACAAACAGCTCAAGATATCAATCGATAGAAATTCTCTTCTGGACTCAAATTGTCACTCGACGAGAGCTTGAGGTTGTCAGGATTGGAACTTCATGCTTGGTGAGTTTCTTGTCAAATATGCTCCAGAAATTACACTGAATACTTTGTTCCACGCTCCTTTTCTTTCTTGGGATCCTGTTGCTCTCTCGTGCTTCCTTGTGGCTTTGTTGTAGAGTACAGTACTGTTCGATGAAAAGCTAGCCAGCCAGCTTATGCTTAGGGCCTTCCTTGGTTGATCGGTATCATTTCGAATCTTCAGATGTTTCTAAAATAGTTGTACGTCCTGTTGACTGCTTCATCTGGGGCGTGTTGATACTGGAAGGCTTCTGTGGTGAGGAAGTGCAATCACAACAGTTCTAAATTTGCCGAGGCCGGCCGGGCCCATTTCGGGAAGCGCAACTTCCACTCTGGTGAAATGACAAAACAAACCACTAAACTTCAGCATCACCAAACATCACACCTATATTATTGGCAACGAAGATGCAGTTTCTATGCTCTTGAAGTACAGCTTACTCCTTACGTCTGGCAATATTTTTATTTGATGTATATGCGATATTTCCATATTGAATTTATGATGTTGCCGGGCGATTGCGATAGCGAGGCTTAGAAAATATTTGACAAGTGCAAAGCTGATTGAAACGCATTTGACAATTTCAAACAGAGTGTCACTGCAGATATCTTTCGATAGATAAAACGTCTCTGTCAAATGGGCTTCCCTCTTGAGCTTGTCTTTGCGGCACGATGAAGACCCTCCGCCTCGATATGTTCTTGGTATCTGGGTGCCAGTTGGGGCATAGATATCTCATCGACGGTGACATGATTTCTGAATATGCTCGGCAATTGCTTAAACATCTATAGTTCTGTTTTTACTCCCGATTCCCTTGATTGAACTGGCATATTTCTTAGGACACTTCTCAATGCTACAAAAACCTCGTCAATGAGTGAGCACGACGGGCTTTTAAAAGAACGTTTAAAAGAACGTACCCTGCACTCCTGAAGATGTCTTCATAGCGGGATATGGGGTCACGTACCCCAATGTCAATATGTCTTGATTTTTAATCAGAGCATTCAATATCTCTTGTTGTGTGGCTGATATCTCTAGTTTGAGTTACAGGCCGTATTGATCCACCAGATTAACACTGCGAACGATCACAGTAAACCCAAAAATGCCAAAAATGTTCCAGCAACAACACCCAATCCAGGAACAATTTTCCTATCACTCCCAGATTTCCCAGTAGCGGAGGCTACAGCTTCAGAAGCAGCACTCGTCGCACTCGAAACCGCCGCGGTCGCCTCCTTCGTGCCCTCAGCCCCAGCTGTACTCACAACCGCGTCGGCACTCGATACAACACCCGATGCCTCTGATTGTGCCAAGTTGCCTGCCGTCGCAGCGAGGCTCTCGGCGGAAGCGACGACGGAGCTGACGCCTGTTGTGTAGGTGTCTGCGGCTGTAGCGGCGACACCTTGGGCGCTGGCTACCACGGAAGACGCATAGCTCTGGGCTCCATTACCAGCTGTGGCGGCGAGGGACTCGGCTGAGGCGACGACAGATTGGTAGTCTTGTGGTTCGCGGATTCTAACGTCTCCGGCTGTTGTTGCATCTCCCCCGGCGCTGGCTACTACAGAGGCAGCGTAGCTTCCATATCCTTCACCAGCTGTTGCGGCGAGGTTTTCGACACCTGCGACTACGGAACGCCAATTTTGGGGGGCTCGTTGATCGATTCGTTGGTTTTGTGCGGAGATGTACTGGGATAGGAGAGCCAGCGTGATGAAACATGTGAATTGCATGATGGCTTGGGTTGTGATGATGGAGCAAAAGTTATAGACAGTATTAAAGTATTTAGTTTGGAGTGTCGATATTCAACGAAAAGGAACAGTTGGGGATATATGTGATTGTCTGGTTATTTTGATGTTGAACAGAATACAAATGATGCAAAGTCCAATTCTTTCGGCATTTCTTTCGACACTTCTCTCAAGAAGCAGCCTTGTTGAGACAGTGCGAACTATGCATTGACACCGCCAGGAACCAAAGAAAGTCCTATGCTGAACATGAAGCATAATTGTGCGTAATATAAATGGAGCTTCTTACAAGTACTTGTGGTGGACTTAAAAAATGGGACTGATGAGCTAGCTATGGGCGCTTTTGGAACGCTCTCAAAATCAATGATAATTATCAATCAATTTAAATGATTTGAGATGTCCCCTTTAATTACTCCCGCTAGTATTATTTGAATTCCTCAAACATAATGCTGCTGTGCTGGCTTGCTCGCCTAGTAGATAGTGAAAAAGACTAATTCGTTCCCGCTTTTTCCAACCACCACCGCGCGGCTCTATAGATCCAGCTCCGGCTGCTAGCAATTCCGGTTCCTCACAGTGCCGATCCGTAAGGCGTCGGTTTGATTTCTAGCAGGCTGCTCGATGATGTCTTTTATTACTATACGAAGCCCAAAGGAGCTAGAGTGCTGACTTGGCATAGACCACGGCACGGCAGGTGCCCTGGCTGGAGATCTTCATTGCTGCAATGCCGATCATGCGTCGCTAAACCAGATATTGCCTGTTTCAGGCTTTCAGCTGCGATTAGCTTCGGCCTCTAGCTGCAAAGGGACGATTCGACGACTGCTTGGTTGGCTTTCCTTGATATTGCCTTTTCAGGCCATTTCTGTTTAGCGCTTTGAACTAGCTTCTCGTATTTGGCTGGATTCTTCCCGGCTGAACCTCCACAGCTTTTCTAGACGCGCATATCCCGTAGTGACGGCACGGCGTAGTCTTTCCTAAGCCTTCATCCTTGTTCCCCTCTAGTATCTGGAGGGAAATCAAATAAGCTACACTCTAAGCTAAGTGGAGATCAACTTGTAATCCTCGTCCTTACTTCTTCCGTTACTCGTCATGGCATTCTAATAAGCTGCATATTGAGCTGAGATAGTTGAGCCTCTTGTTGACCAAGGATCTCGGAATGCCATTATCCATCATTGATCGACAGCCAGAACCCTCGGGCGGCTTCAATTAGTCACTTCTAGTTTAGAAAGACTCACAAGAACACTGCCTTTACCTCTACACATGTCATGGTTTGCCCTACGTCAACTGCTAGGTAGTTTTACCTTCATATATCTTTCGTTTCCTTCCGATTGATGCTTCTATATTCATCCGCAAGCTTTATTCCTTTCACAATCCAAGACCTCTCCATCACACAATCAGCAATCATGCCTTCTATTCGAACCACCCTCGCAGCATTAGTTGCTACCTCTCTGGTAACTGCTGCTCCCACTGTTCAGCACCCTGTTCCTGGCTTGAGCGATTACTACAGCAATTTTCGTGGAAAGGGTGTTCCATATCCTGGCAATTTGACCGCCCCGATCCTCCCAACTACGAACGGCACTGCTGCCCCTGACGACCTCCTCTACCAGAACCTGCTTGCTGCAGAATGGGCAATCTTCAGCTTTTATCAACAGGGTGTAGAGATGTTCAACTCGTCCTCCTTCACTGCACTCGGGCTACCCAACACAACGTACGATCGTATCCAAGAGATTCGTGACAACGAGGCTGGTCATTTAGCAATCTTCCAAAGCCAAATCTCTAGCAATTCCATCAAGCCTGGGCCTTGTAAATATGCTTTTGGGGTGACGACTGCGGAGTCTTTCATCGTCACTCTCACCCTTCTTGAAATCGCATCCATGGCCTTCTTGACCGGTCTCGTTCAGCAAGCCAACACTGCCGTAACTCGAGGCGCGCTCACAGCCGTAGCCGAGACTGAAAGTCGGCACAACACTTGGGCTTTGATAGATATCTGGAACGTCAATCCGTTTGCTGGTCCAACTGATACTTCCTTCCCATACGCAAACCAGATCTTGGATTCTACAAACCAATTCATCATCCCTGGCAGCTGCCCACAAGCCAACCCCGAGTACCCATATCCCCGGCAAAACCTCCCACAATTCACGTACAACCCCAAGACAAATTCCTCCCTCACATCTGGCACGGAGATCCAATTTGTCTTCACCACTGCGCCTCCAGCGTGGAAGACAGGACAGGCCTACTATGCTGTTTTCTACCACGAACTTCTCAACGTCTCAATGCCGTTCAACACCACGACGAACACAACCATGATTCCAGACTTTGACCTGAACAAGGGTCTTATTGTGGGTGTTATTGCGGATGCGCCAGGTGCTCCGGCTATGGACACCGTCGTTGCCGGGCCAGTGTTGCTCGTTGAACAGCCAGCTGGGGCTATCAAGCTTGCTTAAATGGATCAGGGTTATTACAAATGTCGTTAGATTATATAGATGATAATGTACTGTTTAATATCTTACGTGTCTATCAATTACGTGCAATGCAAGACAAGAATGTACACAGAATCATGCCTTATGCTCGAGATTCTCCTGCGATGTTTTTCACCTTTTCCTAACTCCAATTATGACATCAATTTCCATGGTTCCATCTTCATACAGTACTGTACCTACCAATAGTCAGCCCCACATAAGATAACGAAATAGGTACTTACTAGACGTCCGAGGCTAAAGCTAGTGCGCGGCTCGGTAGGCTAGGGCTAGGGAGTGGAGATAGTCAATACTTCGTACTAAGTACGGATAGGCAGAGGGAGACTAGTAATAAGTAGCCTGCATGCAAGCAAGCCGTCCGTCACTACTAGTGCGCTTAGGCTAGCTCCACCATGGCGTTCTCTACCTCACGCTCATGCACCGGAAGGAAAAACATGCGAAAGTTGGATGACGATGCGGACCGACTACGCTCCGACCTACCTTGGTGTTTGCTTCACTTTCACTTTCACTGGGTATCTAGATATCTTCACTCCCTCGGTAGCTTGTCTGTTGTCCAGACTAAAATCGTTGAGCCGGAATGGACTGTGTCTAGAGCTATCTAGATGTCTATCTATCTAGGTACTTACTTGCCATACATACATACCCTTACACACATGTCTACCCCAACTGTAGCTTTAATTATACATTCAAGCAATCAACATCCCCACAAACATATCATCTCTTTTTTACATACCCAATCAATTCAACCCTGACATCTACCTACCTATTCATCACCCACTCTTATCCCACCCACAACAATGCCAGCCTCCCAACCACCCCCCCTCACCCACAACCCACAACCAACCCGTTCCCGACCCCCTCGCGCACTTCCACTCCATCCCCGTAAGAACAACCATTTTCGATTCTTCCCCATACCTATACCTCCTTCATAAACGAGAAATACAAACAAGCTCCCTATCCACCCCTCTCTCTATTCCCAAACCCAACCACCTTAGTAATCTTACACGAATAGGAAACAGCTAACCAACTACTCATCCCATCTAGTGGTGTCACGCCCTCCTCACCCACCGCAGCATCCTCCACACCGCCATCCCAGACCGCACGCCCATCGCCACGACCGAATCCTCGCTCGTGCGCGAGACGCTCAACACGCCGCGCACCGTGACAGCATGCCTGACCTTTCTGCGCTATGTGAAGGACGAGGCCGATAACACCGATAACACCAAGCCCAATAACACCGATAACACTAACGATAACAGTAACAGTAATTGCAATGCCCAGTTTCGCATGAGTGAGAAAGAGATCGAGGCGGCGATGAAAGCTAGGGGCGAAGACAAGGAGAATCCGTTCCTGGAATTCGGAGCCCTGGTTGATCTCAGGGACGGCGTGAACGGGTATGCGAAGACGGCGCACGGCGGGTTCTTTGGCGTCGTTTTGGATGAGGTTATGGGGACTGCGGCGAATGCTCAGGCTAGTATGTCTAGTTTTTCATCTCCTTTCAGTATTCCTCTCTCTCTTGTGTTTTAATTATGTAAGAGTATCTTCTATCTTTCCTCCTTCTCGTTTCCTCATTTCCTTTTTGATAGTGAGAGTCTTGAGAGAGAGAGATTCGACAGATGTGGCTAATTGGTAACGTACGTAACGTACGTATAGAATATGGAGCTTTCACGGCTGCTTTGACGGTTAGGTATAAGAAACCCCTTTATACACCTAGTGTTGTGGTGGTTAGGGGGAGGGTGGTGGAGAAGAAGGGTAGGAAGTTGACTGTCAAGGGGAGTTTTGCGGATGCTGAGGGAAATGTACTTGCGGAGGCTGATGGGGTTTGGGTTACGGTTGATAAGGATATTGGGAGGTGGACTGATGCTAAGTTGTAAGTGATTTGAAGAGTTGTCTTGTAAGTTAGGTGGACAGTTATAGGGGTTTAGGCTTTTGGTTGACAACTTGACCTTATTCTTGGTCTGTGTTATTTTAGCATGGAAATGCTATTGCAAGAGTCTAATCTACATGTATCCCTTCTCTAGTGAGACCATATATTTCTCCGTGGGGCTTATTATCAATAAACACAATCTTTTATTCCATCACGAACCCTCATCCTTGGTGCGACCCCTTTTTGCCCTTCACCCTTTCCCGTCCTTTCCCACCACTAGCACGCCCACGCTTCTCATCATGCATATCCCCGCTATCCCCATCATCACTCCATCTCCTGGCCCTCTTCCTCGTCCCCTGCTCCACTCCAACTCCCACATCCCCATCCGCCTCAACATCCCAAAACTCAACCCTAAAATAATCCCTCATGCCCCTCGCCACCATGGCCCTCAGAATCGGCGTGATCATATCCCTGCCACTCACCAGCGTGCTCGCCGGCTCCAGGACATGAGTTGCCGGTAAATCCTGCCACATGACACGCGAGATAAACCCGTAACGTCCATGTCCATGCCCGCCGAGGAACATGTCGCGGATGCGGCCGTCGAGCGAGTCGGGCGTGTCGTTGAAGTAGATGGGGATGCAGTCGTAGTGGTGGGATTCTGGTCGGGCGTCGCTTTTCACGAGGCGGATCACGGCGCTGGTGGGGGCTGGGCGGCGTGTTAGGTGGGTGTTTGGGGAGGGGTTTTGAACGAATGGAAAGGGAAGGTAAGGGAATGGAGGGGGTTCTTACTGAAATAGGATGGGTGCATGTGCATGGGCATTGGCATTGGAACTTGCTGGACTGGGGGAGGTGCTGGGTGCAGTACGGACTCGTTATTCCCTGTGGAATTGAATCATAATCAGTCTATGGTATCAGGGGACCTTTCAGGGAGATATACGTACATGCGGGTGGCATATTTTGATACGGATCAGATCTTACTCGTCCGGGTGCGGTGACTAGAGATGGATGATGAGCCGTCGGAACCTCGTAGTGTTGTCTTTCGAGATGAGATCTATAACTCGTATTTGAATGCCCTGGCATCATGGACGCGTTTTGTACCTGTCGCGCAAATCCTCCTCTCGAAATCGGTCTAGGTGCGTTCGGTGGGTAAGGGCTTTGCGTGTACGGCCGATATCCGTGTTGATTGGGGGCTGGCAGTTGTAATACTGGGTCAACTGTCAAGATGTTAGATATGGGATCCTTTCTTCCACAGCTGTGTCTACTTACGGGGAAGTTTTTCATCCGGTAACAGAACTGAATGCTTGGCTCGGGGACCCAAGGTGTCTGTCGAAACTCGCAGGCGACCAGAAGCCGGACCATGAGAGTCATTGACAAGTGCCCGTTCTCTTGCCCGTAGGCTTTGGCCTTGAGTCTGAGATGGTAATGGACGTGTGGACGTTGGTCTTGCTGCTGGTACTTTTACACGTACCTCTGGGGCTTTAGGACTAGCTATAAAAAAGTCAGTGGCATACTCATCGAGAGTGCAAGATTACCAACTTGCTTGATTTTAGAATTTCAGCCCTGACTTCCGGAATTTGAATGTCCTTCATTGGTTTGGATGCTCTGTCTGAATCCACCGTCACACTTGTGGAAGCCGTTGGTTCTGAAGTAGGAGTAACTATCAAGTCAGCAACAAACATTCGATACTCAAGCCTGTCTTACACACCTGATGTTTGTTGGTCCGGTGGGATATCAGCGCTTTGGTGGAGAGGTTCAATAGAGGCTGGCACTGGTGGCGCTGGCTCCACAGATAAACCATTCTTGGTCATAATGAAAGATTGATAGGACATGAATTTAGGATTTGTCTTTGTTGGTGTTGAAGAAAACTTTTTCTTTTCTAGCTTGGGCTTCTAGCTATATATATTCGCTACCGGTGACTCTACAAATCACTTTGAGATTCATTCACATGAGTGGAAAATGAAAAGGTGAATGGAGGTTGCCTTTTCACAAAGTTTTTGCTTTCAAATCTTAGTGTGAATTGACCACCTCGCCAATGAAAAGTTCGTTCATAAAATATGACTCTTTCCATAAAGAAGGAATGGCGGGAGAACTATATGGAAGGTTCCCATGTGTGATGCCTGAAGTGGGATGACAAATGAATATTGTAAACGACACCACAACTGAACCGAGACAGGTGACAAGCCCTCGTCATTTTAAAGGGGCTCACTTTCACTACCGAAATCCGGACTTCCGAACAACACACCTTAATATCTTCTTCAATGGGATGAATGAAACCCTAGGCTCGTGACTTAGTTGGAGGATTGAGAATTGCAATATACACTTGTAGCTACGAGTACACAAGCTAAATAAGCGAGGGTGTTAATGCACCTCATTAAGGGGGTCGTTTTAATATAAGACCAACACTTCAAATGCTGCACTGCTGCTATGGAACAATTAAAATCTCAGATATGATCCCTGTCAGTACAAATTCAATTAACATTATCAAAGGCATCTTAGAAACTATAAATAATCCCACAACACTTCACCTACATCCCACAATTCTCACGTATATTCCACGCAGTTTCCAAACATCAGCAAAAAGACAACTGCAGCTCTAGGAGAGCCTTATTAGCACCTCACAGGTTTCCACTTCCCTCTCCAACTCATCAATAAACGCAACATCATTCCTCCGCAAATCTCTTCGGCGCAACTCTCTGCCGTGTACTCCGACGGAGGCCTAGGTTCGGTTGCGGCTCCGGAGTCGGCGCGCTTTCCTTTGTAAAAGGTACAGATGCAAAAGAATGTGTGCCTACGAATTTATCGGGTGAATACATGTGGGCTGTTGGTGCCTGGAAGTCTTCGTCTTCGATATCCTCGACTGTGGGCTTGGGAGGCGGCCAATGCTGAGACTCGGTTGTCTTAATGAAGTGGCCATCAAAATATTCATCTTCTGAATCTGGAGGGACACGCGAGGCAGCTTCTGCAGCTTGGGGGTTCAGGTTAATGGACAATGTGGGTGCATCAGCATCAGAAATGAAGTTATCAGAGTCAGAATCAGAATCAGAATCCAATGTGCTGTTCCTTGTGCTTGGTATCGTAGGATCAACTACTGGAGTCTCCAAGTCAAACGTATCATCCAGGATCCCTCTCTCAATTTCATCTGGAAGTGTGGCTATCGCAGATTTGGAATGTTCGGTATGGTTTGCTTTGTCTGCCTCCCACAGCCTTTGAAATACAACGTCGACTTCAGAGTCGGGGGTTGCCGGGATTATATTCAAGTCTTTGTCTTTCTTTGCTTGAGATTTACGAGGGTACGGTAGAGGAAGTCCCGTGCGAGGATCGCGTTTGAAATTCTCTCGATACGGTGTGCGCTTTTTGATGGGCTTGAGATTTCCTCCTGGGAATGTCATGGTGCTGGTTTGAAAGTTTGATGGACTCTGAGTAAATGACTGTTCACGTTTTTTTTTCTCGAAGGGAGGACCCCATATGAAAAAAAATCAATTTCTTTGTTATGTGTATCAAAGGTTCGTAACTATAAACCATTGGATCTACAGGACTATAAATACCTTTCAGCGCCACCAGCTGCTACAACAAAGAGGTGATGAAAACTAGTCAAACTATCCGTTTAGAGAGATGACATGGTTGAAGAATCTTAGATGAGAGAAGTAAGGTCCGCCTCGTCCCTTTTCAACGAAAAAGAAAATTTGAAGAGCCAAGCCGTGAAGAGTCTGATACATGTCCGTAGCAAAGAAACACTTCAGCGCTTGACGCCTCGAGTATTTTCCAAGTATGACCTGCAAAAAATATTTCGAGTATCGATGATACATCAACCATTGCACTGAGCTCCAGATGAATGCTCTTGGGTTTACCCAATCGGATAGACATCTTATAGCATAAACAATCCTCACATATGGTTGACTATCAAACTTGGGCCATTATCACCCCGGATATTTTGGAGGGCCCAGGCTACTGACTCCCCAACTTGCGAGCTTCCAATCGATGCAAGGCTGGTGAGACATCCACCGAAAAGAACCATAAGAATAGAAATTTCTTGACGAAACGGCTTAATCCAATTCCCCATTGTGTCAAACCCCAAAACCCCCAATATTCCGTTCTTCCTGAGTATGTCCGACATGGTACTCTCGCCCAGCCTGTCCCTCATAAATACAGTGAAAACCAACTCCTGATCAATAACTGAGGTATCCGCTTCATATTCCAAGAGGAGTTCAACGGCCTTTCCATTGTTGTGTAGAATACAACTATATAACACAGCACGTTCTCTCCCTTGCAATGCCGGATCAGAAAAGGCTCGGGCTTCTGTGCTTGCTCCGTTTTCCAACAGAATTCTTGCGAGGGAAAGCGCATCATTTTCGGATATACGTCTATTGGGTTTGTTCCGTAGCAGCCAACTCAAAAGCGTGCAATTCGTATTGTAATCTGTATCACTCCAATAGATCACAGGTGTATCGACAGGGCACCCTAGTTTGATTAAATGTCGGACCATAGATTCTCGACTAGACTGAGACGAAGAATAACGTTGGCCAGTTGCGGCTACTCGGATTAGATATCCTCTGTATCCTCTGCGTTCATCTAAATCGACCCAATAGTCAGGTTTGAGCTCGTACTCAATCAAAGCTTTCAAGTCCGCAGCTATAGCAAAACCTACGAAAGCGTCGAAAGGCTTCATAGGGCCATGTGGATGTCTGGGGAACCATGTATTGATCCACATGTCAAATCGATATGCACTATCCGGTGCATCGGAATCCAACATGAAATGGAAAAGTTGACTGATTCGAGACACATTCACGGAGGTACATGTTTCAACCCGGAAAGCATATTCGAGCATGTGTCGACTGAGTTCACGAGCCCACCTAGATTTGCCGTAGCGTATTGAGCAATGGAGTAGGTAGAAATAACCACTCTGACATACAAAATCAGAGCCACTCAGACGTAGACCAAGATTGTTGTCGTTTTTAGCAATGAAATCCTTAACGGTCTGGTGGATGAACTGAACGGTGACTGCGGTACCGCTTGAATGCTCTGTCAGACCCGACTTTTCTGTAATGAGACGAGGTGCTTCGTATAGAATTGGTCTAACGAACGAGCCTTGTGATGAATTAAACGATTCGACTTTGTACGGTGCTTTTGTCGTTAGATCCTCAGAATCAATTGCTGTGATCTCTAGAAGGCCCCCACTTCTACTAATCAGCTGGCGTAACATTTCTGCTTCGGATGAATTGTAGTAACCCTCTGACTTGATGACAGAGGTGCATTTGATAAAAGTCTGAAGCGGGAGTGGTGAAAGACTACAAAGAGCGATTTGCAGCATAATATAAGCTTCATCGGCATATTCGGGCTCGATTCTCTCCAGGGTATGTCGATACAGATCTTCCAGTTCTTCCGGCATATCGGACACTTTTCTTTCCAATAATGATAGTGCTGTCCCATCCCTGACACCCTTAACAAGTTCGTCGACAACAATTCGGACCCATATGAAGACGCCGTGGGCTTTTGCATTGACATTTTCTGCGAGTTGGGCAAGCTTCGAAGAGAAAGTAGCATCATAATCCTCTCCCACATATCTCAATGGCTCCAATGATAGTTTCGTGGTATAGTTATGATCATTCTCTCCCAGACCTACCATTGCCCCCAACAATCTTTTCGTGGTATATGCCTGAATATCACTGGCGGTGCATTGGTGTATTGCAAACTGGGGACAGGTTCCAAAATGTTGCCCAAAAATATTCCATGTTCGACTTGCGACGCATATTTTGATCCTGACTGTTTGTTCATCGGCACCTGCAAGTAGCTTATAAATGAAAGCCGCAAGCAGGGTATTGTCCCCGTCGTGCTCGTCAAGAGCATCCAAGAAGATACACATTCGAAGGGGTACCTTTCGCTGTTCGGTAATGGCTAGCCATGCTTGGCAGAGTGAATCAAATGTCCAGACTGGAGTCGATGTCCGTTGTAACTTCACAAGCTCAGAGTATACCGGATGGATGTACTCTACTAGAGTCCAAGGATCTAGAGCTTGTGACAAGAGTTGGTGTAAAAGCGCCTGAAGCATGCCTACCATTGATTTCTGGATGTGAGAGCCACGGTCGTGGAAGAAGAAACCGAGTATAGCCCACTCTATGTGACCTGAAACAGAGCTAAGATAGTCTTGAGTTCTTTGATCTCGCATTGCAAACTTCATCAGAGTCGATTTCCCAGACCCAGGTTTGCCATTGATCCAGAAGATTGGGCGAGAAGGACCGACTCCGTTCTGATTTGCTTTCAACCAATCTACAAATGGAACAACCTCGTGATCAAATAGCCACTGAAAGGTTCCATCGTATGACGAAGCGACATTGTTATAGCGAGTTCGAGTTTGCGAGTTTTCTAGACTAGAAAGGCAAACTATGATAAAAGTGAGCTATATCAGCCAGATGCTGTATTCGTACAACTTACTCTCTAGCGCCCCGGTTTTGATTCCTGGTCATTTTAGTGTTGGACAACATCCTGAAGACAAGGCATATCGACACTGCTGTAGAGTATGAATTAAGGCAAAGAATACTGAGCACTTACCATTTGCTTCAGACTTCTCTTTGATTTCTTTCACCCATCGCCGCAACTGTGAGCTGACTCGATCAAACCCCACTTCTTCAGCTGATGTGAACTTTGTCATGTCACGATGATTTTTGGGTATTGATGATACTTCCTCTTCTCCATGGCCAATCTGAGCAGACTCATTGTCTACTATCATGCTGTGGAACAGGAAATACTTTCGCACTTCCCGATCTTCATAGAAAGATGATATCTTGATGTTCCACTTTTGTTGTGTGCTGCGGAATCTGTTGCTTATACTTTTCAGCGTATCAGAATTCTTCTCTAAAGATCTCAAAAGCTTAATATTTGGTCGTTTGGTGGCAAGCCGAGCAATCCGATAGACATGCTTGCCCATCGTGGCTGATCCAGACCCGCGATGGGGTGTTCCTAGAAACAAAACACCATGAGTGGCAGCGGCAACACCTTTGAGACGTTGAATCTCAGATTGAGATGATATATTCAATGCCTAATGAACAAGTCAGTAACGATCAGATGATTCCACGGCCTTGATGGAAATTCAAATATCAAAGGCTCAAGGCGGCATAGATTATTGTGGATTTTGAGGGACATGGAACATGGAAATTGGTGAGGATTTTCTGTACAAGACGAGAAGAGATCAATAACTCACTTCTTTGACAACTACTCCACCAAGACTATGCACCACGAATATTATGGGAAGTTTTACCTATAGATAGACAGTTAGGTAAGCCTCCTAGTAGAACTAAAGAATTTATCGCTGTCAATGCTTACATATCCATGTTTATCTATCAAGTTCGCAATGTCAATCAAGAGATCGTTCGCATGCTGTTCGACATTGTTATGTCCAACGGACGTGTTGAATGCGTCGACATCAGCGTCGTATCCCCTTTATAACAGATTAGTATGAACTTTCCCTAAAGGTTCTGGGAGCTTTATAGTTGGCAAAATCGATTTACCAGGTAAAGTTGCGTGTGTCCGGAAGCACAGTCGGAAGTATGGCCTTGAGAAGAATGTTAAATCAGCATTACTATCCTGGGAAACTTCCAGGATTGGGAAGTAAGGATCTCAGAGCCGTGGGACCACCGTTCTTACCACTGGCCAGAATACCTCACCACTGCGTGATCCAACTATCTCTGATGAAGTCACTAAATTCGAACGCGCGGTGTCGGATATCTGGCTCGAGTGTTCTAACTCCGCAGGATGAGCATTCGTAGTATGTGTTCTATGGGCTTCTCGGGCGATGTTCTGTTCTGGCTTCTGGCCTGTCCAGGTTCTCTGAGGGTGGCCAAATAGTCCATGAACAAAGACGAGTCTACAAATCAAATTATATTGATACTCACTCAAAATGCTCAATCGGGGTGGTAACGTACATCGCAGTAGCCTCAGTATCTTGTGGCGGCTTGTATACCTGAGTAAGCCCGAATCGCTGTATTGTCACAGCCTTGTGATCTAACAGCGACATAGCGGAGCGAGGCGGCCACAGATGTCAAGATACGGATGAATATAATGTCCGACTTAGGCCACGTCAAGTGATTGATTGCAGGACTTGGAAGAAGATGTGGGGCAGAGTCTCGGACGAACTCGAGTCGAGATGGCAATGATGAATGTAGGAAGGTGGCACTATGCTGCAGCAAGCCTATTCAGCTCTAGTGCATCAGCCCCCAGCATGTTAGTCACGTGTTGGCCCCCCTATCACTGGGCGGAACTTCCAGAGTCAATACTTAAGATACATTAAAACAAGATTAATTGTGTTCTACATAATAATACAGCTTATATTAGCACGATATTTGTGGGACTGTGGTACGTTTATCATATTAAAACCAGGTGCTGTGAATTAGTAAGACAGGATTCCATGAATGCGTGAGACGAACCTCCCTTCTACAAGTATGCAACAACGCGATCAAAACCTTCTTAGTAATTAAGAGGACCCGGACATCATATCAACTACGGTTCCCGGGACTAGGCCCATCTATACAGAAAGAAGCATCGGCCCTGTCAAGTAAGGGAGTTTTAGTAATAGGACTACTTTTAGAACATGCTCTTAATAAGTAATGCTATTCCGAAAATTATAGTAAAGGAGAATTAGTTAAGTAAAATCAAGGGAAATCTATCGGTGTGATAATTGCAATTACGTATAAGCCCTGAATGCTAATATAGAATGAAAACCTTATGGTAGAGGAAACAAACTTATCTCATGTACTTGCTAGAATTCTATAATCAAGTGATAAGAGTGACGATTGAATTATATATCTATTCCAGTTCATTCATAAATGTAGACGATTCATGAATCTCCTAGTTCATTCATGAACATTAGCGTAGATTCACGTATATCCTACTTCACTCGTGAATCTTAGTCCTATTCACAAATAAACTAGTTTTATAAGTAAATCCAGTTTACTTATGGATCTGCACTAAACTAAAGTAGGACTAAGCGCTGCAATTGCTTCAAAAATGGAGTTAAATGTATAGTCTATTGCTACTCAAATGCAGAGCATGACTGCAGCTACTCGCAAAGGAAGAGTAAGAGAGCTAGAGCTAATACTGCTAGCAATAATATAGAGTACTAAAATATATCCTCATTTTAACCAATTTGAGATTCACGTATAAACTAGTTCATTCATGAATCTCCTAGATTCACGAATGAACCGGAACATATCAATCAGCTGGCGCTAACGGTCGCTGGCCACGTAAGTAAATATAACTCAGCACCCTTCAATTTCACAACCAGAATTAGGACATTGTAACATCAGACATGAGTTCTAGACAACCCCATCTGCCGGATTATCGTGCCCGTCTTATATCTATCTACACCTCAATCCTACCCAAACCTCGCTAAAGCCCCTGAATAAACCACCCCACATCCTCCATCCTCAACTCAATCCAAACAACTCCAAGCTAAAACACTGCACCTAGATCTACTATATCTCATAACTCCACCTAACAGATCCGCACCTTTCCTACACAAGAAGCGAAGATTCATTTATAACAGTACGGCACTTTTCTTAAAGCTGTCTGCGTATAACTTAAAACCTTAACTCAAACCCCCCCCCTCCCCCCCCCCCCGAATTTCACTTTATACAAAACAGAGCCCCTGAAAATTGTAAATAAATTCTCTTATAAGATAATTCAAAGTGTTTAAAAATGAAATTAATATGCTATAGGCACAGTAGGCTTCTCTACTACGCTACTGTTAACACACAGGCAAAAGTCTTTCACGTATCTTCTACCACCCTCCCTCTCAATTCACTCTCAATACACATACACATACACACACTGCGAACCCATTCACATCCACAACTTCTTTACCTTGCATAAAAGAAAACAGCTCGCGAGCACTCACTCTCAGCACAGACCAGAAACATCATTTTGGAAAGCAGAGAAAGGAAGAACGTATCGATCGATCTACCTTTTTGGACTGGCGCACTAGCAGACAGACAGACAGACAGACAGTTATTCACACAAACCATGTCATGGCGTCTCCACAACCAAACCCACAGCCACACTCATATTCAAGCCCACACTCAAGCCCACACCTCCATCCACATCTCCACCTCCGTACAAATATAAAAAACACAACAACACCAACAGCGAACCCAGCACACCTCCGCGCTCTAGCACGAGAATTAATACCCTTGACATCGCCTACAATGCATGATCACGCGCCTCACGTTCCGCAAGAGGGTTGGGGCGCAGGGGATGTGATGGAGCATTTGCAACGTCTCGATATCAGTACCCCTACTCCCACGGTACCGAGAAGTGTCCAGGAGATACCCATCACTATGCCGCGAGAAGACACGAGCATGCAAGAGCTAGACCAAGATCTGCCATCTCCAACCCCGAAATTCTACACCATCACACCCCACCCCCTCCCTTCGCGCCCCATACTAGCAACACACGCCCAAACACCACACACCACTAGTACTCTCCCCGCCCGCCCGCAAACCTCATCCTTCTACATAGCAACGCAGAATCAAGCGCGCATAGCAGCCATATCCACGGATCCTGCGCTGAGCAAGAGGCAGAAGAAACGGCATATGAAGAAGCAGCGGAAGAGGGATCGGTTGGGCGATGAAGCTGAGACTGAGACTGCGCCGGAACGCGAGCCGGAACCGCAATTGTACTATAATGCGACGAATACGGATGATTTTCCGCTGCTGGGATCGAGTCCTCCACCTCGTTGTGCTGTGAAGGATAATGTAGGGGGGGAGGTGGAGGTAAGACGGATTGCTATGGTGCCATTCAAGATGGATCTCCCGGCTGCTCCGCGGCAGATACTCAGGCGCGGGCACAACACTTCCATTTCCAGTGGAAGCACCTTCACATTTACTTCCTCAAACCCACCCACGCACCCAGCAGCCATGAGAATGAACCCCCGGCCCCGCCCCGCCTCCAGCAGCACCGTACATCACATAGCCGGATCCTCCACATCCTGGGTATCGGGCGCAAGCGCCATCAAGGATAAATTCGAGCGCATCCAGAAGAACGCTGGTCATCTGGGCCTGTTAGATTCGACGGTTTTCCCGCAGACTGTAAGCGAGTACGTTAGGCATTTGGGGGAGGTGAAACAGGCGGGTATTGAGTGGGAGCATGGGAAGATTGAGAGAAGGGTGAAGGAAAGACGGGAGGCGAGTGCGAGGCGGAAGACAGATTTGCTGATGTTGGGGAAGTATGGCGTGGAGGTTTTGGGGTGGGAGGGACTTGGTGGAAGTAGAAGTGGAAGTGGGGGGAAGTATCAGGGGACTGAAGATACTGGAGAGGGTTTAGAAAGTGCCTTTAAGCTGGCCGATTGGAAGAATTCAGGAAACCAAAACGAGCGTCGAGTCGAGCGATCTGATCTCGGACAAAGTGAGATCATCCCAATCGACGAAACGACATTCTGGCACCCATCATACGAACAGCTTCCTGAAAAGCGCGGCGGAGCGTGGCACTTAAGTCGCGCAGCATGGCCGGAGCAGAATGAGTTGAAAGCCGAGGGCGAGATGCGTGCCAGGATTTTCGGGGAGAGGAGACTGCCGTTGCCGCGACGGGATCGGTTTAGTGTGGATGCGTTCGCGAGCAAGTTGGATGGAGGAGAAATGGCAGAGGAGCTGGCGAATGTTAAGGGAGATGATATTCCGTGGTTTGAGAGGCAACTGGTGGAGTTTAAGGGGTTGGATGGTTTGGAGAGTGTTGAGAGAGAGAGGGTTTCGCAGACCAAGATTTGGACGCATGAGGGGGTCAGTATGCCGGCGAAGCATCAGGGTCATGGTGGTTCGAGGGGACGGTTTAGCCACAGCTCCAGAGATATGGTTCGAGGAGGTGGCTCTAGAGACACGACGATGGGTAGTAGTGGAATAAGTTCGCCTAGTTCCGGGGTGGATGCTCTGGCCACCAGCTTCGCCTCTATGGGCAGCCCAGAATTTAGAGGCCATGGAGCCCAGAAATTGGCAGAGTCCTCCAGAGAACACAGATCAATCAGCGGCTCAGAGGCTGGGCGATCCACTTGGGGCGGTAGAGTGGAAGAATTATCAGAGATGTACGACCAGTATATCCATGCCCAAAGACGTACTCCTCCTAGCAACCCTCAGTCCCAACTCCGCATACTTGACGAACCCAACTATGAGTCCTTGGCTTGGGGAGCAGATGGATACGGAGACGGAAAGTCACCACCACCGGGCGGCTGGAAGTTTGATGAGGAGTATTTGAAGGAGAGGGGATGGGAAGATATCCTGAAGGAATTGTGAGCAAGTATTCCACACAGGCTACTGTTCCCGGTCTTTGTCATAAGCAAGCCTGACTTTTGCAGCCCCTGAGATTGATGTCGGATCTTAGGCCTCAAAAGGCATCCACACCAGCATGCTTGCGGCACCTGGAAACACATTCCTGATTCCATCTGTAGCTCTCTACCAGGAATGATCAGGGCAATCCCCGCATTTAGCATAGAAAGTTTCTGAATATACAGCGTTGAAGCGAACTCAATTCCAAAGTGAAATACAAAATCTGAAGCACAACAGCGACGCGACAACAAAACACGAAATCAATCAATACTGTAAGCCGTTTCCCTTGTTCCTCTAAGTATCTTCATTTGCCAGGACTTGCGGTGTTTGACGTTATAAACAGCACTTGCTTCAATCGAAATATGTGATGAAAGGTTGAACGAATTGAAGTGAGGAAGTCAGAAAACATCCTTGTCTGGCCTTATTGTCAGATCACGGGACCTGGTGGGACCAAAAAGCAATTCCAGGACATGGAGCTTGTGATCATATCCATAGCAATGCGATTTTAATCTACGAGTTCTTTGCTATATAAAAACAAAATCTCCTTTACATATAAAGCCTTTAAAAGGTTCCATTTCTAACGATTTATATTGAAGAACATAGGTATGTAAAAAACGTATTTAACCATACTGACTGTACTCTTATCGCGATAAGGGCCCCGTACCTGCCCTGCACCTGCCCCTTCTGCATCCAAAGCTCGATCCATATCAGCAAGCAAATCCCCACCTTCGTTTCGCCCTTCACCTAAGCCTTCCTTCATCAAGCGGTGTGACATGCAACTGCAAACGCTCTCTTCTACTCCCGTCTCCTCTGCATACGAGTATATTATTTTCCCGCGCGTGCACAGCACCACTCATACCCAAGGCAGGCAAGTCAGGCACGGAAACTTGCGATAAGAGAGGGAAGGAGAGAGGGAAGAGGAGAGGAGAGGAGAGATATTGTAGGACGGAAAGATGTTGGGTGTAAAAGCTGGCCCGGGGGTGGTGAGGAATAGGGAGGATATGTATAGGAAGACTAATGTATGTATATATTTACGTTTGTTATCATTTTATATATTTCTCGTTTTCGCCTCTCACATTAGTCATTAGTAGGCTTTTGTTTCTTGGTGTTGCGTTGGTTGTTATGTTTTATTCGTGCGTGCGTGCGTGCGTGCGTGATTGAGGTTCAAATAATCAGCTGTTGCGATACACGTGCTTGTGGCGGTGAAGACTGCACTGCCTAGGTACCTGATTACCGTGGGTGATCGGTTAGAAGGAATATAATGAGACCACAAACGCAGGAGCTCTAAGATTCAGGAACCCGAGGTTAAGAAGTCAACCCGTCGGATTGGTCCGTTGTTTGTGCTCTTTCCTGGCTTTGACGATGGATGAAAGAAAGGGAAATAGCTTTCTTGATGAGTGAGAACTTTCTTTGTTTTCAGGGAGAGAAGAAAGAAGAAGTACTTCCTATCAGCTGCCTTGCATGACTAGATGCTCAAGTACAGTATCGTGCAGTGCATGAGAGAGAGAATAGCATCCACAATTCCGTCTAGACCGTATCTTCAATGAAGAAAATGGAATGATTAATTGAAGCATTCCAGAAGCTATACGAATTCCACATATTACATATACATTATCCATCTGCAATACTGGGTGCCCCGAGTACTCCGTCTCCGTATCCTAAAAGGAGGGGCAGTTGGTGGTGTGCGGGGTCCACGGGGTCTATCCGATTGCAAGGAATTCCCGACCCGAGAAATAATGCTTCTTTCTCTTCCACATCGGCACCTCCCCCCACAATAGAACATCACCACTTCTCCAACATCACCCACGATTTGCTGAATGCTCCATGATTGCCGCATGATCCAATATTATCATCTCACTTTTCCCCTCTTGAAATCTGCCGAGACCTTTGCCAATTCACCCCTCAATCTGGCAGTCTCGAGTAGCACCCGTCCCAGCCGTTTCTTTCCGCTCTGCATTGTTTCCCCTTGACACCTCACGCGACCCCCTCCGAAAGCTTCATTACACGTCTCTCTTGCTTGGAAATTTCTCCTACCTTCAATCTTCTTTGCCTTCGGAACCTTCCTCAAGACAGCCCAACATGGAGATGATGCGACCCAGAAAGACTAATGGTCTGGGTGTGCAGGTGGAAGATACACAGATCTGTGTAGTGATGGTTGGGCTACCGGCCCGCGGAAAATCTCTCATTGCACAGAAAGGTACGAATTGCATCCATGCGCCCGCCCGCCCTCGCTGTAGATCCATAGCTAATATTCTGCGTGCCAGCTCAACGCTACCTTGCATGGCTGTCCATTGACGCAAAGGTCTTCAACGTGGGGAACTACCGTCGCAAAGAAACCGCACATCCTACCGCCGAATTCTTCGATACGAGCAATGCAGAGGGAGAACGAATGCGTCGGGCTGCCGCAGAAGCTGCTGTGAATGATATGATTGCCTGGTTTAAAAAGGGTGGGCTGATTGGCATTCTGGATGCTACGAACTCTACAAAGGAGCGCAGGCGCTGGATCGCTGAGGCTATGGACGAGCATGGTATTGAGACGTTATACGTGGAGAGTAAATGCGATGACGAAGATCTAATTATGAGCAATATCCTCGAAGTCAAGACCACGTCTCCAGACTACATTGGACAGGATCCAGAAGAGGCTGCACAGGACTTCCGCAAACGAATTCGGAATTACGAGAGGGTTTATGAGACGATTGACAAGGACGAGAGTGATCTCACGTATCTGAAGATTATGGATGTTGGAAAGCGGGTCATTATCAATCGCATTCAGGACTATCTACAAAGTCGCGTAGTTTATTACCTGATGAACCTTCACATCAAGCCCCGCTCTATCTGGCTCTCGCGGGTGCGTTTGTACCCTTGAAATCGAGGAAAATACTAATTGCCTGTTTAGCATGGAGAATCAGAGTACAATCTTGGTGGTCAGATTGGTGGTGATGCCGACCTCTCGCCGCGGGGTCATGAGTATGCCAAGCTTCTTCCAGAACTTGTCCGCAGATCAGTTGGGGTATGTACCATCAATTCATCACCCCGCAGATCTAGTACTGACTTTGACAGGATGATCGACCCCTAACTGTCTGGACCTCAACCCTCAAACGCACCATTCAAACCGCCCGGTACCTTCCTAAGCACTACAACCAACTACAATGGAAAGCCCTGGATGAACTCGACTCTGGAGTCTGCGACGGCATGACGTACCAAGAAATCGCAGAAGCCTACCCCGAAGACTTCGCCGCCCGAGACGAAGATAAATACAACTACCGCTACCGCGGCGGCGAATCGTATGATCCCCACATCCCCACCCATCTACCCCACTAACAGCCCCAACAGATACCGAGACGTAGTAATCCGCCTCGAGCCCATCATAATGGAACTCGAGCGATCCGAAGACATCCTCATCGTAACGCACCAAGCCGTCCTACGTTGCATCTATGCCTACTTTATGAAAAAGGACCAGACCAAATCGCCCTGGCTAGCCGTCCCGCTTCACACTCTGATCAAGCTTACGCCCAGAGCATATGGTACTATTGAGGAGTATGCGAGTTCGGGCATCGATGCCGTTAGTACGTGGAGAGGCCAGGGGAGTGTGGCACACCATGAAAAGCCGCCGGTCGGGGCAGAGGGTGTTATCGGGAATGTTGCGAATGGGGAGAATCCTCCTTGAGCTCGGGTCCTGGGTGTTCTTACGAAATCACCTTTTGTGAAATAGATGGATGGTTTTACGATTCTCGCATAGCGATGTGGCGTTCTACGGGCCTGCGGAAGGCTTCTTGGTTTTGGGATAGATGATTATGTTATGTTGATTATGACATATATACATACTCCGCTTTGTGTATAAGGGAATACCCACTTCTTACCTAAGGCTGCTGGGAATATCTGATTCGGCCCTTTGTAGTCACGGTACTGGGTCTGTGCATTGGCCCCCGTCAATGTATCCTTACAGAAAATACTTCATTTCAGTATCATATCCTTTAATCTTATGACAGTCTTGCTCTTAGGCTTTAGGGCTAAGCTAAGACACAGCGCTAGTGATAGAGACGTCTAATTATTTCCAGCGCTCGAGGTCCTTACTCCTAAGATATTGCAGTGGAGGCTGGGAAGAAAAGGGGTGCTGTGCTTGTAGATAAGAACATTACAGTAGGAATAAACACTGCATATATTGCTAGGCTCCATAGAGTATCTATCTACAACGCCCGGAATAATCATCCAAAAAATTGATAAATAAATAAATAAACTATCCGTAGTCCCCGAGAGTAAGATTTCCCTTGCCTTCGGTGCTTAGATGAGAAAGCCATAGCAGCTAAATCTAAATAGGAGTAAAGTGTTATGTAGAAGAATCCTTCTCCTGTCGCGCTAGCGCTACCAACCATCGTTGCAACATTGTGCGAAGGGAGTATTCTTGACTATCCGGGTCGGGGATGGATTCACGTGTCAGTCATGTGACCTTAGGGCGCGCGGATGACTAGGCATAACCTCTCCTCTTCGCTTTATTACCCACTCTAGATATTATATTATATTATTATATCACAAGCTACAACCACTAAACCCAGAGTTAAGTCTTACTAGATGCATGCATGCATACTAGCTGGTAAGAAGTGATCAAATCACACCTGTGATACTAATCATTAACGATCGGCTCGGCGTAGAGGCAGTAAATTGGATTGGTTGGGACTTGGAATAATGAAGGCTTATAAGTTTGTAAAGGTTGATGAAGATTACTTTAACGAGTCTTGAAATTATGCAGGCCTTTCATGTTATTGGGAGCGCAGTAGGAAACAGGCTTTCGATTCTGAAAGTTGTCCCCCCATCTTCCTCTTCTTATTTCCCTTTCATGCCACTCCCATAGGAAGCCGGCAGGGGGCATGGAGAAGAGAAACTCCGCAAGCGATAAAGGAATTCCAAGTCAGCTTAGAGAAAGTACCGCACCTAGAAAGGTGTAGAAAGAAATCTTGCCTATTGTGTCTTTCCTGTTTGCGAGTTGAAGCGAGCGAACGAATATACATTTGTGCTCCTAATTTAATGTCGATTGAAAATCTCCAAGCTTCTGATATTGACTCTGCGCCGGAGACCCAGCCCCAGCTCCTGCTGGACTTTGAATCGCTGCCTCGCAGGAATGAAATAGGCATGAACTACAAACATATACCTACACCCAGGAAGCAGAGGCAGAATGACCAAGGGTTCTATAATAGGACTCCTGTTCCACTCCTATATTTTCCACCACTCGGACCCCCGCCGCGTCCTCTTCAGTTCATGCCCACAACTCCTCCCAAGCCTTCAGATCCTCCGGCGACAGACTTTTCGCCCTATATCCGTTCTTCGTCTCCTCATATTTCACCCCCGGCAGCGCTTTCCCCTTGCCTTTCCGATCTACCTTCGGCTTCCCATTCCCTTTGCCATTGCCATTGACACCCACTATACTCTTCAGCGACAACTCACCCCCCAAACACCTTCCGCTTATCATCTCTCTTTCCTTTTCTCTTTCCCAATTTTTCCCCATCAACTTCCACCAACATCTGTCCCAACCCAGCCTCAAACTCCCTCTCCTTTCCCCCATCCCCCTCCACGTCACCACCACCACCATCCAAATCCATCCCCTGCGCCATCCTCTCCATCAATTCCCCCTTCGTCGTCAAGAACATCGCATCCGCCCTCATCCGATCCGCATCATCTCCCGCCTCCCTACCATGCATCCACAGCTCATCACCCCTCACCTTAATCAAAGCATCCAGCACAACCACATTCGGAGCACTCCCCTTGCTCTTTTCAACACGTTCAAACGTATAATTGCACGTAGCGCAGAGGAAAAGGCCACATCCCTCCAGGACGTTTCCGTTTCCGTTCGCAATAGGTTCAGCGGATGCAGAATAATGTTGTGAAGCGCAACACTTGTACTCGGCGACTGCAACGCAGATACTGCACCACTTCGTCCGCACCGCCAACTCCCCACCCTTCCTATCTCCCACTGCAAGAGCCTTGAAACTCGCCTCCAGACAGGCCGGTGTACAAGCATCGATATCAAAACCTGGAATCCGTTTTACTCTGTGGCCTTGACATGTCAAAGTCCGCACGCGGGAAAACGTGCACGCGACGCACATTTTACTACTCTCCTTGTTATGCTTGGAGTCACGGTTGGAAGAATGCCCACCTACTACTTCCTCGTTGCCAAGGGAGCCGCCCCAGGGGATAACTTCGACGCTTACTTCGCCGTGGCCCCAGAGCCCAAAGAAAGGGAATGCGCACCATGAGCATGGGTGTGCGCCTAGGGGGTCGGGAATGTAGTTGAACTTGATTGGGTGCGCGAAGCAGGTTTTTATCATCTTGTGTGGGATGCCTGCTGATATTGGCATTAGTGTTGGTGGTAGTGACAAGGAGGTACATTTCTCGCCTTTTCTTTTGCTCCGCGAGCTCTTCTTGAATTCTCTCTCTGCTTCTTTTCCGAGAATTTGCCACGATTTTTCTGATGTCGCAAGGCTGTCGGTTGCATATTGTACAGATACAGGTAAGATTGGTGTCCGCTTAGCTCGCTGATGCTTCTGCGAACCCTTATTGAACTTCTGAGTTTTCTGGGGTTTCTGAGGACGCTTGGCTTTAGATAATTGTGCAATTGCATTGCTATTAGACTCCAGAGCGAAAGTGCACTTGTCGCCATTCTCGCGGCAGATTTTGCATGGTCCCGGCTGATCTCTTTTCAATGAGCATCTCAAACCAGCTTCGCGACATTGACAGCAAGCAGTGAACATTCGGCCAGCAATCGGGTCGGTTACCGGTAGTGAAACTTTAGTGAACTTTTTCGAGTATGACGATTCCTTTAAAGGAGCAGCGCAGCAAGTTTCATCATCATACTCACATGCATTGCATGTATCGACGTCCTTTCCACCGTCGTCTTTGTAGGAGCAGGTGATTCGTCTCCTTTTGCATCCCTCGCAAGATTTCTTAAGCTTTGGCGGAACGATAAACTCGCATTCTAAATCGGCATCATCGCATGCAGCGCATGGATATGCAAACGCCTCCTGGATGAGGGAGCAATCATCATTCCCTAAGTGGAAGCAAGCTTTGCAACCTCGTCGTTGAGGATTACCTTCTGTTAGATCATCTAGTCCCAGGCCATCTTCTCTGTGTCGGATGTCAGCTACAGCATAAGAGAATTTTGAATGCGACCAACCTATTTGCAACAGCGCCAAGTCTCTTAGGCGCCTTGACTTTTCTGCGAGCCCTACGAGAACCACTACCAGAATCGTCGTCCGATTTCACGGTATCCGAGAACTCATCATCAGCGTTGATACCTTCCGAATCTTCTGAACTTGGAGTGATGGATTTCAGATAAGTCAAAGCTTTCTTATTTGCAAAGAAGAAAGACAGGGTCAAACTATAACCTGCTCGTCTGTATGTCCTCCGAGAATTCCGAGTGCTATTCTCGTCATCCCCTGCTAACTTGACCCTCTTGCTTCTTCTTACTGGGGGACGGATGCGTTTGGTGCTTGGATCATAATTGCCGCTCTTATCTTGGTCAAGCCATGCTGTTGTCGCTCCCCGAATGGGTTCTAGTGCAGCTTTGCGTTTTGAATTAAGGATCACGCCAAGGTGATGAATGCTGGAAGCGAGGCGACTTTTCGAAAAGTCTTTGAAGAACGCATCTTCTGGGGCGGCGGTTGCAGGGGCATCGTAATTGAGTTCAATATCTGATTCCCCTTCGGATTCAGCCGGAGTAAGACTGCGAGGGGTGAGTGGAAGTTCCGCTTCTTGGTGCATGGTGGATACAGCCTAAGCGGCAACAGTACGGGTAAATTACTAGTGGAACGTGCCGTTAGTCTGGGAATCAGAAGAGTGGAGCATGGGTCGTCGATAATCGATAGCCTGGTAAGTAGATGGAGAGCGGGTGAGGATGGCGACAGGTGGATTAAGGAGAGGCAAGAGCATATTTGTGGATAAAGAGCACCCCTAGTTACAACAAAGCGGTTGGGCAAAGGGAGCATTTCGAGAAAGGGGAATCGTGAAGAAAAGTTTTGTGGGATTGCGTAGGAACACGAATGGAGTTGGAAGTAGACGTGCATTTCAAATGGTTCTGTGGCGAAAGGCATGTGTGGAGAGAAGGTGGAGTTGACAGGACTTGGTAAAATCGAGGACATGAAAAGATGATGGTGGTGGAAGAGGGATGCAAGAGGTGCAGGATGATGCTCACTGGAGCGTGCATAGGTGTTGTGCAGCGGATTGTCTTTGGCCGGACAGGCGAGGCGAACTTCCCCAGACTTGAGTCAATTGATAAAAGTTCCACCAAAAAAGTGAGGAGGAAGTCAATTGCAGCCAAAACTTACAAAAGATAGGTGATTTAAACGTAGGAGGGTATTCACGCAAACTCCCTGGATACTTTGCAAACAAGCAAACTGCTGGTATTGATGAATTGGTAAAGTTGTGTTGGAAGCTGACTGGGGACGCTTGGGATTGTTGTTGAAGGAAGTGACGGCCCTGGCGACGCAGAGTGAATGGGTACTAAAACAAGTGAAAAGAATGACTGCTAAAGAATCCACGCTTTTCGTCCGGTTGAAACTCGAAGCTACGTATCCGCAGAAGTCCCGAATGGTTTTCGGAGAGTAAATATACGGATATGGTGGTGGTGATGAAGTTGTGTGAGATAGATCCACGCATGCTGGAAAACCAGCGAGTTGCGTTGGAGAAAACTTTCCTCTAAGCCTAACATCCGAGGTTGCAGAACCCACGAGCTGATGATATTCAATATGACTGCGCTTTGTGTACAGTGCCTGACCAGCTTGCAAAGAGAGATCGTGCAAGTACTGTCCGGAAGTTGGAATCCCGTGAAGTGGTTCCAGAGGTGAAGGTGTTGTTCGGGGACAGCCTGGGCGAATCCCGGGATGACTCTTCTTCCGAAACTTTGACCACCAAGTGCCCCAGACAAAAATGAAATGACAGGCGGACCAAGAAGTGTTTTTGAATGATACGGTAAGAAATCCAATCGAAGTAGAGGCTGAAGGACTTGTTAAGGGCCCGAGACATAGGGACACCATATCCGCCGGGTTGACCAGACCAGCGTCCCAACAACGTCTAAGACAAGCATCAGTACTGACATGTCCAGCGATTGGTTCGTGTAGCAAGCAGAAAAGATGCCCCAGGATATCCAAGACATTAAGAGGCGGAATAGAAAATGCATAGCACGATAACAACAACGGCCAACGAGGATTAACTGGCGAACAACCAGGGACGGCAGTTCGCTCCGATGAAACGATACAGGAAGAAATACTCAGTGTATACTTTTGCCAAAAAGTAATCCTCCAACAAGTTACGCTTTCGTCATATTTCCAGGAGCAGTAGAGTTGGAGTACCAGGTTAACCCAAGGAGATTTTCCACTGGATACCAGCCCTGTGAAAGCCAGGAAGGGTTTTGCAACCAAATAGTCACCCAAGTGTTGCTAACCACAAAAATGAGCATACAGAGGTGAAAATAAAAGGGGTTCAGACGGTGAGCGACACGATCTTGCTATTTGACAGGGTCTGGTTGAAAGATCCACCGGCAGAGCTGTAAGTTGCACCGGTAAAAATAGGTGGCAATGCCGATGGTAATCAAAAAGTCCAAAGTTATAAGAGAAGATGCCCATTCTGAATAGTTCGAGAAATGTGAGATACTTTCTCATCCTGCCGCTTCCTACGCCTGCTGGATATCTGAGAACCAATCTTGCGGCCCTGTATCAGCCATGATGACCTAGAGCTATCATCTATGCTCGTTGCGTCCTCGATGAAGCGGCCAGGAGCTGAATAACGTGTTGTTTGCGAGTATCTCAGATTTGTTTTCCTGGAGTTTCAGTCGGAGTTCTTTGAATTTGAATGTATTTCACAGGGTTTTAGTGATGCTCTTGTGATATTCAGGTGTCGTTATGATATTGAAGAAGCGGCGAATCATGTCTTGACTCCGCTTCCGCTTTACAGATGCTGACTAAGCCACGCTAGACCCCTGCCAGTGCTCCGGAGTAGAAAATAATTTTTCCTTCCCACCAAAGCTTTCCTCTTCCTCTACAACTCCGCCACCGAGCATGATCCCAAGCTGAACAACCACAACTGCCCTCTCCCACAGGGCGGGATGAGGTTATTCTTGATCAGACACGGCGAGACCGTCCACAATGTCGCAGGAGTCTAGTACGAACCTCCCTTTCCTGCACATTGATCTCTGGCTGACAATCCCAGTGCTGGCATCACAGACTCTGCCCTCACGAACCATGGAGTGCTTCAAGCTGCTCGACTTGGTGCTCACCTCGCAGCAACAGATGTAAAGGTCTCCCATATCTTCTCTTCTGACCTGCAGCGTGCAGCCAATACCGCCGAAGCTATTCGAGTCGCGCAATCCCCTACCCCACAAGCCGTCGTCCAGCTCCATCTGCTTCGCGAACAGGACTTTGGGTTTTACGAGGGCAAGACATTCAGTCAACGTCCTCGGGATCCGAGTGGGAGAGATGTACATCTCGATGCCCACCGGAACGATCCTGGGTTTCGAGACGTCGAGTCAAAAGAATCCATGATGGCTCGGGTGGATGCCTTCGTCGATGTACATCTTTTTCCACTATTTGCCGTGGTCCGGGACGAGCATTCAATCGTTGTCGTCGCGCATGGTATAATACTAAATTATCTTTGGAGAAGCATCTTGAAGCGATTCCCCCCAGCAAATGTAGCTATAGCTACGTCTGCTGACCGTGGTCTGAGTCTAGATTACATAGGAGGTTGGTCGAATACTGGGGTGTTGGATCTCGAGGTCAAACTGAGACCCGGGGTCATTCCAGTGCAAGAGAAGCCTACCTATGGGCCCCCTCTCGAAGTTCCCCCCACACTCTCATCGGCAGAAGCAGGGCCACCAGAGCTGTCGCAACAGTCTACAGGTGTTTCATCATCAGCTACAATTTCTGCCCCAGTCTCTCGCCCAGTGCTCTCACATATATTACTTACGGTAAAGGCAGTGAATAGCTTGGAGCATCTGAATGGGTTGAAGAAGACTCGAGGTGGTATTGGTAGCTTGAAGCATGACCCAAGCCAGAAGACAATGGATTCGTTCTTCAAGAAGAGAACGGATTGAGTGGCACCATATTGGTTGGCCACTCTACTACTTGTAAAGTAAGTTTGCTCTTTTTCTTTTGCTTTCCCCCCGGTGATATGATGAAAAACCTTATTCACAGACCTGTTCTGAATTATAATGTGGACACAAACCAAGTACCAACTGCTGTCTGATCACTCAATTATTTTACCTTTTTGGTTATAAAATCATTCTTTTGACATGATTGCTAACATCTATCACTAGACACTTGCTTTCACCAACTTGAAAGACGCAAAACGAAGACCTTGACGCTATGTTGGGTATTAGATTAAATGTCCAGAATACATAAAATGCAATCAAATATCCCAAACTCCTTCATCGCAAACGTGTCACATAGCCAGCTTCCCCTCCCTCCCATTCCTCCCTTACAAAACCAAAACCCCTATCCCAACAAACACCACCAATCCCCCCATACTCCTAACCACATTCACATCCTTCACCCCCGCACCACTACTAGAGCTTGAACTCGCGCTCGCGCTCGCACTCGCACTACTCGCCACAGCTGATGGTGTAACGCCTATTCAAACATCAGCCCTTTCCCTCCCTCATAGATATGCAGAAGAAAGTATACATACCACCAGCCCCCCCGCCCGAATGCTCCACACTCAACACACTACTCAAATACCCACTTATCTCCGCACTCCCAGTCCCACTTCCACTCGCACTCGCACTCGCACTACTCGTCGACGCCGGATGATTCAACCCACCCGGCGTAATCCCCGTAACCCTCGTATCCGAACCCGTAGCCGTCGTCGAGGTAGAAAGACCCAAGAGCGTGGTTCCGGCCGCGGACGAAGACGAGAGACCCAGGAGTGTGGTGCCCGGCGTAGAGGGCGTACTGGTAGGGGCTGCGACTGTGGTTGTCGTTGCGCCGGAGAGGATCGTTGATGTTGCGAGGACTGTTGTTTCTGTCGCGGCTACTGCTACTGCCGCTGCTGCTGCTGTGAGGAAGATCGGTACGAGGATTGAGATATGCATTGTGCTGCTGTTTGCTGGTATAGTATGTAGATAGATAGCGACGGATGGTTGCAATTACAGTAATTGAGAGTGATAGTTGGTTGTATTGTTTCGTCTTGTATGGTATGTTATTCAAGAAAGCCAATAGAATATTATTTACAAGTATAAAACAAGATCCCATCCAGATATTAATACATCCATCACACGTCCCGTCCCCCCATCCATGGGCCAACGCCAACCAAGCACAAACAAACCGAGCCGAGGCGGCGCATGCATGCATTAGATAGAAAGCTTGTCCTGCCCTGCCTGCCATGCCAACTGCCCTGCTTCAGCCACACCACCCTCTCCTCTCATTCGCCGCACCTCCTTACGCAAGATAACCACCAGCGGGTACACCAGGGGTCAAGACTTAAACGGGAAGGAGGATGTGGCTGGTGAGGGGAGACGTTGCGTCATTGGACAGGGGGTGGTGTTGTTCCTTGATTTCCTGCGGTGGTGGAAAGTACTCGGGAGAAAAATTTGAAGAAATTATAAATAAATTAAGTCTGCGTTGATATGGTATTCTGATATTCTTCTGTACTGGAATTGCAGAAAGATTACCGTGAGTATACCTCAGCTAGTTAGGATATATAAGGTAAGGTAACTTTGCATGAAGTTGAACTTCCTTCGAAGCTATGGTAGTTAGAGTCACGTGTCGCTGCCCAGTATTGCACAGAGTACATATATTTCGCGAAACCGTATTTGGCTCTCTGGAATGAATCCCTTACCGGGACTTTGAATGCGCAGAAACGTAACATAGGGCATTTTACTCTTAAACATGAGATTGTATAGTATTAAGAAAAGGCATTCGTGACACGTGATATTAGTTAGATTCAGGAAGTCAGTCGTTCATTAGCAGCCCCTTTCTCCATCCCCAACTTCCTCCAAATCCTTTCGCGCGCTACCTAGACTAGGAGCGTTGCCCTCCTTACTCTCGTCCAAATCAGCGTAGCTATCATTGCAATGGTCCATCATTCCTTATTTTTTTGCATTCATCATAACTACATCAAACGAACCAAGCCACTAATGCAAATAATCCATCTCATATCTGAATAACATGAGCAAACCCTAACCCTCCACATTCTCAAAATGAAAAGTCGGCACCCCCGGTACAGCACTCTCCGCATTCCCCGGCAACCCTTCCCTAATCCCACCCCCGACAACCTTTCCGCTCTTCCCCCCTTCCGCAACCTCCACAATATCCACCACCGAGAGTCCCGCCGCCTTCTTCAACCCAGGCACCATATTCCCCAAAGTCTTCAGCTCATCAAATGCCAACTTTCGCTCAAAGACATGCTGAGGGGATTCTCCACCAACAAGTCTTCTCTTCAAGCCCTGCACAAACGGCATAGCCTTCTTCATCTCTCCCATCTTCGCAATCTTGCCATTGAGCTCTTTGTCATTCACAGTCTTAGTATCCGGGTTCCACGCCTCGCGTACAAGGTCGATGTACTTTTCCTGCCACGCTGGAAATTTCGCCGCGGCGAAGATAGAGAGTTTCTTCGGCTTCTTCAAATCATAACCGATATCTTTACCCTTCGCCTTCTTCTTCTGCTGCGCTGCCTCTGCACTGGTTACGTTGCTGCTTGTATTACGTACATATTCTCTTTCTGCGGACAACGCAGGGTTGGCTGCGGGGACCTGAGGCCAGAGCGCGTTTTGGACAGTGGAGGGCTTTTGGAGGACTTCGAGCCAAATGTATTCTGCCCAATGAGGAGCGATGACTGTGAGGAGAAGAGCTTGCAGCTCGATGTATTGAAAGATGAGGTCCTTATGCATTTTGATCCCCGCAGCACCGCTAGCTTCGCGGTAGAAGTCTCGCGCGGATGTGAAATCGTAAAGTGCGGATTTGAGCGCGAGTTTGTAGTTCGTATCCGCATAATGCGTGTAAGCTTCGTGAACCAGGGAATTCATTTCGTTCTCAAAAAGCGCATCGAGGAAATCGTTTTTGGGGCCAGAGCGCAGGGAGGCTTGGTCTTTGACTTGATCCTCACACCACTCGCGAAGGGTAAAGAGGCGGAGCACGTTGTTGTCTGCAACATCTTCTTCGAAATTGGCGTCTGCGACTCCGTCGCCTGCATCGGCTAGGGCGATTCGGCTTGCGTCTGCGCCGTATTTTCTGACCATATCGTCTAAAGTCATGAAGTTGCCGGTGGATTTACTCATCTTTTCTCCGTTCAAAAGCAAATGACCGTTTGCACGGACTGCTTTGGGCCAGTATTCTGGAGGAAAGATCGCGAGATGAATGTAGATGAAGAAAGTGAGATGGTTGGGAATGAGATCCTTGCCGGATACTCTGAGATCCAACGGATACCAGTATTGGAACTCTCGTCTCATCGAACCAAGTGTCTCCTTTGAGATACCGCTCTCCGTGAGAATTTCATCACTCAACTCTCGTCGAGCAAAGACGTAATCCCACACCTCATCCTTCATCTGTTCAGGTTTGATACCAGCCAATCCAGGGGTCTTGCCGAAGATGTCCTTGTGAAGCAAATGAGCAATGGTGTAGTAGGCCATATAAATGGTACTATCACTCAAACTCTCAACCAAGAATTGAGGATCCCAAGGAAGCTTAGAACCAAGACCGTATGTTCGCGCACAAGCCCACTGATTGAGCCAATTCAGCACACCCTCGAATCCATTCTTTGTCTCCTGCGAGAAAGTGTTCAAGCCCTTGCCGCCCTCATTCCCAACAAACTTCAACGCAACCGCCTTCCATGAATCCTCTCCGTAATCAAGATACCACTGATCCATCAAAGCAACACAGCAATCGTCCCCTGATCTACTTACAACCTTTCTCTCCGGTTCTGAGTATGCGAAACCCTCACCAGAGTCAATAAGCTGCTGACGGACCTTTGGCTTGGCAACCTCGACCTTCTCGCCGCTAAAGTCACCGATCTTCATGATACCCTGATAGTATCCCTCCTTGTATGCAAGTTCCTTTGCTTCCTCGAGCTGCTTTGTATCTTTCGGCGAGGCAATCTTGAATTTCTTCACAAGGAAAGGAGCAGCAAGATCACCATAGGAAGGTGTGCCAATAATTGGGACAATCTCCAACTCAGCCCACTCTTTCTTGATGCCATAATATTCCGCCTTTTTCGCGAGATCTGTAATCGTAGCAAAATCATCCGGACTGTCTGAAGGTACACAACTGACAACTCCTGTACCCTTTGTAGGAAGGACGGATTCCATGGGAAGAATTCTGAAGCCCTCTTTGTGAACAGAAAGCGGACCAACAACAAGTGTACCGACGCAAGACGAACCAAGAACCTCTGCAACCTTGTCGACAACACCGTTTTTGGGGAAGATGCCCTGATATGCCATATTCCGCGCAGCTCGATCAGTGATAACGTAGAATTCGGATTCTGAAACCTTGAAAACACCATATTTGATCTTCGGTCCAACAAAACATGAGGTTTGTCCGTACATCGTCTCCGGTCTCAGAGTAGCTGGTACGAAGAAGACATCTGCGCCTTCAGGCACCTTGCCCTTGATCTCGGCACCAGCTTCAGGTGCCCATTCCTTAACTTTTAATTTAATAGCCGTGTATTCTTGGGGTCCAACAGCTTCTCCCTCGCTACGGTCGTGGTCCATACATGGTTGGCCATCTTTGGGTGAGTAGATTGTGTATCTTTTCCCAAACTTGATCTTCTTCAACTCCTTGAGGCGGTTCATCTGCCACCGAACAAAAGCATCATAGTACGGATTCGCATCAGTAGTGACAAACGATCTCCGCCAATCGATTCGTGCTCCGAAATTCGTGAGATCTTGTTTGCAGAGAGGAGGAAAGAACTCTAACCAGTACTGGGGGTCAGAAAATCTGTGGATTTCCTGTGTTGGAATACCGAGTGCGCGCATGATCTGAAACTGATATTTCATCTTGACGACCTTCGACGCCGCCTTGCCCTTCTTCGCCGTGAATTTCGTGACATCCTCGTGGTGCTGACTCGGCGCTGGGGGTGCATTTGTCTTGTCATTCAACGCCTCCTCATCCGAGTATCTCTCAAACTCTTGCCCAAACATCTTCACCTCGTCTATCAGCTTGTCGGAACAAGCTTTAATCGGCATTCCCGTGCAGTGGAAACCAAGAGGGAACAGAGTCCGCTTGCCTTGCATCCGGGAAAAACCGGCGGTAAACTCGATTTTGCTGGCTGTGAAGGTGTGTCCTGCATGTAGAGTACCGTTCATATAAGGATATGCCATGACTCCAAAAAATTTGGGGACCTTCTCGCGCAGAGCGGCGGCGGAGATGGAGTGGAGGGGTACTTCGGTCGTCGAGGGCGCGTCTGGCTCGAAAATGCGGTCCTTTTGCCATTGTGCTTGGTATTTCTTCTCGATTGATACGAGGCTATCTCTCTTCTCGGTCTATAGCTTCACGGTCAATAAAATGGTTTATTCTTTCGAAGTAGCGGGGTACTTGCGCCTTTCAACTCCTTAGTTTTGGAGACAGTGACGGCCTCCAAAGCTTTTGCAGTGGTGTCTACTGCTGCCATGATTGCGGGTGTAGGAGTTGCAAACTCTCCCTTGTTCCTCGCTCAATCTTTGTACGTGTATGCCGTTGTTGTTCTTGGAGTCGCTGTAAATATTCTGCTAGGACATAAATTTAGAGTTGGGTTGGTGGGGTTGTTTCTGCAAGGATGCATGAATGCCTCAGGGAAGCGAGGCATCAGTTTGAATGCAACCTGGAAGAGCTTCCCGAGGTCTTCAGAAATACATCAACACCATAGCAATGTTTCCCACAATAATTCGCAGAGCCGCCCAGAGAGGCGCAGAAGAGATCCCATTAATATACACGAATCCCTATAAAGCGAAACGATTATGGCCTCCAGACTTCACAAAGATACATCCCAAACACCAATTCAGACTCGAGCGCAGATTCCGTAGGAGATCGAAGCTACGATGGGCGCGACCCCGTTGGACGAAGGCAGTGAAGATGGTACAATTCGGGTCTGTTGTTTGTAGGTGCTTCTACGGCGTGTAATGGGAACAGCCAAGCTGATTGTGCTCTTGCAGTTGTGGCGGTCTATGGAGTTCTGTTCTTGGACTGGAATACCACAGGCAATCCAGAGAACCCTCCATTCCATACGGTACTATTTAGGATTTTCAAATGTTCTTGCTCGTATGTGCTGACACTAAGTAGATTCGAACTTGGTTCTTTGGGTTGACGGGGAATATTTGGGGTAGAGGTCAGGTTCGGCAACGCGACGAACCGGATGAAGCATCTCCTGTTTCTAGGTCTGACAGCTGATAATGTATATTTTGTTATTCCTTGTATTGTTTCATGTTCAGCCACCTATCGGCACATTTTTGGGGTTTCCATCTATCTTTGGACGGCGTTCGATGGCATGTATCACGGATTTGGGAATCTCAAAATTGTTTCTGAATACCTTTGAGCCATGCAACTCAGCTCGCCGAAAGTCATCTAAATAGTATTTGCAGCAAGGCTGAAAGGACATTTTAATACTGAAGATCCTTTGCTGTGTAGGAGTCTCGAAGAATACGACGCATTGCTTGCAGACTCCAGAGTGCATCTCTTGGCATGTCAATCTTTTTATCCTATCTGATTGAATCAAATCCTGTCTTCGCCGAAGCTATATCTAACTAAAGTTGGACATGCACTACCGGTATCATTTGATGGAAGATGTCCCGGTACCCTGCCCTACGTTATCGCCCAAAACTACCAAAGTATGTCCGATGGGACAATTTGGACCAACTACCTAAACTATTGGTAGTATAGATCTTGAGCACCTACTTGCCAGTAAAGTGGTCCGAAAGAAGCTGAAAATACCGTGTTAAGTGGAAAGGCCTCGATCAGGATTTGGACTGGTACTTGGCCTCTGATTTCAAATATACCCCGCATCGTCTGAAGGCTATCCATTTGGAGCACCCCGACCAGCCAGGACCACCTTGAGATATTATTCCGCCGAAAGGCGTTGGAGGAATCTGGGGAGAGGGTACGGGGTATTTTTCAGGGTGGCGAGGTTGTTTATGCTAAGGTACGCTTTGCGATGGACTGAGACTGGTTTGCGTGCTTTTGTCTACGGATAGACTGACTGGTCCCTTTAGGTTTTCGACGAAGAGGGTAGAGAGATGAGGAATGAGGGTAGAGGTGGCTGGGTTGCTAAGAAGAGAGGAGATAGTAAGAGGCAATATGGTGGGGGTGCAAATGAGGCCGATGCGGAGAGATGTAAACGGTGTTTCCCTTACTGATCATATGAATGGGCGATTTTCTGTTTGTTATTTGTGAATGAAAGGAAGATTGAGAAGAGGTAACGTTGTGTGGGGTGTGCTTTTGTCATGGGCCTTAGTTCAACACATATAGTACGCACTTATCATCAATGGTTTCTGATTTCTCTATTAACTTAGCATTTCCCCACTGGAAGTAAAATGTGAAATCCACAGCACTCTATTGTCCATGGATGGTGCTGAATTCGTCCTGTTTCTGGACGTGTCCCGAGACGCTCCGTAGGTCTATTTCCTCCATCCTCCGCGGTGTAGCTCAACCCTACAGCAGGTCTTCTATAATCAGCACCATGCTCAACAATACTGTGTTCCTACTTCTTCGCTGACCTGAAACAAGTCCCCTTGATGCCGACAATCCTTCCCCACTTCGGCCGAAACGAGCCTGGGTTCCAATATATCTATCTCCCATCACCGAGCAGCCCATCCAAAATTCCCACCCATCGATCCCATCGCCCCCCTTCCACCCATCCCCTCATTAACCGGCCTCTTCGCCACCTTTCCCTGTGCCCTAACCCCCTCAACCACCTTCTCCAAACCCGTCTCAATCACCACGCCCCCTACCACCATCTCCGCGAGAACCGCATGCAGAGTCTCGAAATTGAAGATCAGATCCAACTCGCACACATTCTCAAACAGGCGATCTAGGGCCTCCACATACACTTGTATCAAGTCTATTAGAGCGAGAGGTGATTCTGTGGATGTGGAGATGATGATGAAGAAAAGCGTTGCGTAGTGCCGGTAGGTTACAAGGCTGGGAACGTCGTTGGAGGATGAGGGAGCGGTGGTGGGGGTCAGGAGTGGAGGGAGGGGAAGGAAATTGCAAGATCCGGGGGCACGCGCGTTGACGAGGAGGAAGATTTCGGAGATGAGTCGTTGTTGGACTGATGTTTCCTGTAGATGGTGATGTTAGTATATTTTCACGTAATAGAGAGAGAGGGGTGGTAGTACCAGCTGTGTGTAGAATTTGGTCAGGCGGGGTTGTCCCGAGTTGTTGAACACAAGCACCGCGTTGATCATCTTGCTCGTCCGTCCTCAATTCCACGATGTGTTATCCTGGGGTTGATGTATAAAGGGACAAGAACATCATAAGGCTGAGTGGGTAAGGCTGACTTTTTGTGAACCCGAGGAAATACTCCGTACAGAGAGGTACATACAGATGTGGCATTATCGAATGATTCAGAGTGTCAGTATCAAAAGACCCCTGTAAATGTGGGGTAGCAACTTTAGCCATGAAGCTCTCACTCAACTTCATCAACATCCGGCCCAACACCATCACTCAATCCATACCTCAACCTCTTTGACGCCTTCAAGATGCCTCCCACTACCCTTCTAAAGCTTGTCCGTCCTTTAGCCCATCAAATCGCGCCACGCACAAGCTCCTCCCTGCTCCGCACCGCATGCCCAAAGCGCAGCTTCTACAGCACCAACCGCTCCTTGCAAACACCAATACAAACATCCAGGTCCTTCGGCTCCTGCAGACCTGTTCTCAAGGGCCTATCCCCCGAATCCGAAAACCCAACCCCCACACCATCCGCCGAAGCAAGCTCAACGCCAGCCGCGCCGGCAAACCTTACAGCGGAGCAATACAACGAGTTCAGCGATGCGTATATGGACGCGCTAGTAGCGAAGCTTGAGGAGTTGCAGGATGCGAGCGAGGAGATAGATGTGGATTATAGCGTACTTGCCCCACTTCCCAATCAATGAAAACCATTAGACGAGTAGTTATGATTACAATAGCTAATAAACTCAAAGGCAGGCGTTCTAACCCTCGTCTTCCCACCAGCCGGCACCTACGTCCTCAACAAACAGCCTCCCAATAAACAGATCTGGTTTTCCTCCCCCGTTAGCGGACCTAAACGCTACGACTTTGTCATGGCTAGTGAAGGGCAGGATGCGAAAGAGGGCACGGGTAGTGGCGAGTGGGTGTATTTGCGGGATGGGAGTACGTTAAATGAGGTCCTTGCGAGCGAAATCGGGGTTGATATGGACAATGCTTATTCGGCGATTGGGCATTTGGGGGAGTGAGAAGTTGCATATAGAGGATCACGAGATACGAAGTAGGGCTGAGGATCTGAAGGTCTCAATGGGAAGGGTCGGTCCGGCCTAGTTTTGGTTTATGTCGCAGCTGAAAAGTAAAGAAAGCGAGCGTTATGGAGCGAGTTTATGTTAGGTCTCTTCATGTATGTGTATTAATTTAGGTTATACAGACTCTCCCCCGGCTAGTAGGGGTATTTGATTAGTTTCTACCTGAGTGGCCAGATTGATATTTCGAAGGCTCAAAGAGAATGAACTGTACCATTTAATCACAACCTCGAGCTCGTATAGTAACATGTTAATTATAGCTTGCAGACACCAGATAATCCCCTTGGCGCTGTATTAAAAGTAACCATGATTTGTTATTGCTACACTTATCATACTCGGCCTCCTAATTTCTCTCTCTTGTATTTAATTTGAAGGTTGTTGGATTTACTTCGTAAGTTTTTGAGTTAGTAAGTTAGATCTTGATTTGACTTGTAAGTATGATACTAGGATTGTAATTAGTTGCCGTATGAATGAATTCCCAGGGCTTATATAGCGCAGGGAAGTTAAGCAAGAGCAATGCGGTCTTGTTCTAAATTTTAATCAGAAGAGAAGAGTTCTACGTAAAAACAAACAAATATTAGTTCAAAAGGGCGCGAAATAATTGCTCATTCTAAGAGTTGGCGTATATACACCGTACTAAACTTGCACGTCTCTATGGTATACTCCGTATGCATCTGAGAAGAATTACGGAGGCTTGTATGGACTTGGCTATCGGAAACGTTGGTGCTCGTACCGTATTCGAGCAATTGAAGGAATAATTAGTGAACCTCATTTCCTGCCTTTACCTATGCCTTACCAAGAATATTCCTCGACGAGTGGAGAAATGCTGATTTGGTGATGATACCCTGCCTATAGCTATACCTTTCTGGTATGGTGAAATTTTTTGCTTGTTTAATTACAAACAAAACATCTGTACTTCATGTGGCCTGACAGAGCTAGACGACTTGTAGAAATTTGGAATTCCCGTCCATCTTGGGGTGTTTGTTGGTTTGTAGGGCTGAGTCCCGATATGCAGTGAGTGGTGTGGTATGGCTGCGTCGTGGCCCGTGATGTAGTTTAAATAGAAATATGGAGCTTTACTCGTACATGTGGCTGAGTCATTGGTTGGTAATTGGCGCTACTCACAGCATGCCGTAGAAGGGGGAACACATCGGACGAACCTCCTATAAGTGTAAAAGCTTGATTTCTTTTATGGTAAAATCTGCTGAGCAACGGATGATTTGCATGCAGGGGTCGCTCTAATCCCCCTTTACCTATAGAGCTAAGCGCTGCGCCGTTTCTTGACATGTGCCACGACCACGACTCCTGCAGGAGTTTAACCAGAGCGCTTTTCTTATTATTATTATTCTATACATAGGTAGAATTGAGGGTTTTTGTCGGAACGTACAAACACATCCCAAAGTGAAGTAGCTCGAATCAATCAGGAGGGCAAAAATCGGGTATGCAGTATCATACCACTTAGAAGTTGGGATCAAGAAGGATTTGAATCTTAAATAAATAGACCAATTAAAAGCCTTGTCTGTCCATAACCCTTAGCCCCAGAATACCACCATAGTCCAAGCAGTCCTGCGGCGAGTCTTATGGTTTTGTGAGGCCCGCTTTTTAGAGTACCACCAGCATGCAATTCCTATGGAATTCCCATGGTGCTGCCGCCGTGTTTCTGCCCGAGCGAGCCCTAAAGATCGTCGTCGTACTTTCCTCCAATCATCTTTCCCTTTTCCTGTACCCCCAGTTCACTTGTCGTATGTTGGCCTTCTGAAGTTGTCACCAAACTTGTCGGTCGGAGAAGGATTTGATGGTTCGGTGCGTCCGTACTCGTACGGAGGTTATGATTCCGAGTTCCCAGGCTTTCCAATATCCCGAAACTTCCGCGTTCAATTTGCTAAGGAGCAGAGTAGAGACTCATGCTGCTGCAACTGGCAGAGGCTCATCCTGACTGCCAACTATATTCTTCTCTTCTCCTACAGGCTTTGGAAGGTCATCCTGAATTCGACCGCCCTGTCAGCAGTAATCCTGGTCCTGATCTAGGGATGGGGAGAACCCAGCCCGAATTGAGATCTAGAATCCATGCGGCGATCAGAAACAAGGGACGGGCAAGACTTACCACTTCAAAAATGACGCGTATCATCAAGCTGCAGCTGGGGCATACGGCAATGTCTTCCTGGTCGCGCAGGTCGGCTATGGCGATCTCAAAGCGGTCGCCACACGGGCACGGGTAGTGGTAGATTTCAAGAGTAGGATCGTAGGTCATGTCCTCAATCTCTATCTCGTCGTAAATATTCTCAGCCATCTTAGGGAGTGAGAGTGGAAAGTTGATTGGGGGGCGGGAATGTTAGGGCGGTAAAAATAGAGATGATTTTTTTTGTTCCTTTCATTGCGGGGGAGAAGCGGGAATGCGGCGCAAGTCTTAGCGGGGATTTAAAGTCTTGCGCCACAGTAGGTAGATTTAGATAGAGATATGACCCCGCTTAGCAAGCGAATGACAAATAATAGCCGCGCTGTTAAGTCTCCGAGGCCTCATAAAGCAGCAAAACATCTAAATAGCTCTCGGTAAAACTTGAAAGTAGTGCAGTCTGTCCAAGTATTTGATTAGTGATTATACGAAGCTTATATTGATGCTAATACTATATATTAGATAGCAAACCCGCATGCGATGGGAAACAGGTACAGACATAGTAGCCGCTTTAAGCCCTACTCGCAGGATTCATCTCATATTTTGTGGAAAACCTTAAATCAACGGTCGATGTCTTCATTAGCTCTCGGACTCGTATTATTGCCTTTCTCACAATGGCCCTTGAGCAAATTGAACACTTTATCTAGGTAGTGAGACTAGGTTAAGTTAAGTAAGTACTACGCAGTAGGATGCCGGATGCTTTAAGTATGTGTAGCTACGCGGCGCAAGCCATGCCGCAAGCCCCGCGGAACCCGCCCAGATAATGCTCAACCTATCTATCTGTACATTGTAACCTCTTCCTCGTAAATGGATGCTCATGGTTGGCTCCAAATACGATGAGACGTAAGTATAGGCATCTGCGTATTCAGCTTCCACATTGACCCAGGAACCAATCAGCGGGCCTTGAGCCTATCCTTCTATTTACTCCATCAAATTACCATGGATTATGCCTACCAAAAAGTGGGTTACCACAAGTCGACTAATTCGGCAATGCATAAAATGCATAAGTAAGCGCACGCACCACTCGTCACATTTTTGTAACTATTCCCAATTTTTAAAATGCGCAGCATTTATCCTTTTCTTATTATAGTAGAAGATAATATCGGTGTTAAAGGTTATGCTTTTAGCATTGCAAATTAATAATTTAAAGTGCTTAGAATCAATTAAATGTTTGCAATAGGGGGGGTTAGAAAAGCATATTATTATCTCTATATATAAATGCGACGATGCATTCAGGTTATCCTCGTTAGATACCTTAACTGCTCCAAATTTGTATGGAAATGGAAGTACCTGGCAAATCCGGATGTCTGTGCTGTGCTGTGCATAAGTTATGCCTTCCTGATTTGATTAGCGTAAGTCGACTTATAGTAACCACAAAGAGTGCATCGCCACCTGCGCCGTATGCTCCACTGCCACGATTCTTTACACGAGCAAGCCTTCACCATATGCCCCGGTACTTCCGTCCCAATACGGTACTCTTGTAGTAGCAAAGGTGAGATCGTCGACTCCGCCAAACAATCCCTTGGAAACAAGCGAGCGAGCATGTCTTGTGCCGTAACAGACAAGGATCTGGGGGCCAAAAATAATAGACTGCCCTCCTCAGTAATATCACAGCTTGCTACTATGCTTTATTTAGCAAATGAGAAGTTGTTTCTTGAATCTATAACAAACGATCAAGTCCCAAATGACTTTCGTTTACCCGTTCCAACAATACCCAAAACCTTAATTTGTCCCTACCACCGATACAACAACCACCAATACAATCTTATCTTTGCCGGTCTATTGTGACCCTCCACTCCATCCCTTCTTCTCCCTTCCCACTTACGATGAGCAACCAGCAGAAATGTAAAACCCCAAACACTTCAAGGAAACGAGCATCAACACCTCGAAGCAAGACGGGCTGCATCACTTGCAAGTAAGTGAAGTTTGTTTGCACAAGACGTCTTGAAATGTACAGCAGATATCACGGGTGGTGAACCCAGATTGGCTGCATTAGTTCTCATATCATCACCTTAATTTCGGAGCTAAGTGTTGCGTTTCAGAATCCGGAGGCTCAAATGCGGTGAGGAGAAACCAAGTTGTCTTCGATGTGTCAAATCCGGATGGCAGTGTGATGGCTATGAATACAACGGCACGGGCGAATCTTCTTCTAGGGGGGCAAATCGTTCTCTTATGCCAGCAAGTGACCATGTGCTACTGCGTCCTCGATCACGGTCGCCTCATTCTCCAATTTTACCTCGAACTCCTTCGCGAAGCCCGTCGTTGAATAGACCTCTAGACGAACACAAAGAACAGTATTTCCAGAAGTTCGTCGAGGAACAGTCAACCAATATTTTAGATCAAGATGCCTTTATATGGAGGGACTTGGCATTGCAAGAATCTCACACCAACTCTTGCGTTCGACATGCGATCGTGGCTATTGGAGCTTTAATAGCGAGTACCCAAAAATCACCAGGCGGACTCACCTTGATGGATGGTTCAAATGGTTACCATCGAGAATTCGCCTTGCAGCAATATCAAAAATCCATTCGAAGTCTTCGTGAGAGCATTGGAGACATGGACACGCCAGATGGTTCTAGGAAGACCTTAATTTCTTGTCTGGTACTTGCTTTCTTTGACAACTTCATCGGAAACGGCGGCTTTGCAGTTCAACACTTACGGTATGCCCGTAATATACTGCTAAACTCAGCACCATTGCGAATGCCACCCTCAAGTCTGCATCCACGAAATGCCGAAGACGCTTTATCGTATATGGTCCTACGATTAGAATACCAGGACATCACTGCCAATGGTTTTAGTGACAGTCGTGAATTTGTGACCCTAGAGCCAATTCAATCAAAAGTCCACTTGCCAGAGCAATTCGGAGATCTAGCAGAAGCTCGTTCATACTCCCTGGGCCTACAGTGGGAAGGTTACCACTTCTGGTACCGGACAGCGTATTGCAACTTCATACCTCGGGAAGCTATTGCTCTAGACATCCAAGAGGACCGAATCTATCTAATCGAGCAAATACACCAATATCACTCTAGGGTGGAACCCTTTATGCTAGCAGCACCCCCAGACTACTCATCTCACCCACTCCTCCGCGCATCTTCGATTAAATACCATACAGTCATTCTCCTCCTCCGCCTGAGCCTAAGCCTCAATGACCCAGAGACCGAAGCAGATAATCACCTCCACTACTTCGAATACATCTTCTCCATCGCCCGCGATGTAATTGAATACGAGATGGATATTGAATCGCCAACAGGTGCGTCGCCTTCAGCGGACTCTCCTTCTTATTACCTCTCTAGTACATCTCCCCCTACCTTCCACCCTTTACATATTCTAACATACCATTTTATTTTAGAAAACGAAGTCTACACTTTCGAAGCCCGTACCATCGACGCCCTCTTTTTCGTCGCCACAAAATGCCGCAACAGTTCTCTCCGTCGCCAAGCCATCTCCCTCATGCTCTCATCGCATCGACGCGAATGGATGTGTTCGTCGCTAGTCGCCGGCCAGGTTGCAGCTTGGATGATGGGCTTGGAGGAGCATGGTATGGATGAGACTGGGTATATTCCCGAGGAGAGAAGGGTGTGGGGAGAGTATTTGGACATGGATTTGCAGAGACGGACGGCGTTGGTCAAGTGTAAGCTGGGGATGAAAGGGACGAATGATTGGGCGGAGATGGCGACGGAGATTTCATGGTGAGGGCATGGGGACGTGGCATCCAAGAGCATTCTGAGCCAAGCTACGTTCAACTTAACCGCGGACCGATCTGGGTTCGCAAAGACCCCGAGAGATGCAAATACGTCAATCGGTTTTTCTGGCTGTATTTGGGTTTCACTTGCTTCTATATAGCATCTGATGGGGCGTGGATCAGCAATGGTATTGGGTAAATTTCAAACATTATACAAAGTTAGGAAGCGATTCATTGCACGGCGTTTTCCTCCATTCTAGACATTTACTGAATATCCAAATTATTTCAAGGGAATTCAAGTGACCTTTTTTATTTATTTCGTTGTGTCCTTTCTTCTTTTCCAAAAGTTATCAGTTGATTAAATACCTGCCAGATCAGGCCCATTTTTAGGGTATCGCGGCTACATAGCCCATTGTTCAACGATTCTGTGCTCTCTGACCCTTAATAAGCCCATAATTTTTGGCATAAAGCTCTACATATTGTCTATCGAATACCGTTAGAGAGCTGCCCACCACGCCATACACCTTTGATTTATTTATATCAGGCAAGAATCCTAGGTCCACTCATATACCTAAACTCACCCCTATTTATCGCCTTCGAGCACCCGTATTCTGTCATTGCCGGCAGAGCGACACACAAATCTTCGACAAAGCCCTACTTACGCATGCGACACATAATCTATACTTTAGTCCCAGTCCCAGCATCCATATCATATTCCTTACTCCATACTCCTCCTTCAAGTCGCTTACGGCCGGCCGTTCCTTTCCCACAGCGGCACAGATCAGATCAAAAGCTAAAAGTAACCCCAGTGGGCAAAACAGGACAGATCTAGCGCCTTCGGGTCGAGTATCGGCACCTGGACCGAATCCAAAAAGTCAGTACGGAGTTAGCCAGTATAAATATTCTCCTTTGTGTATCTGTCTCGGTCATATTGCAGGTTTGGTCATCTATTCATTATGGCGTCTGGCGTACAGAAAAGGGGGGTGGTGGGGCTACTTCGCTTAATTGTTTGGAATATAATCGCTATATCGCGGACCTCTGGGCTGGAAGAGGGAGGAAATTGCCGGTGGCTGTATTGAGATACCTATAGACAACACTTCAAAAAGATCTGGAAAGTGCATGCTTGAGGTAATACTTTTTGACGCGCCTGGCGTTCCTACACGCGCAATGACGGTCCCTGTATGGAGTTCATCATGCGCCGCAGGGACTAATGCTCAAAGGTCTATGAAATTCTAGTGTGTAGGGAAGAACAAGAAGAACTAAAATTTCACTACAGGTTGATTTTAGGGTGAATGAATCTCTGAATTGTCATTTTCGTATTTCCTGATCAATAACAGACTTTCTTTCACTTATCGGAGTGCACGAAATGGAAAGCCGAAAAGCCAAAACATTCCAAAGCACTTGCCGAGACCCAAAACTGGCAGTTCTCTCAAAATCTGATAACATGCGATTAATCAAGCCTTTGATATTAAGAGGTCTAAGCTTAGGTAACTACCTTAACCAACCTATGGAGTTAACTAAACAAAGATTATCGACATCGCTTAGCTTAGCGTAGAGGAATTTGCATTGCCCCATTCGAGCTCGACTCCTCTACCCCCCCCCCCCCCCCTGGCTTCCTCCCTCCTCCTATGGGGGCGGAGCGGATCTATTTCCATGTTGCACACGGTGGAAATTGGCACTCCGAGTATTTTCCGTGCGACCTGTGGCCGGAGGGAGGAAAGGAGGAGGAGGTGGCGTATTTGGTCAAAGGATTGAGGCTCGGGTACTCGTACGCGAGGATGGAAAACAGACAGCACGTTATTGCCGTGTGGGGTCGAGGCACTGCAGCAGCACTGGGGTTATGAGACTGATGTTCCCCTATTTCATCTTCGAAACGAGACACCGATATAGAGGGTAGAACGAATTGCATTGCAGGTGAGTGTAACTCTGTTTTCATACCGAGGGGACGTACACTCCAGCTACAGTTCCCGAAGCTTTAGAGCCGGGACACTTGCTGACCAGAGAAACCGTTACATCTGCAGACTCGAGCATTTCTTCTGCTACTTTATCAGACGCCCGTTGGGACTAAGAGCCATCCCAGTCACGCTGGGAAATTCTGGTGTGTCTCAGAAGTACAGTACAGCTTCAATTCGGCGGCGCCTCCACGAATTATATCTCCTTCTGCATCTATTTACCCAGACGCTTCTGACGCTCGTCAACGGCCCAGCCGTATTCGCGAATCTTCACCACGATTAGCGAGTGTCTTTGATGCCGAGTAGCAATGTTTCGTGACGATGCGGCTGTGATGTGAGATAACATGCAAGCCATCACAAAATTATCCCGTCTTACATTACGGACGGTATGCACGACTTGCTCTCCAAGCGCCCAAAAATTGGCGGACCGCCCCTGTCAGCACTGACAGCAGACGCCGCTGCACGCCTGCCTTGAATTTTTGGCCCCCTCAGCCTTGATATACTATAAAGTAGGGTGAACGCCTTCGAGGAAGGCGTTAAGGGCGCTTTTATCGGTCTTGTATCTATATCTGTATCTACGTTAAAACCCCTTTTTTTTTCACCCTGCAACCAAAAGTCTTTGTGTAAGGGGTTATTCTGCAAGGCAGTATGCAGTCTGCTATCTACACGATCTCGCGTGTGAGATATTATCACAGCATAAAGTACTGTAGGAAGTGCATCGCCCCTCTTTGTGCAACACGATTGTTTTAAAAAGCATGGGCATAGCATTAGGCGCAGTCGCTGCCTATCACATCTGACGCAATGGGGGCTTTCTTTAGAGCATCCTTCTATAGCAGCATTATTCTAGTATTGTTGCTGTGTTCTTCTTCCCATGTAACTTTTCGTTGCTTTCACTCAAAGTCCGTGTCTTTGCCATTTGTTATTTCCCATTCAAAGTATGTTTCCAAATTCCCGAGATCGGAACCAAAAACAGCAACATTACGTATCACGACCAGCAGCGAATGACTTAGAAACCGCGCGGCAGGCGACTTTATGGCCATTACCACTTCGAATTAGTGCTGGTGGACGGTTGAGAAAAGGGGTTGGAAACTACGAGAGGGATCTAAAAAAGCTGGAACATAAACAGAATTCGGATCTATTAGAGAATTAATTTTGGTATCAAGAGTTCGCATTCGGATCTTCACATTCTTTTCGTTTCTCCGAGGGCGATACATTTGGGACTGCTTTGTTCAGATTACGACAGACGCTGAAGCGCTCTCACCGGTCATCGAGTTCATTTCTACAGTTATGGTGAGCAGTCTACCCATTTTATTACAAAAAAAAAAAAAAAAACTAACAAGAGACTACACGTAGTATCATTAATACCTCCCCAGCATCAGAGACAATAGCATCATGGCCGTCGCGCCTAATTGCAGGTGTGAGGAGCCATTTAAATGAGCTGCTAGTATTTCCACGCTGGGTGATAGGAATCGAGTTGGAGCAAGCATGGGGAGAATTATGTGAATGTGCTTGCAAAAGCATTGAACGTGCAGAAAAATTGTTAAAGGTAGAGCAATTATCACATCCGGAATTTCGACGTCAGTTTCTGTCACATTCGTCCTCGCGTTGCAGCTGTAGGGATTTCAGAATAGCTGAAATCTCGCATTTTAGCACAGCGAGTTTCAGGGGAAGCCCGCTCTCAGATCAAGAAGGTCAGAAGCGATTGGGGAGTTCTGGACTGAGAAGTTGTCCTAAATTTTGGGTTGAGATTCCATCGAAAGGTTTGTCTTATGAATTACTGCCCGTTTTGAAAGCAAAAGCTGAACCCACCTAGGACGAGAACAAACTTCGTCCTCAGCAAAATTACAGCTCGCTCAATGCCAAAGAATATTTGATAGAAAAACCGCATCCTTCAGCTTTACTTGGCAGCGCACTGCTCCCAGATACAATGGAGGAATCGACAACTTCCTCTGGGAGCGTCACAGTCTTCCCCCAACATGTGACTACGCCGAGATATTCTTCCAAGACGATCAAACATCGCCTGCACCACGGATGGTTCTCATAACATGCAGCACTACTTCAAAGGCACCGCAGATATCTTCAATCATGGACGATCTGAAATATATATTGAAATCTAGGAAAGCGGACGATCCTAACATGTGGCCGTTCATTCTTCTGCTGCAATCGAACCCCCATAGCGATGGGTATAGCGTTCTTCCTATTTTCATTGTGCTTCAAGAGATCATTGTGGATACTGCAAATTTCTTGCAGCAAGCATGGGATGAGATCATAAAACTCGTGAGCCCTCCTTGCCCTGGCCTCCTTCACCTACTAACTATCCTCCTAGTCATTCTCAGGCCGAAACCACGCATCAGTATTAAAGGTCCAATACTTATGCCACCTCGACGACTGCCGCGAAAGCGCTCTCATGGGAGTAATCCACGCATACTCCATCACCAAAGACCTCATCTCCATCGTCAAACACCGAAAACCAAACCAAACACCCGCCACTATTGAAGAAGAATTTTTGAAGGAGAAACAGGGCGATATGGAGTTCTTGATCGAACAGCTGGAGGAAGATCTGAAAGATAGGATTCGTCTCGAGTCTATTCAAATGAAGGAACATCGGATGCTACTTCAATGCCGACAGATCTCCATTCTCACTTATCTGGCATTCATCTTCCTGCCCTTGGTTTTTGTAACAGTAAGTACCCTGATCCAATTTATGTGGTGAGAGGCTAACGAGTTAGGGTATGCTTAGCATGAACATCAGCAACCCCACATTCGTCTCCCACAACCCCAACAATTCCAACCCGGACCCAGCCCCGCAAACCACTCCCCGTTTCAAGCGCCAGGAACCAGTCATAACCACCACTCCCTCATCGACCTCTTCTTTGGGTTCAGTTGCGAGTTCAGTACTTGTCCTGGCGCAGAATATGAACAATATGACGACTGTGTTAGGTTCCAACCCGCAAGCTTACATATGGCCCTTCAATTTATTCCTCGCGCTAATCATCACATTTTCTATCATGTCGGCAACGCTACCGCTGATCGGACCCGGCTTATTACGGATTCTTTTGAGGCCTTATAGGAGAGGCACCAGCTCGTGAAACGTCTTCATATTTTATCTATTGCTTGGTATTCCTTAAATTCATGACCCTGGAATTGTTCGTTCATTTTTCTTTGGCGTCGAGTGGTTAAGAAAGATGTGCACAGGGGTTTGGAATGTTATGATATGATGATTACTGTGTACTATACGCATTCTGGGGCAAATATGCTGTACTCCCCGTTTTTCTGTTTTCTTCTAAAAATTGCTAAGCGGACGGGACTTTATCATGGCGCGTTTGTAGCGGTATATTTTGGCGTGCAGGACACTGGATATACCACTGGTCACAGGATTTGGGAAGGATTTTGGGTTTGGTATACTGGTATTGAGGCTTTCGATGACTCGCCTACAATGATATACTATAGCACTGTATTGGCTATTCAGGCCTGTTGTTTTATCTCTCGGAATTTTTAGTCGTCACTGGTGAAATTATAAAGGGGTTTTATTTACGAAACTGTAAAGATACGGTATTCGGTCTTGTTATAGTAGATTCCTTGTGCAAATTTAATGCTAGGTATATAAATCGACCATTTCATGTCTCCATTACAAATGCAATATGTTGAGACAAGTAGAGTAGTTCCATGTGCCAAACGGAAACTAGAGAGTGTGAAAAGTATCGGTAGTAGGTCTGGCAGAAAATTCGTTGGCGGATGTAGAGTATATTTGAACTGGTCTATTTATCTAGTAATCATTCTAGTCTACTTACTTTTCTCTAGGAAACTATAGAGTGACCTGTGTTGCGGCTCGGACCCAAAATAACAACACTTTCAAGAAGAAAGCCGCACTAGGGGATGTTTCACTTATCAAACCTGTGAATTGGTGTGGTTTGTGTTGTGTCTAGTGCATATGAGGGTAGTTTCGGGATAGAAAATATGTTTATATCTGACCGTGGGGGGAACTTTAGCGTCAGGACTGAGGATTCTGAGGTCATAAAGACCCTGAGTGTAGCTGCATTGCTACCTTTTCTATGTATTTATGACGTTGGCCTAAAGATTAGCGCATATTTAGACCACATACTAGGATTTTAAAACGTGGTAATGATGTTAGAATGAAGGGTCTTTATTTAGTGTGTTGAGTTACTAGCACGACTTGCACTGAGTCCATATACCAATTGGAGCGGTATTTAAGAATTTCTCACACACATAAACTCAATTATAGTTTAAAGATCTCTTGAAGTATTGGAAAATCATTCTTCTCTGCATAATCTTTTCCCTCGATAAAATATCTTCACCATGGACAATGCAGTTGCACGAGCAGACGCCCGCCTATCCAATATAGGAAGGAACGACCTGCTTATTACCCGCTTACTCCCCATCTTCGACCTAGTCTTGATACAGGTATGTGCCAACAAGGCACCCTATACAATCAAGCACAAGCACAACATTGAACACCACCCCAAGTGCCCATCATGCATTGGGACACGCAACATCCTGGACTGGTACCAACACAACTTTCAACAAGCGAAAATACCGGACGAGCCAAGGAAGAAGACGTCCAAGAGGATGCTCCTCACATTTTGGGAAGTCGTCTTCAGCATTGCAAGAGAGATTCCAAATATAAACAAGAATCCAGTTTTCAATCAGGCAAAGGAGAAAGAAGACCAACGCAATAGCAACACGCGAGATATTCTCGCTGGCATTCTAGGTGCAATTTTGAGATTTCAAATTGAGGATGAGGGTATTGACTCGCATCACATCGTCAAAGCAGCAATGAAAATATACAGAGGTAAGCGTCCCAATCCCTAATATCTTATAGTGTATTAACTTCTATTTTCCAGGTAGATTTTCCTCATGCTTCCGACTCGCAGAAGACCACCCACGCAAAGTCCAGAAAGACAAGAACCTCTTGGAATTCTTAGGAACGTGTACTAGGGATGGTATTCTCGACTTCTCTGTTGTCACACTCTTTACTTTTGAGGGTGCATTGGAAGAAGGCCTGTTGGCGGACTATGGAGATGGACGAGGCACGGAAACCGCCGTCGCGATGATCTTCAACGCACATCGCTGGATCACACTTTCGGCAACCACTTTATTCATGCACTCAAAAGAGAAGACTAGGATACGTGGTGTTTCATCAAGAGGGTTCTTGTGGCAGGGACCCGAAGGTTTCAGTATGGAGCGCTGGCATTTATGGGTTCGTAGGTTTGAGGCGATTGGGACAATTCGATGGCTTCCTGAAGGTACGAGGATGCTTGCAACTGAGACTGTGGGGATAATGCAGTGGTGCGAGCGTGAAATGGAAGCGATCTTTGAGAGGGAAGAACAAGAGCTAGAATCAATCCAACGTCAAGACGGGTGGCTACCGCTTAAGAGAGGACGAGGACGGCCACGAAAGGACGGACTACCAAACAATTACAAACAAGCCAAGCCATCGGCCCCACCGCTCAAGAGAACACTACCAGACAATCACGCCCAAGCCGGGCCATCGGAGCCACCGCTCAAGAGAGGACGAGGACGACCACGAAAAGAACGACCGCTTCCAGTTGTGGATGCTGCAGCAGCTACCCAAAACAATACCACCTTCGCAGCTCAAGCTCTGGCAGATCAGTCAATCTGGCGCCCGCCTCAAAGTCATGGACTAGAGCAGCCAGAGCAGACAAGCAGCCACAGTCTCTCATGATCGTGGAATCACCTCTTGGCGGGGGGATAAGCTCAAGGAGCTTCAATTGAGGGGCAGGAAGATAGGATCGTATTGGTATTTTGACCAGGTACTTACTGGTGGAAGGTGAGGTCAAGGAATTAGGTTGAAGGGCAGGAACGTGCATTGTATACAGTAGAGAGAGAGAAAACAGACAATAATAATAGAATAGATTGCAAGGTTGAAAACTGACGCCCGGATAAATTCATGTGAAGCTCCAGTACTATAAGCGCTCTGGTATTATGGGGACGCGTCTCCGCTCTACTAATGCGACACGTCGCAATACCATTCTCTAAAAAATGGCATTCCCCGATATAATGATTCTACAATAACATTTTGACTATAGACGTGAGAGATGAAGACGGACGGGTATTCACGAAAAATCCTCGCCTCGCCTCGCCAACTCCACCTCTACAGCGAGCGTCACGTGTGGGTCTCCAATCCACGATCATCACATCCTTCGCCCTCCTTCATCCTTCAATCCTTTAAGCGCTCGCACTTTCCGACCCCAAGCGCATGCACCAATAAACGTCCTCCAAATGAGCGTTTCGCTTGTCCAGAATGCCGGGCTCGTTTCAACGCACGGATGAGGCGTATAAAATAGCATCAAGGATGCGCGTGCGAGATGTGATGTGTGATGTTGGCTTCGGAATAGGAAGCAACGTGTTGGTCTGTACCAACAACGATCCTAAAGTTGGGGTTGGGCTTGTATATAGATATATGGTCTTGTTCGTTGCTCACGCTCTCTTCTTTTACTTCTTTCTATTAATTGAGCTTTTCTGCGAAAAGAACATTCAATCAAACACGTTGAGAATCATATTTCTGCCTGCTGGTTTTGCAATAACCAACACACAGTGTGTGAATAACGTCAATTCATTTTTTACTCTATTCGTTCCAGTGTTTATATTCCACTTCATCGTTCTTCACCTTCACCCAAATACAATATTTCCAACACCACAAACACAAACCAACAAGTCAAAATGTATTCCATCTTCCTCCTCCCCGCGCTCCTCCTCCTCAGATGCACATCCGCGCACCCAAACCCCTCACCACGTGTGGACTCCCCCCTCGACACCCTGCACCTCCAAGACCTCTACAACACCCACGTCCCCCAAACCGGTCTCGCGCGCCTCTTCCGCGCCCAAGGCCCCCTCATCCCGCACGCCTCAAGCGCACTATCCATGCAAAGCACGCTGCAAACGCTGCACCCCCTAACTCTGACCACCTCCCCCGCCGTCTGCTTGCCTCTCGCCCACGAAGTCACCTGTCTGACGATCGACTTGCTACTACACGTCCTAATCACCCATCCTAACGGCCTGACTCTACCTGATCCTCCGAAGCCGAATGCCAAATGTCACGGTGGGCAAGGGATGGCCATCGATGAGTCGGTGAGCATGCAGATGAATGGCAGAGATTACCGCGCTACGGTGGAGATTGCTGTTAATGGGACGATGGAAGGGGAGCGGTGGAGTAGCCTTGTAAGGTTACTGGGGAAGACGGTGGAGGTGGTTGATGTGGGGGAAGGGATGGGGAGGCTTGTGGTAGGAACTGTGTATGAGGGAGTTGAAGTTAGAGCTACTTGGACGTTTTATGAGATTGTCAATGGGGTGGCTGGTAGATGTGCCTGGGAGAATTAGATTAGATACTTTTTCATCATCTAATTAAAGCATTCGAATGTTCTTTTATGATGTGTATCTTTCCAAACCCGTAAATATGTGCAAAGTGATTCCTTCCTTCACGCAGCGCTCAATTCTGCAATCCTCCTCTCGATCTCCGGAACCTGCCTGAGCTGCACCTCAAGGTCCTCCCTCTCATCCTCCAGTTTCAACCGCCTGTCCGCATCGAGTTTCGTAAAAATATATTTCCCCTGCCCGTCAAACTGCAATATCATACTATGATACTTCCATAAACTGCGTCTATGGCTTACAGTCATGAGCGTGATGCCAAGCGCTTTCGCGTGCTCGTACATGACTTTCTCCATTTCTAGCGTAACACTCGACGTGCATTCGTCCAGGATAGCATATTTAGGCCTATTGTAAAACAGCCTCGCCATCGCTACGCGTTGCTGCAAACCCCCGGACAGCACGTCCCGCCATTCTGCTTCAGCGTCCCAGCCTTCGGGAAACGAAGCGACGAGGTGGTCGAGATCGAGGATGCGCAAGATTTCTAGGAGGTCGGAATCGGTTATCCCCTTACTGCGCATGGTGCGTAGGGAATCGGGGTAGATGATTTGTTGGCGGAGAGAGCCGGCGCTAAGGTAGGGTCGTTGGGGGACGTAGAAGACTTGGCTGAGAGGTGGTTTTCGAACTGTACCTCCGTATACTGGCCAGAGTCCACCAAGGATGCGGAAAAGTGATGATTTTCCGCAGCCGTTTGGCCCCACGACTAAGACGTGGTCGCCCCGCTTCATGGAAAAGGAGAGAGCTCTTACAAGAACACTTCCGCCTGGCGTGATAATGGGGCTAACAAATTAGAAGGAATCCTTCTTGCGAAGAGGGGACTTACACATTGATGAATTCAATATCCTCGCTCTCAATCACTGTTCCTCGTTCTTTCATCAGATCTAATTGCTCGGGGGATTCATCATCGGCAACAAGAGTTTTCTCAAAATGACCAGCCTTAATGTCATCCATAACATCCAATAGGGTTGCAACTCTTGATGTATATCCAGCCAGTTCTGTGATCTCCTTGTAGGAAAACATGACCCGACCAAAAGCATCCGAGCTTGACAATAACATTCGCCTGTTCGTGACAAAACTTTCTGTCCTGTCGCCCATTGTTGCAGCTGTAGCCCCGGGAATCTTGAAGAAGACGGGAACGCTACAGAGGATGAGTCCTAATGCACCCCAAACATATTTAATGACGAAGTCCTGAGAATCGTTAGCAATGTGCAATAGTAAAAGATGCGCATCCTACCTCCATAACGCCATGCGTGAAACGTCGCCTGAGAATATCTGTTCTGTCAGCATGTGATCGTTAAGCAAATGGTCAAATACGTACGATTAACGTGTTTGATAAGTGTGAAATAACCCTTGTCTAACGCATCCTTTTCCGCCTCATGCCCATGATATAGTGCAATTTCCTCACTGTAATCTATCAATCTTGAATGTTCGAACCGGAACTCTCCTTCTAGTCGTGCCTCGTCCGCCACATATTTTCCAAAAGGAGGGGTCAAGGCGCGCATCACACTCGCTGACAATTGTACCAGTAAAGACATGAAGAAGAGTCCTTCGCCACCAACACTTTTTGATAGCGAGTAATTGTAAATCAGCATATCCAGTGTCGGTTTTGCTAGATTTCCGTATAATTCTGCGAGGCTGTTGGCAAACTTTGAGACATCCACGGTTATTAATTGGTCTGCGTTCTTGATTCGGTCATCCAAGGCAGAGAGGGAGTAGAAGGTCATGTTCGATAGATATTTGTCGTGAATGTAGTTCGTTAATCGTGTACGGTATTGCAAGGATAGTTTGCACTGATGATAAGAGAGCTATTCGTATTCATATTAGCAGAAGAACAAGACCAACTAGATGAAGAATAAAGTACCATAGAATTCGTAAAAGTCGCAGGCACTGCAATGACCATCCACCAAACAATCCCCATCAAAAAGTCCCTGCCCTTCCCCCGCACAAGACTCGAGACCAGCGCACCATCCATCGCAGCGACTTTCAAGCTGATCAACGTCCTGATCACCAAGAATATACTATGGCTGACCAATAGCCTCATCTCCTTACTCCTCCACCCCGGTATGCATATTCTCAGCAGCCGAAACAGATTCTTGAAGAACTCCCTATTCAACTCAACCTTCTGTCTCTTCGGCGCCTCCCCACTACCCAGCGCAATTGAGCCTCGCTGCCGCGACACAGCTTGCCGCGCAGCAGCAGCTTTTTGTTCGGATATAGCATTGCGGATGCGGTTGAGGAGGGCGAAGAAGAGGGTTAGGTAGACGGTACGGGAGATCTTCGTGCGGTGTTTGAGGTAGAGGGTCGTGAACTCGGAGATGATGCCTTTGATGGTTCGGTCTGGTGGGAGGAGTCGAAGCTTTGATTGCGCTGCCATGTCGGAGAGATCACAAAGCTGGTACTCCGTATTGTAAAGAGTAAATCTGGGGATTGTGGGGAAGCTGCTGGGGCTTCAGCGCGCGGAGAGTATCCAAGGCCTCATGGCATGGGCAGAGGTTGACGAGTTTTTTCACATCAGGCAGAGAATCGAGTGCAGAACTGACTGTTCCGAACGATACTGTAATATCACAGGAACGGTTGGTGGTGGATATTGTGAAAAGTTGTACCTATGAAGCTAGGTATGTACACATACTGAGATACCTTAGCGGTTCCCCTCGGCATTGAGTCGTCTTTCACATGCGATGATGCGGACTCTCTACAGGGGATACAAAACCTTAGTGTTGGCCTGAGGCCTGCAGTATCCTCCCCTCCTTCTTTCTAATCCACGGTCTTACATGGCCCTTATGTTGTATAACATAGATTGCAAACTGAGTAGGCGAATGTATTCTATTTGTGGAAGTATAGTAAGCTGCATGATACATCTCGAATGGGTAAAACCCCGTTTTCGCCCATCATTTCTTCGGACTTGATGTTCTTTATTGTCCCTTAGCTTTCTGGAACCTTACTAGCATTCCTAAATTATATGGCTAATCAGGATGCACACTGGGGAACAGCCGCAGAACAAGCCGCCCATTGCATTAACAGGGACGCTTTATCCATCTGGGGCGGCTTTCCCAATATTGTTACCGATGTAGTAATTCTGGTTGTGCCGATTCCGGTGGTTTGGAAGTTACATGCTTCCACTGGAGTTAGAGTGGGTTTAATCATAACTTTCCTTTTCGGCAGCATGTATGGCCACCTCCTCTCTTCCGATGCCCTACATTAATTTTGCATGGTAAATTAGCTAACGTGGTGGTCTTATCACGTCTATCTTGCGGTTTGGGGCTTTCTACAAGAAGAGCTCCTTCTTGGACCCTACCTATGATGGCGTCGAACTAGGCATATGGACCGTGTGCGAGCTTGGAGATTATTTGATCGCTGCTTGTCTAATAGTATTCCGTCCAATACTCGATAAACTTGGGTTCTCCACGATTACCGGAAATACAACTCGCGGCAAAACTAACGTTATATCAAAAAGGTCGGCAAGTAGGATACCAATAGCACCGGGAGAAAGCGGTGGCACTAGAAGCATTGGTCTTACAACCATTAGCAGTAGAGGTTTTTCTCAATTTGATGATGGCGCTGGAGAACTGCTCAGAGAGAATGCAGGCATCAACACTACAACCAACGTCGAATTGACTTGGGAAGCAAGATACGTGTAGGTTCGGTTCGAAGCACTTATTTCCGAGAAAGACTACGAAAGCAAGGAAGAAACAATGAATAAATTCGACAATCTATTTCACGTCTTTTACGAGACAAAGACTACGTAGGCATGTAGGAATGGATGAAAGTAAAGCCATCTGGAATTATCAAGCAGCTCATTTAAACATATTAGGGCATGTGAAACATAGGGGTATTAGTATAGAGCACGGCAGACGAAGTTTTAGGTGCAATCCGTTCTATTGGTATTAGACTAAAGTATGAAGGTAAAAACTAAACTATAGAGTGGAATATATGTGATGGCCTGGATTATGCTTACTAATCAGAGAGAGGAGGTCTCGTTGGACCTGATTGGGCTTAGCGCATATCATATCCTGCACCTATTAACAAAAAAGTTGACTTCCAAGAACTTTTTGTCTTCGCCAAATTCTAGCCTTGCTTATGATTAGTGAGGACATACCATCGAGGAAGAACTCGAGGCGCAATTTACATCACAGAGAAAGCGGACTTGACGATAGGAAATGGTCGTTGTTAAAGAACAGGTAATGTGAGAGATTGTCATAACTCGAGGAAAATAAACATGAACTCAGCCCAGTTCAGCTTTTGAATTATTGAGAGCAAATTATAATTACTATAAGATCAACACGTAATTAGAGATAACAGAACAGAGCGTAGAGTCCTAGCGTCTGCCGCCAAGGATGTTTTGCACCTAACTAAACGCCTTCTATTGCCACTATAGGAGTGGGAATCACAAAATATGTTCTTCTAACCACACAACCCAAGATAACGCACAATTGCAAGAGTCTCAGTAGACATAGCGAAACTCCTTCACCTCATAATCGGTCCTGTCATCCAAGTTCCCGATTGTACCAGGTACTTGGGTAACGTCACCCGACGAAATAGCTGCGCGATCCCTCTTCTTATTCTCCCAAACTAGATAAAATCGCAAGACGACGCTCGCGCAAGCCGCAATGGCGAAGCAGATCAACATGCCCATGAACCCGGATTTATAGCTTGGCGCTTCCCGCGCGAAGAAAAGTTGTGGCCCAATGATGTTGCCTACGCAGTACGACACGAAGGTCTGGAGTGCCAATTAGCTTGTCTTCATGAAAATATTTAAGCTGAATTTTGACTTACCATTGCATGAACAGTCGTTTTCTTCGTGAAACCGCCGAAGTTGAAGTGTTCATAGACAATATCATTGGGAAGTTGGCGGTATAGGCAGACAGCAGACAGTAGCCAGACAGATATCTTGCCCATATATTCGAGTTATCCAATTCGCGAATACAGCAGGCGCCGGCTAGACTTATAAGGGTACACACGGTCATGCAAATCGTTCTGGTGTTCTTGACGTATGAGCTTGTGATTGTTGCGGAGAGTACGAAGAATGCCTGGAAGGGCGTTACAATCATTTGGACAAGCAGGGTATCGGTAGTGGAGAATCCAAACCCTTGGATAACAATCGATGCGAACTGTGCTTGGTGGTTAGGCAGGTCTTCTCTCAATAAAATCATTCTTATTGGGTTGTTTCACTTACGTTGCCCACCCCTCCATTGGGGATGTTAGTGCAGAGCATGATAATGACTATCAGCCATGCCTTTGGGTCCTGGAAAGCCTCGATCATCTGATACATTTTCCACTTGTCGTCCTTGTTGCCCGTTAAATTCTCCTGTACTCGCCGCACCGCTTTACCTTTGTCCTCCTTGGAGAGGAAGCGCGCATTCATAGGAGAGTCGGGAAGAAAGTAAAGTAAAACGACTCCCCATAGTACAGTTACACCCCCAAAAATGAGGAAAAGAAACTAAAACACAGTCAGAATAGGCCCGAGACTTAAATTGACTGGCCCAGAACAAACCTTCCAAGCGGGAAATGCTTTATAGTGCGACATTCCGTAAGCTAAAGAGCCACCAAAGAGCCCAGATACTACATTTCCCAAGAACCAGATGCCGTGGCGTAGAGGCTGTTCGGATCTCTTGTACCACATGGAAGTGATGATTGAAAACCCAGGCGCAACCGCGGATTCCAGAAACCCGAGAAAGAAACGGCACGCCAACAACCCCGCCGCATTGTGTGTCAGTGCAGTGAACATTAGGACGCCTGCCCATGCAATACTGTGAGAGCAGAATCAGCAAATAGAACGACTTGAGTGCAAAGTAAGTTGAACATACATAGCTACAGCCATGAACTTTCCGACCGGAAAGCGAACCATGATCAACGCCACAGGTCCTGAAGCGACAAGATAGCCGAAATTGAAGATCGAGCTAGCCCATGAGTATTGCTGGCCTACGAGATGCAAATCCTTCCGAAGCCCTAGAATGGCCGTGAAGCCCATTGCAGACTTGTCGAGATACTGGAACATGTACGAGATAAAGAGAAGTGGAAGTAATCTGGGCGCATTAGCAGTCGATATTGGAAGAGAAACACAGTACCAGGCAAACATACGTCAAATCAATCCTCCTCAAGATTCGTTTGTCATCGGCTGCAGTAAGGGGCTCCAGGGCCGCCGAGGTGGTGATAACCTCTCCGAGCTTCTGGTCAATATCATTGATGTCCATCATAGTGGGGTCCTTTATTGATTTCTCCATACTTTATGGCTGGATAAATTGTTGCTAAGTGCAAGATACAATGGTGCTCGTGTTTTCTTTTCGTCAAGGAAGAATGTCACCTTCGGCCAAGAACTTGATGCCTACCCTCTAGTGTGTGAGTCTCCCTTCCAGATTCCGGCATGCCTGTTTATATATTCATAATTGGAATCAGCCACTTGACATATTGCGCGTCTATAGTTGAACTTGATATTAGATTGTTTGTCTCCCTATCGCCATATTGCTCTATCGCTACTGATAGAGGCTGATACAAAATCCGAAATGGGATGGTGAACGCCAGCTTGATGAACACAAACACAGATAGAGGACCCAGGGCTTCGATATGCTCGGCTGGCTTTAGATACACAGCCGAAACATTTATCATCCTGCACTAATGATAAGAGTCACCCCATTCTCGGAATTGTCTATTAGCGCGGCGGATGCCAGAATATTGGCGGCGGGTACGTGCTCGGCTAAGTTTACTGTATGCCCCTGAGTGATTTAGTCCCGTGACTAGATTTAGTCGGTGCGAATCGTGACTTCATGTTATTTAGATAGTGAAGGGCAATGGTTAATCATCTCTGAGGTTGTTATATCACAAACTTTTCAAACCTTCCAGACTCCAACAATCGCAGAATGGCAACCCTTTTGCAGGTTCCGGCTTGTGCTTCGAGTAACGCCTCGAGCAGTTTGAAAGCTCTCTTATAATTTCTCCCATATTTTGATAGCGCCTTGAACCTCTCTACTATCCACAGACAATGCACCGGATCATCAGTTTCTTGGGCTGCAAGAAAGAGAGGCCAGGCAACTCGTAGCATTGCCTGGTCCCCGTCCTGCCTATAAGCCTGAAAGGCTAGGATGACAATATCCCTGAGCGCAACTTTCTCTGACTCTATATATGGACTCCGTGACTGTGATACTTGGCGAAGATGAAGGATAGCGGAATGATAGTAAGACACGACAAAACGGATATTAGTTACGAACGTTCGGGTATCGTTAGGGCGAGCACTGAGGGTCCTGGCAACTTCCAAGAGCTCCTCATATTTTGTTCCAACACTTTCTACTGCATTTTGCACTGATAGTCTGTGTTTCCGTGCCTCAGCCTCATTTGTGTGGTGGAGCCTCCCCAATTTTCCCACCATGTAACGCAGCTGACCACATTCGCCATAGAGATAGAACAATTGCCGATTTTCAAGATCCTCTAGCAGTTGTGATTGAGGGTATTCATCACCCCAGATGTTGCGGAATAGCATGGTCGAGTACCGATGGACAGCAGAGAATCCTTTGAGGGGCCATTCATAATCACTCTCGGCACTCAAGAGTTGACCGAGAGAACTGTTTATCTGACCACCGAGACCACAGGACATAGCTCCGGCATCCAGGAACGACATCCACACAATCATTCGTGCTGCAAAAGCAGATGTGCCAGTTGTCTGGATATATGGAATGATCTGGCCAGCCTGAGTTCGTACATCTTGTGAGGCAAGAAGGGTTTGTAAAGACTGACACTTCGATTGTAAGATCGATGCAGCCCCTTTCAGGTGGCTTATGAGGCCATTTCCATTGTCATCGCCAAATTTCTGTTCATAGATAATCATAAGCCAAAGGGTCGCGAGAATATTATCAAGCTTCAAAGAGTCGTCATGGCCCGCGACAGCATGTCTCATTAAATTCATGGCGCTGCTGTAATGCTCGCAGGAGAGTTTTCTGAACCTGAGATTGCCGTTGTCTTCTCCTGTGTTATTGACAGCAAGAACTCCAAGTGCGCATATCATACGCAGAACCATTGGGTCTCCATCATCCCCTTCTGCTAAGCGTAAAATGACAGAAGGGACCGAATACCTCGGATCTTTGGTATCCATATTCAACGAGAAGACCGTTCGGAACCATTCAATTGCTTCATAGTCCACAGGCCCAAGTATGGGAGAGTCGATTGCTGAACCCGATAGTGTTGAGGAGTCGGGAAGCGACAAAGCCCAGACCTTTGTTCTTTCTAGATCCGAATCATCTGATATCAGTTGCGCTGGATTTTGGCGCGAATCTACCGATACTCTCTCGATCTCTAGCTGCAGACTTGATGATGAACTAAGACTTCGGCTGGGCGAATCTCCTATCTTACGGACAACACTTTCTTTGTTTGTGATATTGCGGGTATCATCGCTTGCGGTTGTGATCAACAACGAGCTAGGTTTCCGAGGATTGATAATCCCTTCCCGTGACGCATAGTCGCAAGGTCTTTTCGATCGCGTACACTTCTGGCAACGAGGGCGTTGCTCGTCACACTTCACCTTCCTTCCGCGACATGTCCAGCAGCCGTCTTTGGAACGTGGCCCACTTCTGTTGCCGACTTGAGGAGTACGCGCAGCCGAGCGCTTGAGACCCGAGCCGGACGGGGTCGCTTGCATATTTCGAGTAGACATGCGTACTGTAGCTGAGCCAAGTAAGTAAGATCTTCGGTTCTACGGATGAGCAAGAAAGAATATGTACATGTAAGCAAAGTTTGTGAAAATATCGGGGTTCACAGATTACGCTCGTGCTTTCATGATAAGATCTCAGGTAGGTAGATCTCGGCTTCAGGCATTTTAAGGCAGCAAAATATATTTCCCCACCTTTGTAGCTCAACGCAAAATAGGCTCGAAAATGGGATACCAAAACTATTTTGGGATTGATCTGCACAACTATACAGGCATCGCTTGATATGCTCATAGAGGACTTGAACAGGGTATAGAGAATTAGGGCGGCTGAAACACGAGAGGCGAGAGAAAAACTGATGGGTTATTTACATACCAGTAGTAGAACGTCTATACATATACAACACCCAGTCACACCCTATAGCCCAATCAAACCAAAATCCGTAATCACAGTCTGTAATATTCCTATCGCCTCAACTACCAACTTGAAGTTAATCAGTATTTAGGTATCAACATGACGATCATGATACAACCCAGTATTGCAGATGCTCGCAACTGTGTTTATGAGACTATTGACAGCAGAGCGGTTGAACTGCGTCAGTTGGACAGATACATTCACAACAATCCGGAGCCTGCATATGAAGAGGTTATCGCGCACAACACACTGAGCACTTTTCTCGAAAAGGAGGGATTCGAGGTGAAAAGACACGCTTACGGCGTCGACACTTCTTTTGAAGCTGAATTTGGCTCCGGTGGCCGTCTGGTTGTATACTGCGCCGAGTATGACTGTTTGCCTGGCATAGGCCATGCCTGTGGGCATAATCTCATTGCGACCGCGTCGATGGCAGCTTTTGTGGGCTTGGCGAGGACTCTCAAGAAGCTTCGCGTGCCAGGCCGTGTTCGTATTTTAGGAACACCTGCAGAGGAGGGGGGTGGGGGGAAGGTCAAGCTCATCAATGCTGGTGCTTTCAAGGACGATATATCTGCTGCAATAATGTCACACCCGATCGCAGCACATTCTTACGAAGCTCCCTATACCGGGATGGCTGGTTTCAAGCTTATAGCTAGCTACAAATTTCGTGTTGAATTCTTTGGCAAAGGTGCGCATGCTGCAGGCGAGCCTTGGAACGGCATCAATGCGTTAGATGCTGCAGTCACGGCTTACAACTCAATCTCAATGCTGCGGCAGTCGATCCACCCGGATGAGAGAATCCATGGTGTGATTGAAGCCGGCGGAACAGTGCCCAACGTTATACCTGATTACACTCGAATGAACTGGTATATTCGAAGTCCAACATTAGCTCGTGCATCACTGTTGGTTGTGAAGGCGAAAGCGTGCTTCCAAGCCGCTGCTGATGCGACCTCTTGTAAATTGAACTACATACCGTAAGTGGAATTCTGTCTGTACACACAAACATCTTTGGGACTGACTTCCACCAAGTGCTTTAACATACTCGGACCTACGCATCAATCTGACACTCTGCAAAAGCTATGTCGAGGACATGGAGCACATTGGAGAAAAGGTGATTCTTAAACAAGATACCCCAGGTTCAATTTCTTCAGATATGGGTAAGAGTTTTCTCGCAACCTGGAGTGTCAAACGAGCTGACACATTTTGCAGGCAATGTCTCATACGAAGTCCCGAGCTTTCACGGCGTCTTTGCTATCCCAGCACCTTTAGATGTAACAGGCCACCATCCGTCGTTTGCTGCAGCAGCAGGAACGGACAAGGCGCATGGTGCGGCGATACAATGCGCGAAAGGAATGAGCATGTTGGGATGGAGAGTGTTAACGGATGACAAGATAGCAGAAAGTGCGAGGAAAGACTTTGATTCAAAGGATAGTTAGAACATCGAACTCAATTAGAAGTTATTAAGTTCTTATATTGCAAAATTCTACCTTTCGATGTCATAAGCAATTAGATTAAAACCACCATAATTAGAATATATAAATACTTATGATTAATAATATCTCCAAACTAAAGCTCTAATTTAACAGAGTTATTCCTAGACGTGAAATTGAGCATACCTACATATACTAATTTTGTACAGAACGTTTGAATTATTAACAAATTTGAAGTGTAAAAAGCGACTCTGGATATGAAATAGCCGAAAACCCATCATCAGTTAGCTAGTACTAGGTATTTATCAACGACAGTCACCCCCCTTAATGTTGGGATGAGAAACACTGTTTTCGGGTGCTTCATAAGAGAGTCTAACAATAAAATCGAACAATGCGGAGATTACCTTGGTGGGCAAGTTCTCTTCTCGTCTTCGTTATGTTGGGCACTAACAGCCGAAGCTCGGCTCTCCTTATTTTCTCGGCTGTCAAATTTCTGTACAGGCATCGGCTATCTCACAAGCATCAAGCCGGCCAATGATTGTTGTTCTGGGCCAAATGCAAATAAATTAAACCTACGTGCTGTACATAGGTTTCAATTATGAGGTGGTCCTCTTGTAAGTTTCGTATATGTGGATTTTTCTTCTGCAGGTCGCGGTCATAAAACGAAGCACAGCGCAAGACTCGGATAGTCGGCTCCATGGGGAATTGTGCACGAAAGTATAAGAACTTTATAAAGCAGGTCATGGCTCTCTGAAAGTATTTGCAAGAACGAAGAAGTCGCGAGCGTGGCAAAGGGGTTCAGCATGGCACGGAAAAGCTCCTTCTCAATCTGCGAGGCAGCAGAAATGGTATTTCCAGACCCAATAGCGACCAGCAACTCAGTAGAACACAACACTCAATATATATATCCAGACCTTGAGAAGGGAACCGCAAGTTCCGACCTCGATCGGATGAAAGTTCGGAACTTGGGAGAAAATGGGAATGAGAAACTAACACCGTTCGAGCGCGAATCTCTTTGCACAACACCAATGTCAGAAGAACCGCAATCCGACATACTCGAATTCTATGGCAAAGGCGACCCCCTGCATCCTTTCAACTGGAGTGTTAAGAGAAAGTGAGTTAAATTTGAACCCGAAAGTTGGCCGAAAATGGAGGGCTGACAAGAAAATTAATTCGCAGAGTCTTCATATCTTTCATACTCGGCTTTACCACATTCACGGTAGCATTCAGCTCTGCCCTTTTCTCTACCGCGACTTCACACGTCGCAAAAGAGTTCCACGTTTCTGACGAAGTCGGTGTCCTCGGCGTCTCGCTATACGTCCTTGGTTTTGCAACGGGGCCTGTCTTCTGGGCGCCACTGTCCGAGCTGCAAGGACGCAGATGGCCCATTGTCGTCTCGTTGCTTATGTTTGCAGTTTTCCAACTTGGAGTAGCGGCTGGAAAAGATCTACAGACTGTCCTGCTCTGTCGATTCTGGTCCGGGCTGTCTGGCGCTTCGCCTATGACGATTGGAGCAGCCATATTCTCGGACATGTTTGATGACCGGACTCGAGGTCTAGCAATTACGGTATTTTCAATGAATGTCCTTACGGCCCCGTTACTTGCCCCATTCGTAGGCGGGTTTATCACTGAAAACCTTGGGTGGAGATGGACGGCATGGATTGTTGCGATTATGGGATTTGTCGCCTTTGGGTTGGATCTTGTGTTCTTGAAAGAGACATACGGCCCTAAGATTCTGAGTTCAAAAGCAGCCGAGCTGCGTCGTCGGACTAATAACTGGGCCATACATACAAATTACGACGAGGTCGAACTCGATATGCGACAGCTCCTCACAAACAACTTCACTCGTCCACTACGCCTTCTTTTCTTGGAACCGCTGATCCTGCTTCTCTCGGCATATCTCGCATTTATCTATGGCCTTCTTTATCTCTTCCTCACGGCATATCCCATTGTTTTCCAGCAGATTCATGGGATGAGTCAAGGCGTGGGTGGTTTACCTTACCTGGCTATGGTCCTTGGAATGTTTCTTGCTGGGTTCACAATTATCCTTACCCAGCCTTGGTATCAAAGGAAACTAGCCGAGAACAATGGAGTCGTGATTCCAGAATGGAGATTGCCCCCAGCGATTTTTGGTGGGTTTATGTTTGCGATTGGGGTATTTTGGCTTGGTTGGTCTGGCTACAAGAAAGATATTCATTGGATAGCCCCGACGCTCTCAGGGATTTTCACGGGATATGGTCTGCTGTCCATCTTCCTCCAGTCTCTCAACTATCTTGTTGACTCATACCTGTTATAGTAAGTTGACTTCCATCCTTCTATGTTTTTTCCCGCAGAAATTGAGATGAAATAACAACATTACAGCGCGGCCTCAGCCAATGCTGGGAGTACAATACTTCGGTCTCTATGCGGTGCCGGATTCCCTCTCTTCGCCAGCGCTATGTTCAAGAACTTAGGTGTCAATTGGGCGTGCACACTGCTGGGAGGTATTGCTACTATATGTGTTCCAATTCCCGTACTGTTCTATATATATGGGCATAAGCTGAGGGAGCGGAGCAAATTTGCGGGATGAATGAATTCCGGACTAGTGGCAGATAGGAAGTACTGAGAAAAAACGAGCAGCACAAAGATACGTGGGAGTAAAATTGACAAGAAAATTAAATATAGCTCGATGGGAATAAAGAGGATTTGGGGAGGGGGTGAAGGGGGGCAAAGGTTCATAAAACATTATGTTATATAAAAACTAGAAAAGAGGGCCTAATAGCTCGCATAGAAAATACGGGTTTTCTGATTTGTTTTAAGCCTCAGTAACAAATAATAAGCCGGACTTTACAGAGGTTACAGGGCCGGACGAAATATCGACATCCCAACGGGACTATTTTACAGTGGTCACAGTCACAGCCATTCTACCTACTCCGGAGTATAAAAAAAGTCAAGAGCGTTGAATAGGGATGAGTTTGCTGTTTACTTAAAGACCCAACGGCCATGAATTTCTTCGAATCCGGTTAAATTGAAATAACGATAGACAGTAATCTTAATGACGCTATTCGCGTTTTAGGGAGAAAGGCTAGCAAAATCGGAGTATATAGTAAGGAAGAAACTGAGGATATTTAAAGATTGGTCCTCTAGCTTCTTAGTTGCTATGGTCTCGATATACTCAAGCAAAGATGGCCATCTTCAATTCCTTGCTAGGATTTTCAAGAGAAGCAAATTACTGTCTTTGAAGCTCACTTACAGTTGTTCGGAATTAGAGAAAAGTTATAGAAATCATCCATTATAGTGTAGCTTTCCTTCTGCTTATTGACGAATTACAAGCTAGCACTATGAAGTCTAACCTTTACTCCTGTACCGCTACGATTCTCAATCGCGGTATGCAACTTGATTCTCCCCGGCCCTTCCATGTTCTCAACCCCATCAAAACGCTGTAAGAACCTCACAACCAGCAAGCTAGCTTCAGTGAATCCAAATTGTTCTGCATGCCAAGTCAACAATCCTGTCCAGAAACAATTTCAACGGGGTGAACTTACGGCCCAGACATTTCCTTGGCCCACCACCAAATGGGATCCACTCCCACCCTACTTTGTGTCCTTCCCACCTCTCCGGCCTAAACTCTTCAACGTCATCTCCCCAGATATCCGGACGATGTTGCATCGCATAAGCTGGTATCAGCACCTGAATCCCCTTCCTTACAAAAATCGAACTCGTACCATCCTCTCCTCCACCGCGGGGCAAGGTCGTATCACGTAATGCAATCCGCTCGTTCATGGGGATGATGGCCACAATGCGGATCACCTCGTTCAAGACATGTTGTATAAACGTGCAGGAACGAAGCTTCTCGAAAGTGATACCAGAACTGCTCGTCGAGGACCCGAATTCCGCCACAATGATAGACCGGAGCTTGGAGAACGTAGCAGGGTGTCGGGATAGTAAGTAGAATGTCCAGCCCATGAGCGCAGCTGCAGGATCCCGTCCTGCGAGCAGAGTGTGCAGGGTTTCATTTCTCAGTTCGGTTATGTTTTGCGTCTCCTTTACAAGCTCATCTAAGAAGACGAACTTCCGGGTTCCTTCCCCTTCTAGTGACGGCGTCCTTTTGGATGTAAGACGGTCTTGGACGAGGAAGTCTATCACTTTGTGCACTTCGGCGCAGTGTGCATTCATTGTCTTCATAGGCATAAGCCAGTAGAATTTTCCAAGCGCACCACGCTTGTCAACAAGGTGTTTGGCTTCGTCGAGATGGCGGGCAAAAGCAGCGCCGTCGATTCGGTTGTTGGCATTCGCTAAACCTGCAATTGCAGCTTGGGAATTCACGGACTGACCGTAAAGAAATTCCGTAGCTACATCCAAGCTGAAATAGAAGAATAGGGGTTGAAGATCAATGGTTGAAGTCCAGCCCGTCTCCTGTGTTTGAAGTACCCCGAGAAACGTTTGGATATGACGGTCTATAAGATCCAGGTTCGAGATTTCATCTTTTGAGAACTGTGGGCGGACGAGGGCGCGGGAGTGTTTCCATTGCTGTCCAACTGATGTGAAAATACCTTCACCCAGCAATGGCATGAACGCATTGGCACGGGTAGCGCTAATATCGTAATCAGAAGACTGTGCAGAGAGCATAGCCTTGACATTCTCCGGATCGCGAGTTACGAGTAGCTCATAGTCCAAAATAGGAACCCGAACAGTGTGAATGTTACTCCCGACCTCATTCATGGCGGAAATAACATATTGAGGGCCCCTGTCTTCCTTGGTTGCTTTGATTGACTCCTTCAAACGTGATGTTCCCAGAAGATTATTACTGTGCAAAGTAGGTGCGGGGAGACAGCCTCGCCGGGCTGCTTCGGCATGGTATTGCTTTGTCTTTTGCTTAGACAAAACTACTTTGTAAATGACAAAGATAACAAAAAGTATGAGAACTGTAAAGAGGTACATTGTGAACAAGGTGCTGACCACACAACGACGGTCAGAGACTGCTGCCAATTTCACTCGTGAGTCAAATGAGTGGAGAGATACAAATCCTGATACCCCAAACCATTCAATATCTCAGAAGATTTCCTGCTACTAGACAGCACATGCATTGATCATTAATTTTTTGACTTTACGGCTTGAAGTCTTCAGCTGAGGTTGACCTTCGAAAAACCTCGGCATCATTGGCTATCCAGCTCAGGACTAGCGTTGCCGATCCCACATGTCAAAGCTTCTGCTCGAGGGTTTGGGAAGCTTGAAAAATAATATACATGATCGACGTATGAGGCGCTGCCATTGATAGCGCCGATGAGGAGCTATCCTTAGCTCGGTTAAAAAGGGGATCCTCAACCTTTCTTAGCGAGCCCCTAAGTTTCGTGGCCCGATACTTACTATTAGCTGCATGCACGCGAGCCACCAAGCCACTTTTTAGCCCAATGCGTCAAGTCGTTATGGAAAGAGTAACTTCCGCTTTCAAGTACCGAATCGGAGCCAAGCTATCTATCGCGGCCCGCGGTATTAGTACTCTGCACTGCCGATCATGTCCATCTCGCACCCGTCCGCCACTAGCGGTGGCACGAGAATCCTCTAGTGTTGATCGATTTTAACTCTAGTTCCTACTTCAATGATTTGGCATTGCAGGGGTAGCAGGACGGACCTGAGGAAGATACCGTACAAGGCTTGGTGGGTTTACTACTCTTGATTTGGCCGTTCCTAAGCAAGACCCCACATTTATATTATTGACTTTCGACCAGGTCCTGCAATATTTCGTCATTCTTGTTGATTTCAGATTCCTGCCATCTAACAAACATCTACGGAACATCCTCCTCATTCAGTTACATATTTACCGCATTACAATTTCCAATCCAGTCACATCACATCACTCTTCAACTACAACATCAAAATCAGATCCAACCAAATCAATTCAAAATGCAATTCAAGATCGCTCTCACGTTTGCCCTCTTCACCAGCATCCTCGCTGTCCCTGTCCCATCTGTGCGTAAACCACAAGCTGCCCCAAAAATAAAGTAACATATCTAATACGACGAAGGAGACTAAGCGCGACCTCATCACTTTAGACCTCGATCCATCTGTCGATGTAGACCTTCTGAACGATCTCTGTATCGGAATCGCTGTCTGCAACCCTGTTTCTGTGGTGGATACGAGGAAGGAATAATCAAGGTGGTTATTACATGACAAGATCTGATTTGGGTTTTGGAAAAGCAGTACGGAGTAGAAATGCGTTTATAGGATTGTAATTGTAATAAATCACTGAGGTTAAAGAACCTGGAGGAAGGGGTCATATTCATTTTGGAATTATAATTATAAATGACTATTAGACTTCAAGAGATCAAAGTGCTTGAGAAATTGTTATATCTAGTAGAAATGTAATTGCAACTGACCACCACATTTGACATTCGAGAAAAAGAGTAGCAGTAAAAGATTTGCAAGTATTAGGTTTAAGAAACTTTCAATTCTGATCTATAGCAATTACCACAATATTGAAGTCTACCTCTAAGAGTATTCTTCTCCTTCCCACAAATAATTATTAACATGAAGGATCCAACAACGTAGTTTTCAAACTAACTCCATCTCGCGGCCTCAACACCAGCCTCCACATTTTCAAAGTTTCTGGATCTGCCACTGTCTCATCACGTGCAAATTCAAACATACTCAACAAGCAACACAGCAAAACCTTCATCTCCGTCTCCGCAAACTTGCGCCCGACACATCCTCTCGGCCCTTGTAAGAAAGTCATAAACGCGTTCGTAGTATACGTCTCGGGCAATTTATCCCACCGATCAGGGTTGAACTCGTTGGCTGTGGGACCCCAATACATCGGCAGTCTGTTGATGGCGTTAGCCAAGACGTAGATCACAGTCCCAGCTGGAACCTTGTATGGCCCTAGTATATCGTCCGCGATTGACACTCGTACTGTCATGGGAATTGGCGGGATATATCTCAGAGATTCGCGGCATACGTTGTCTAGGTATGGAAGCTGGTCCGCGTCCACCTTGGCGAGTTCGACTGGGTCATAGCGCGTAGCGGGGTCGAAGAGGAAGGGCATGTAGGCTCTTATTTCTTCGCGGAGCTTGGATTTGATGTCGGGGTTCTTGGAGAGCAGATGGAGCGTCCATGCCACGCCGGTAGCTGTTGTGTCGTGGCCGGCGCCGAGGAAGGTCATCACTTGGTCGCGCATTGTCTCAAAGGAAAGGCCCTCCTCGCCAGCTTCCTTCATCTTAAGGTTGTCTTTTGAGATAAGCGCGATGATATCCTTGTGTGTAGTGTGGGCGGCTGCTTGGCCTTCTTTTTCGGTGATGATCGTGGTAGCCGTGTCTAGAATAATACTTCGAGCGGCTTCCATATCGCGGTTCATTTTGGCGGGAATGTATTTGGTGCTTGGGATAAATGCTTGCAAGCCGTGAAGGATTCGGGATCCAATATCGAAAGCAAAAACAAGACGATAAGCCTCACGAATTGGCGTTTCGGGGTTCTCGAGAGAATTGATATCTGTTCCGAAACCAGCTTGTCCGATGATATCCAAGGTGGTGCGATTGAGCCACTCAAGGACTTCAAAGCATTTCGTTGTGACACGTGCTTCTGCCATTTCTTCTCTCCAGAGCTTCGATAGGAGAAGCGACTTTTGCCAGAAAACAGGAGATAGAGCTCGGATTGATCCTATCGAGAATCCAGGCGCAAGTGCTTTGCGCTGGTGAACATGCTCATTGCCCTCGGCAAGAAGAACACCCTCGCCGAGAATTCGAACCATCCAAAGCTTCGCGCGAACCGGCTTGGGATAGTTGTAGGGATTCTTGATGGTCATCTGATGAATAGCCTTATCATCCGCAATCGATAAACGTTCGGCGCCACATGGAAAGAAGTACCGGATGATCGGACCATGTTCTTCGTGCCATCTTCGTTGAGGAATACCGCACTCAGTGGTAATGATTTCTAAGAACGCACCCCAAAGTGGGAAGCCGGGAACTGTTGGTACATGTCGGAGCTCGGAAATGTAGAATGGGTAGATATAACACAAATACAATACGACATAAGCTGGTACAGTGGCTAAGTAGACCCAGGGGAGAATTTGAACCAGTGGAGAAGATGTTGTTTTGGAGATAACAAATGCAACTATTGTTGCAGCTCCAATTAGATGGAGAAGTCCGAATTGTGCCATGTTGACCAGATATTAAGAAGGCCAGTACAAGATGCAGCGAGGTTGAAACAAGTTTGAGAGGGCCTTGCAGTAGATAAGACAAACAGCAGAGTTATAGAGTCCACGATTTCATGAAGATCTAGTACAACAAATTGCACGTATGTACGGACCTAATGTTCCAATCTATATTTAAGAAGATCCTCACCTTAGCTTTCCAGCTAAGTTGTAGTGTGCTTGGAATGTTACATGTGAATAATTTATTCCCCAGCTCCACATCGTAGAGATCAGCGGATCTTTGATAGATAAGTTAAGCGTACCGGGTGGATTCAGAGAAATAGAATAGTCTATTTCACCCTTCCTACTTTTATGTCTAATGTGACGCAAGTGAGACGAAAGTTCGGCGCGGAAGCTGGTATAGTTGCCGAGCCTAGCTGACACGTATACTTGTTTGACAGATTTAGATAGGTACAAGTGAAATGCAATATTATGTGCAGAATGACACTAGTAGTTTGAACAAACAATACTGAGAGACATGAGACGCGGTCCGAGTGATGATGTAAAGAGATCGACAGGTATGATACCGCTACAGATGCTCGCGAAGCCCAACCGAGTTCCAACTTCCAGGAAAGATTTCGGTCACCAAACGCTTGCAGGAAAGTTCGTATCCGGGGCTGGTGTGTTGTGCTATGCGGCCAATATAAAGAGTTTCGGGTTCCGCGTAGAAGATATAGGTAATAGGAATGTTGAGATTCTGATTGGTCAGTACTGATAAAGCTTATATTAAAGATCGGCACTTAAGCACGGTAAGGCTCAGTTTTTGACTCGTCATCAAGTATCACAAATAAGGCTAATAATTTAGCTGGATTTTTCGGTTTTTAATCCAGAAGATAAAGCTTTTCTAAACTTTGCCTGGTTCAGTAAGGCGGCTAGGCGGCTCGTTCTTAGTAGCGGCCCCACTCTCTGTGTCTGTCACTATTGCATCTTTCTATGGGGAAGATGTACGAGTACCCACTTATTCTTTAAGTGATTTGAATATATTTTAGAGACCTTCGTTGATCTACCTCCTAGTCTTTGGTTCTGGCAGGGTTTATAGCCATTACGGTAATCTACATGCGTCGGGTTGTGCCTGCACCTAGGTAGTACCCATGTCCCGAAAATTAGTTTGTCGGATCTGTCAGGTTCCAGAGAAGAGGTAAGTTGAGTATCAAATTAAGAAGCCTATGACGAATGTGGCTACAATGGACATACACATCAGACAGTTGCTTCCGATCTAAGAATTGATCTTCTCTTACCCATAGTAGCTGAAGTAACATCAAAGTAAGATCCCTGCCTTCAAGCTTTTCGAAGACACAGCTATCCATAATAAGAAGCATTGCAAACCAGTTCAAATCTTCTTTGATATTTGGTTCTTCTTTTCCAAACATCTTGCTTTGTGCGCACAACACTTTAAGCCAACTTTCACCATGTCGAAGGCCAACTTCCTTTCTCATAGCCCGGTGCTTTCAAAGCCGATCCAAATCAGCGCATCGCCATGGGCAAATTTCGACAAGCTATGGACCACACTTATGGGATACCCAGCGAAAGACTTCAAATTCGTGGCGGGAGAAACTCCTTTGTCAACTTTCACTGAAACGACTGCAATCATAGTGACATATCTTGCAGTCATCTTTGGCGGGAGAGAAATCATGCGCAGCCGAGAGCCACTCAAGCTGAACGGTCTGTTCAAGGCTCACAACTTTATGTTGACGGCTATCAGCGGTGCATTGCTGGTACTTTTCGCGGAACAGCTTATTCCTACACTCTGGGCCGGTGGCCTATACGAGAATATCTGCGGTGCTAGCGGATGGACTCAACCCTTAGTAGTCTTATACTATGTAAGCTGTTTGCATTATACAAATACGCAGACCTAACTCGTTACAGTTGAACTACTTGACAAAATATGTGGAATTGATTGATACTGTCTTTCTGATGGTGAAAAAGAAGCCCCTCAGTAAGACTTGATCAATTGGAAATTCAGAAGGAAAATTGCTCACCAACTCATAGCGTTCCTTCATTGTTACCATCACCCAGCCACAGCATTGCTTTGCTACACCCAACTCATTGGGAGTACCTCAGTATCGTGGGTTCCAATTACATTGAACTTGACAGTGCATGTTGTCATGTATTGGTATTACTTTCAGAGCGCTCGCGGTATTAAAGTTTCTTGGAAAGAGTGGATTACCAGACTACAAATCTTCCAATTTGTTATTGACTTGGGTATGTGAAACCACTCATACGTTTCGGATTCAATTGCTGACAACAAACTAAGGTTTCGTTTATTTCGCCTCTTGGGATTACTTCACTAGCACTTACGCCCCATATCTCCCACACGTAGGCACCTGCGCGGGTCACCCAGCTGCCGCCGTCGCCGGAGTTGTTATCCTGAGTTCCTACTTGGTGCTCTTCATCTCGTTCTATATTGCCACCTACAGGAAGAGGTCTACTCGCCGTACGGCTGCGAAGATTGCTGGACAAGCTGAACGGAAGATGGAAAAGACGGAAGTACCAATGATGAAAGAGACAGCGGAAAAGGCTACGCAAGCGGTAAAAGCTGCTAACGAGGGGATGCATAACATTAGCTCTAGGAGGCCATTTGTATGAACTCCATGAGGATATTTCTGAAATGTCGAAGGTATGGTATCTGAAGGCCGGTAATGCAGAAGTATGTATTTGAAGTAATAATTACATAGACATATAATGAAATTACTAAGCATATTTTGAAAGAGAAATTTCCGACAATATTGTGAATTGACACTTCCCCGCCATCTGTATGTTTTATTGCTTGAAATTGACGCGCTCGGGAATCTCTAACTTGAATTCGAAGTTCAGTTATTACGGGGATATCCTGAACCGTTTGGTAGGTAATACTTCGTAAGTCCTTTTACGAAGTATCGCCCAAGACGTGGACGCGGATGCTTGGTGCTCCGTACGGTCCCTGCGGGCCTGCGGGGTGTGGATGGTCTTGGGGATAGTTTGATGATCAACAGCGCATGAGCTTACTAATTTACCATGACATACAAGAGGGCGATGGCGATGGAAGCAGGGCAAGACAGCCAAGGAACGATAGGTTAAGGTTGCAACAACCTTTACACCGAAAAGGGCCACCATGTCAGAAACAACGGATTCCCACAGCCAAGGCTTAAGCCAATCTTGCAGTGAAACTTCTTAGCTGAACCTTTGACTCTCGTTGGATATGAGTTCTGTAAGTGGTGCAGAATAATTAATTATGGAGTAGATACAGTATTATCAGCCTTCCTAAAAGAAAGATGAAGTGGTGAGTAGAAAATCCCTACAAGGCTAAGCTACTAGTACCAAATAGCCGATGTGACGGTAGCGTCGTGGCGACGAGAGATGGAGAGGGCTGAATACCAGTAATTAATCTACTAGATCCGCCCGGGCTATGACTCTTGGGTCTACTTTTCTTTTGCACTAGTAGAAATCTCAAAATACCCATTCTCTCCTTCCAGATCTTCCGCGCTTCCACGTCACTCCCACATGCGGTTCGCTCGCAGACGCATACAGGGGAACCATGCCGCACTCCGTATATCAAACCGATGCTTGCAAGTGCGGCGAATGAAAGACCTTCTCTTCAATCTGAGTATAGTACAGTACAGTAGCGGAGATCTAGTAAGGCTCGGCATGGACATCATGGCATCCCGACGGCTTCATTCGGGGGTCGCTGCAACATGAGCACAGATTCCGCACCACCAACGTGCTTCTTTCAGATCTTAAGTGGAGCGCTTGTCCGAATTCCCCATTGGTTTTCTGTTCTTGTCTGGATTCTTCCGTCTACTAGTTGGTCTGCGTTTCCAGCTCTTGTCTTTTCAGCCATTTCTCAAATGGTCCATGTGCAAAAGCGTATCCACGTGTACCTGTACCATTTCTTGAGATCTTGACCTTTTAATTTTTAGGGCCGCGGGAACACTGTTTTAGTTTATGGGAACGTTGCTCTGTGTGACGTTCGTGGCGGTGAGGGCGTGGAGGCTCAAACAATGGGCTGGCCGTTCTGACGTTGAAGGCATTGATAACACTTGATAGTCTTTCAAGGGTTTTTTTCAAACGTACCCAATTTATTGTCTGCAACTGCTTCTGTCTGCACACTGTGGAGTCTTCCCCAACCTGGCATCTACTCAATCTAGTTTGTACCATGACGGCGATCAAATGCTGGACATGAAGGTTAAATTTCTTGTATTATAGCCCCAGTATAGGGCCCTGTCTACGTACCCTTGTCTCCGTAGTTCGGGTTTTCGAAATCAATCATTACAATATGCCATTAAAATAGAGCCGTATTGCTCCGCGAATGAAGGATCAAGCTTCTACGGAATAGAGCTTCCATCTACAAACGCTTTGAAACCCTGTCATGGCTTCATAAGCAGCATTCTTATCAGCGACTCATATTCTAATACCTTGGCGTCATCAAAACCCTTACCTCTAGTCCAGTCGCTTGAAACTACGAAATCTGGCCCTTATTTTGAAGTATGGAAGAGTCGGAAGTCCGTTCCGCGGGTGGGGATAGCTCCATTTTTGGGAAAGCAAGATGTGTCAACGACGCACCCTGTTGCGGCCTGGGGACATGTCCTTAAACCCGAACAGTAGGATCGGCACTGTAAACACTGCACCTAGAAAGTTCTTTTACGCAACGGGAAATGATGAGATGTATTGGGGTGCTTCATTATGCACCCGTTGGAGCGGTCCGTTGCTGGCCAAATGACGGTGTATAATGTATCTTCTAAGTGATTGATAGCATATACATTTTCAAAGGCCTGCAATACAACTCTCCATCATTCAGGAATCGTATCATTTCTTCCAGATATCAGAACATTCCACAATTCTAACTAGGATACTACTTAATTCTCTTCTTCTTTTGATGCATCACAATGGCTGCGCTTAATAATTCAGTCCCTTATCAGGTCTGCGTGCCTTACCTGAGCTTGAATGGAAGTGATGCTTCGAAGTCCTTCGGCCGTTCCATTAAACTAGCAGATGTTCCATCTTATCTATGGTCATTTGTGACAATATGGAGGCTGCTGGTCGCCCTCCTTGTACTTGGGAACCTTAAGAATATTCCCTTAATGTGGCATGTGAGTATACAATAAACCCTCTGTTTCGTTCATCTTCTAATCTTATCCTTCAGCTGCGGATAGTCAACGCCTTTAGATTTGCCTGTCGGAGTCAAAGACCGAAAGTGCCTGTGACATGGGAACATATATTCCAACCTTTGATCACAACAAATCATGCCCCAATCATGGAAATCGATTTCAATCTACACAGTATGTACTTCCACCACTACCGTTCAAGAATATTCTAAGCGACGCTCTTAGAATCCAACTCTTCTTACTTCTCGGATCTCGATGTCGCCCGTACGCATCTCGTATGTACTCTATTCTCCACCGGCCTCGAACACTTCCGTGGCGGAACAGCAGCCATGAACGGTTCGAAAGAGCCTCTCTTCGGGCTCGCCCTCGGCGCAGTCAGCTGCTCCTTCAAGAAAGAGCTTAAGCCATACGAGACTTATGAGCTCTGGACCAGAGTCTTGACATGGGATGAGAAGTGGTTTTACATCCTGACTCATTTCGTGCGCAAGGACAAAGTCGTACCAAATAAATACACCCTCTATCCCCAACAAGGCTCCTCCGGCAGGGAAGAGTCGAAACACAGCAGCAGCGGCTCAGGCCCCGATGACACGCTTAGCAACAAAGCCATAGTCGCGACCGCGCTCAGCAAATGCGTGTTCAAGCAAGGACGCCGAACCGTCTCACCCGCGCTCATGCTCAAGATCTCCGGCCTGCTACCCGTCAAGTCACTCGACGAGAGCCTTGGGCTGCACGGCGATCCTACAAGTGTCCCATCATCCCGGTCTTCTGATTCGGGAATCGAGATAAACGATAGCAGAGAAATGCGGGATCTGGAAAAGATCGAAAATGAACGGCTGCGCGGTATGGCTGTGGCTGCTACGCTGACGGCTCAGGGACAGGATCCGTTGGAGATGGAGTTTACAGCTGAAGGCGATGCGCTGGGAAGACATACGGATGGGACGGGGATTACGGGGGTGATTTCTACACTGGCTCAACTTGCACATCTTAAGACGAGTCAGATTTTATAGATTGAAACATTCTTTAGAAACCTGATCTTTTTTTTTGTATATTTAGATAGTATATACCATAGCGATTGCGAATGCTCAAGACAATTTACGTTCAGCTAAATTCTATCTCAAACCGATGTTACTCACTTTCAAATGTTTAAAACCCATCCATACGCACGCTATAATATCCTCCCTAAACCCCCTTTAATTCCACCTCAAAAACGAAGCTGAAGAAAATATTCCTATCTGCAACAACGCACACAAACCCAGAAACCTCCCTCTTCTCTCGGGAAGTAACCCTTCCGAGTCCAAAGCCCACGCTAAGGTAGCCAAGGTACTACTCCGTATCTCAAATTCTCAATCCACAACACCAGCAAGCGACCGAAAAGAGCTCCACTCCACTCCACTCCACTCCACCCCTGAGAACCCAAGCCTCTAACGCCGCCCGGCGTTAGCGTCCTTAGCGTTAATGATTTGCCGCTCCGCCCGATCCTACAGTACTCCCTTATCATAACCCTCCATCCCGGTACAGTAGGCCGCGGGAATCTAATCTAGTCGGGATTGTAGTACTAGTATAGTGGATCAATCAATATACGGATATTCTTACAGTACAGTAGTAGTATAGTAGCGGATCTACAGATGGTACTTCGTACATTGCGATATGTTGACCCCGGTAGGATGAACGCATCCACGCATTCACGCATCCATTTTAGGCTTTAGACTGGAGATGGAAATGCGTCGTCCGAACTTAGATTCGTGTGTGTTGCTGTCACAGGCTTTTTTTGTTATTGGCTCATGTTGTCCAATGGATAGATGCCTGGGAACGCGTGAGCTCTTTGATATACATGCACGTGTATTTGTTTGGTCTTCAAAGTCTGGTCCGGGGAAGAGCTCCACACTCACTCAGAGCAGAGCTTTATGATTCCAGATTGAACAGCACTAGGTGTACGATAATCCGTAGTCTTTCATCACTGCCCTATATTTTCGTTTGTTCGTTCTGTTTCTTGACATCCAATATGATGGAAGGAAGAGACCCCCTGCAAACAGAATTATCAACCTGGTCCAATATGGCCAAAGAAGCAGAATCATCAAACCCATCCAATATAATCGAAGAAAAAGGCCTTGAAGAAGGAGATATCTCACCCCATTGAATATGGCCGAAGAAACATCCCCCCCCCGGAAGCAGAATCATCAACCAGACGAGCCATATCTTCCAATGGAACAAATCCTCTTCCCACCACGAACAACATACAAACACCAGAACCAGCTCACACAACACCTTCCCAACCCCAAATACCACCCAGAAACGCGTCAATTCGAGCACCCACACACCGCTCACAATCACCCACCCCCTACCTACAAACCCTCTTCCAAGGCGCCATAGAAGCCAGCAACCCATCACTCCACCTCCTCGCTTCCCATTCATCCTTCAACTCCGAAAAATCACACCACAACTCCGAGGTCCGCTCCGAAAGATCACCGATTCCGTCGTCTCGGCCACTGAGCACTACCTTTGAGGCCCAGAGACACGAGGGGAAGAGGGGACTTAGTATCACGAGCAAGACCAAGATCTTCGAGCCGGGGTTGGTGAGTGGTGAAGAATCGCGAGGAACGACGTTGAGAGGGAGCTGGGGAAGTGGTTCGCTTGCGGGTGGTCCTGAGAAGAAGCTCGAAGCTGGGAATGGAGGTATTCCTGAGGGGAATCCCAGTGATTCTCCCAGCGCTAGCCTAGAGATGGCCGCAGAGGAGGAACTCTCAGGTGGGGAGAAGGATGAAGATGATATCGCGTATCCCAAGCCATTGGCGCTAAGTTTCCTTATCATAGGAATAGCGCTGAGCGTATTCCTTATATCTCTTGATCGGACTATCATCACAACCGTAAGTAAATCCTACTTGATCAGGTTTTCCGCGAAAGATAGGAAATTGACAGAGAAACCATTCAGGCGATTCCTTACATCACCAACGAGTTCAAGTCCTACGATGACATAGGCTGGTACGGATCCGCGTACCTACTCACAGCCTCCGCCTTTCAACCGCTCTATGGCCGCATCTTCATGATGTTTAACATGAAATGGTCATACTTAACGGCGCTCGGATTGTTCGAGCTGGGGAGCCTCATTTGTGGCGTCGCTCCCAGTTCCGTGACATTGATCATTGGAAGAGCTATTGCCGGGCTGGGCAGTGCGGGTATATTGACGGGAAGTTTTGTCGTCGTCGCGAATGCAGTGCCGTTGGCAAGAAGACCTTTGTTGACTGCTGTGGTAGGGCTGATGTGAGTATTTCTATTTCCCCTATCTAGAAGGATTGAAAACTAAACGGCTCGTAGGTTTGGTGTGGGAGCAACGGCGGGCCCGCTGCTTGGAGGTGTCTTCACTGATTTAGTCACATGGAGATGGTGTTTTTACATCAATCTCCCAGTTGGTGGTACCACAGTCGCAGCAATGGTCTTATTTTTCCACCCTCCAAGGAAACACGCCTTGATGGGAAAATCTTTCTTCTACCGTGTCCTCGAGCTTGATCTCATTGGTAATGCGATTCTCCTTGGCGCATCCATCATGCTGTTCCTCGCCTTCCAATTCACGGAACAGCAAATGCCCTGGGGCAGTGCGCAAGTAGTTGGGTTATTGACAGGCAGCGGAGTAACGTTTATACTCTTCTGTATCTGGCAATGGTGGAAAGCAGATGGTGCGCTTATGCCACCCAGAATCCTCAGACAGAGAAGTGTAGCAGCAGCCTGTGCTATGTCCTTCTGCATATATTCTGCGATTCTGATCCACACATACTATCTCCCCATGTGGTTTCAAGCCATAAGGGGGGATTCTGCCATTGAAGCAGGTGTGGATATGATTCCGTATGTTGCAGCCAACGCTATTTTCTCTCTTATAGCAGGAATCTTCGTCTCCAAGAACGGGTATTTCACTTCCCCAGCTATTCTTGGATGTGCGATCGGGACAGTGGGGTGCGGCTTGCTGAGTACTATTGATGTGAGGACTTCCACTTCCAAATGGATCGGATATGAGATAGTTGCCTCAGTAGGGATAGGCATGGCAATCCAGCAAGGTTTTACAGCTATTCAGATTGTACTCCCCTTGAACGAAGTAGCGATCGGAACCGCAGCCGTAGTTGCATTCCAGTCATTGGGAGGAGCAATCTTCGTATCTGTAGGGAATACAATTTTGCAGAACTCGCTCCTGAGTGCGGGGCGCAGTAATATGTTGCCGGGAGTGGATGTGCAAGCGGTTATCAACGCTGGTGCTTCCGAATTTCGGAAGAAAGTGACGGCTGAACAGCTGCCTGCGCTACTTGAGGTCTATAACAAGGCACTGCAGAAGGTTTTTATTGCTGCGATTCCCATGGCAGGGTTAGCGATGATAAGTGCCCTTTTCTTTGAGTGGCGGAGTGTGGACGATAAGAAGAAGAGGGGAGACGAAGAGGCGTTGAGACTGAGAGAGAAGAGAAACAAGACTGATAATATGATATTAGAAGCCACTCGGGAGCTTCCAAGTCGTGATGGAGTTGCTGCGAATCCCCTTGAGATCCAAAATCCGAAGGAAAGATAAATGTAATGAAATATAATATGATGTATTCTGGTTTAGCGGCTTAGCAAATTTTGATAAAACAAGTACAAATCTTACCACCTTTAACCTCGTGAGTATCCATAGTTTCTCGAACTTGAGCAGAAGCTCCACTGGGTTTAAAAACAAGGAGATGGTTCGCTAACTTTCAGCCCTGCTCTGATGTGTTGTTGATCTTGTGTATCCACATTCGGAAGGTCGGGCGGCGAGTGACAAGTGTCACAAAGGAAATGCCAGTACCCGCCTTGAGCTCTCGGACAGGTTCACATCTCGGGAGGCTAAATTTCTTTGCAGAAGATGCTTAAAAACGAGTGTGGACGAGCATTATATGCAGGTTGATAAGAAGAATATGAAAAGAACGCAAGGGTTTGAAACCTAGTTCGCCAATTCGGCGTAATTGGCCAGTATAATAGACGTAACAAAGATTGTAAACATGCTAAGGGCTTTGACTCAACTCCCCCCTGTAGTGCGAAAAGAAGAAGGAAAAAGGAAAGGGGGAAAGAGCCGACGTCGAGTCTGAGTGAACCCTGGATGGTCACGTGTGTTGGACCTCGGAGCTAAAAAGTCAACAGAAACCCATAAATTTACAGGCTTATGACTTCACTCTCTCTTCAATTCCGCTTTGCCAATCCTTGACGAGATTCTCTCGCGGAAGAAAGTTAAACCTCATCTGCGATTAAATATTAAAGATGACGACTCTTAAAGTATCTAGTCGCAGTACGTATTTCGTCCCCTTCAAATACCCTCCCTTGACTAACAAAACCCCCCACCAGTCCCCAAGAAGCCCATCAAGAAGCTGCCCACGAGCATTAAGATCACAGATAAGACCACAGTACAAGATGTCAAGGAACAGCTTGCGAAGCCCGGTCACTGGGATCCAGAGCGCTTGGGAATCTACGACTCGTCGAAGAAGCTTCTCAAGGACCGAAAAGCGATTATGAGCCAGCAAGAGAGCGTAATGGCCGATGAAGAACTCCTAGTCAAAGACCTAGGTAGGCAACTCTCTCCGCCGCACAATAGACACAAAGCTAACAACACCAGGCCCACAACTCTCCTGGACCACGGTCTTCGTAATCGAATACCTAGGCCCCATCCTCATCAACCTCGCCGTACCCCTCTTTCTGCGCCCATACATCTACCGCGCCGCGGCGCCGCTCTCACCCTCGCAATACATAGCCATGGCAATGATCGTAGCGCATTTCCTGAAGCGGGAGTACGAGACGCTATATGTGCATCGCTTCAGTCTGGCCACGATGCCGATGTTCAACATCTTCAAGAACTGCGGGCATTATTGGTTTCTCTCGGGCTTCAATCTCGCGTACTGGATTTATGCCCCTAGTTCTTACACTTCCGATTCGAGTCCTACGATCGATAAGCTGAATATTGTGGGGATTGCGCTGTATTTGTTTGGGGAGATCAGTAACTTCCACACACATGTCACGCTGTCGAAACTGCGGTCGAAGGGCGGTACTGAGAAGGGTATTCCCAAGGGGTATGGGTTTGATTTGGTGACGTGCCCGAACTACTTCTTTGAGCTGATTGCATGGACGGGCGTACTGTTCGTGACGAGGAGCTGGGCGACGGTGTTGTTCATGGGCGCTGCGTGGGGACAGATGCATTTGTGGGCTGTTAAGAAGGAAAAGGCGCTTAGGAAAGAGTTTCCGGATACGTATAAGAAGAAGAAGCATGTCATTGTGCCGTTTGTGGGTTAGAGGTACTTGCATGTTGGCCGGCTTATAGTGGTAGGGATTGTTATTCCTACCGCGACTGAAATGGATCTCGAGTGTAAGTGCTATGGATAGATAGTAGGTGTATGATTGGTGTGGGAATAGACACGAGATAGATGGCCTCGCTGTACTCATTCTAGTAGATTAATGTTTAAACATTAAGGTTATGATCCTCGGTCTCTCGATACACTTCAAGTGAAGTCATTTTCTTCAATTCTCTAAGCACTGCTTCTTTTACTTGGCTTCTATTTGTCATTTTCTTCTTGTCATCTTAATCAGTTGAAACTAAACCTGATGAGTTGAACTCTCTGTTTTTGTTTATTACTTCTCAATACTTAAACACTTTTTGTGCCCTGACGCTGCAAGCTACATTACCAAGTCCCCACATACAATCAACAGCCAGAAGCAAGATATCAAAATCCTCGTGCATATTCCTCGCTATAATTATTTTCACCAACTCATATCTCCTTTCTTATATACACTGCACCCTTCATTTCAAACCCCCCTCATTCATTCATTCATTCATAAACAGCAATCGCCTTGTCAAAACTCTCATCAATCGGCTGCAACAACAACTCCGCGATCCCCTGCAACCCCACCGGCACCTTCTCCACAACCGCATCCCCAAAACGATCCGTCGCCTCCTGCTCCAGCTTCAGATTCAGCAGCACCACCGGACTAACAATCAACAGCGTATCGAACTCTGGTTTTGTGGCGATTAGGTTTGCGAGTGTGGTGTTTACGGCGAGGGCGAGGGTCTGCGTGGCCCCTGCGATACTTATGGCTTCGGCATCAGTGAGGTTGGCGGAGGACGAGGCGATGGATGTCCCGGTGTTGATTGTTGTTAGGAGCGTGGTCGAGGCGGTGAGGAGGGGCAGGATTTCAGTGAGGCCTGCAAGGCCGGGGTGGAATGATGATACAGTGTTGTTTAGGGCAATGGTGCTGTTTTGGATGTTGGAGAGCGCCTCTAGGATAGAGGCGCCGGAGGCGAGGATGGGGGTTGCCATGACTAGGAGGGCGAGGGGGGGGAATTGGTGGAGTTGCATTTTGAGGAGTGGTTGTGGATTGGCTTGTGGAAATTGGTTGTATTGAGGATGGTGGGATCTGATCTTCAGGTACGTCGTTTTATATAATATAATTCCCCGCTGCCTTGACGAAGAGCAGGAGGTTTTATATTAAATCGCGTTTCATCTATTCCACCATGGTAGTGACCCCGCATCAATCAATCACGATATCGAGGCTCACAAGCTTTCCATCTCGTCCCAACACCGAGTCGGGAAGCATGTGGGGTGGGACCTCACCTCCTCGGTAGATTGGATTTTACAATTGTCACGTACTTTGTAGACAAGGATGAGAGATGATCGTACCCAGAAGAGATGCGGATCCGGAGAAGAACCTAGAATAAATATGGGGTAAAGTATGGTTACTGGGGTTAACGTGGGGAAGACCCTGGTCTACCGCGGCGCAATAGTAATAACGTCAAACATGTGATGGATTTGATTTTCACATTGAGAGTGAGAAAGCGAGAGAGCGCGTAAAAGAGAGAGAATAAAGTTTTGCCAGCGAGAGTGTTTTTAAGCTAATAGCGGTCCAAAGGTACACCGGACTTCCTGCTTGTGATGTTGTACTGTCTTGTGTGGAAATGGACGAAACCGCTGAAGAGCGATGGGGCAATTAGATATGAGAGATCATAAACAAAGCTACCCATCTTCGAAACTCTTCGTTAACGAAGAACAGCTTGCCGATTGTGTTAAAGTCAGATATAAAAGCTTCCATAAAATTCAGATGGGAGTATAGTTAAGAAAGAAGGATAACGGTTTTCCTCAGCAGCCCCGCCAATCCGCTTTCGGCAGTGGTCGAATTGCCAAGAGTGGTTTCTTCATCCTCACGAGTATTTCTTTCCATGCATCCATCTTTCCAAACTCCACTTCCACGATAAAAAAGTGCCATTGTACATTACGCTTTGGGTCTCTTCCAATTGATCTCACCGTGACCTTGATTGCTTGAGTTCACGGGCTGCCTGAAGCCATAAAGATAGCAACATCTGACAAATGCAGATCCTTTGATTGACCGTTCCCATTGATATTGACAATGGATGGCAGTTCTCTTTCTTGTATTGGCCGCCTACACATTTTCTTTCTTCAGTATGTCACTATTTATGTCACTGCTAAGGTGTGACCCGTGATTTGGTACTGCACCGCTTCCATCTCTACTTCCACACGAGTGTCTTAAAAGTATGCGTTACCGTGTCGTCCATGCTTGCTCCCTCACGAGACGTTCACCTTGTACAAACGCAATACAAAGTTCTCTTTTTTTTGCAAGATGTTTCCCATTATTCGTCGCATCGCAAGCGCGTTTGTGCTCAACTCTACTTGCGTTTCTGCGAAGAGGAGATCGTTGATGATGGAGTCTAAAACCTCTACATTTCAATCGGAGCCTACATCAGAAATCGCTCTTGCGCCCAAGATGATGGATATTTCCGGGCAAGATATGCCTCATCGTGAGGACCACAAGCATCCGGGTCCCTACATGAGGGGATATCATACTGGGGTTCTCGGATGGATTGACCGTGCCCTTTGCTCTCACGGCTGGGCTGTCTTCGTGGGCATTCCTCCTTTCCTCCCTTTGGGCCTTTCAATCTATTGCAATTACCGCATGTTACAATACTGATTGATGTATGACAGTCTTGGTTCGGCAAAGCTAGTCATCATCGGCGGACTAGCCGAACTCTTCAGCGGCGCGATTTCGATGGGTCTGGGTGGCTTGCTTGCTGCTCTCACGGAGAGGTCACATTATTTTGCTGAGGAGCAGAGGGAGAGGGATGAAGTGAGGGTTATGCCGCAGCTGGAGAGGGAGGAGATTTATGTGTTGATGGAGGAGTATGATGTTGGGAGGGATGCGATTACGCCTTTTGTTGATGCGCTGGTTGCGAATGAAGATAAATGGGTCAAGGTTTGTCTTGTTCTTGCTAAATTAAGAAGCCCCAAGATTTACTGAGTTTTGGAACAGTTCATGATGGATTTCGAGCTGAAGATGGAGAAAGTTGAGAAGAAGCAGGTTTGGATCTCGGCTGGTGCATTGGCAGGCTCTTACTTCGCTGGTACGGGTGCTTCAAGTTCGAAAGTGAGACTTATATGCTGATAATCTATAGGTGGTCTTATACCCATGGTTCCCTATTTCGCCATGAAGAGCGTCACAGACGCCCTGTTCGTATCTATCGGTGTCACGGTCCTCATGCTCCTCGTCTTTGGCTTCGTCAAGAACAAGAAGACAGTTGGGACTACACGCTCTGGCTTTAAAGGAGCAGCTCAGACCCTAGTCACCGGCGTACTGGCTGCGGGCGCGAGTTATGGCATTGTGCGGGCGCTTGATTCCAGGGATCCGGTTCTTACGTAGTGAAGGTGGTGCATGGGGACAGGCCTCTTGCTGGCTGCGGGTAGAGGGTTGTGCAAAACACGTCTTGAATTTTGAGGAGGCGTCTACATGGAGTTGAAGGTTGTTTTCTGGGTCTGGATGTATGATACTGTACTCCGTAAAAAGGATACAGTGGTGGCATTAGAATACCCCGAGGACTCGGTCCGTGTCATGCAACCTTATTCCTCCTTCAAAGTCCGTCTCACAGAACTGAATCCTTCCCGTGAAGCGAAGCACATGCCAATGAGTGGTCTGTGTGCAAGCTATTCCCTGCCCATGCCTTGCCCCTGTCTTTTGAAGTTTGAATCTTCGCGTCTCGGGTTTCTCACCATTTGAAGCATTCTCACATTTTACCAAGTACTTCGTAAATGTACTCTTCTAGAAGACTTGTGCAGAATTCCGCAACATATGCTGTGCCCCGTGCCCAGTGTCCCGTGCCCCTTAGACACGTGGATTTTGTAGTACCTGAGCTGCCGCTACACTAAAACAAAGCCACCAAGCTCCGTACCGTACTGTACTTGTAAAAGCCCCTGAACCCGACACGAAACGGCCAGGAAAATAAAAATAAAAATGAATCATACGGAAAGGGGCAGGCAAACAACTATTTACACGCTTTTCCAAGCTTCACGTTTTTCTCTTATTCACGAATAACATGCTTCGCGGTTCTTCTATATAAATCTTCGGTTCAATTGATGCTGTTGAGCGGTATCAGAGAAAGAGTGAATTCCGGGATCTTCTTCAGGGGTCAAAAATAATCTGTGCGCAGACCGACCACCTCAACACCAACCACCATCACCAGAAATTCTTCCTCGGTACGAACTATCTAATCCGCCTTGCCCTTCCCCATGAATGGCCGTATTGTCTACCCACCGCCCTTCCCACCATTCGCACAATCGCAGTTCTAAGTCAGCAATCGTTCGTCGAGCAGTACCTATAGTTATACAATACGTCTGAGCGCAATCAAGAGAAGAGATGCCCTGGTCTCCACTCCCACGCATCGCCTTCGCCGTCGCGACATACCCCTTCGCTGCTTCCTCTCCAGCAGACCTCCCTCTCGAGCTCGGCGATGAGCTATACATTATCGAACAAGGCGGCCGCAATGGCGATTGGTTCCGCGGGTACCTTGTCGCGCCGCCGAGTCTGCTGGCCGGGCTGACCAGCACCAAGGGCCAGACGCTCGAAGCGCGTGTTTTCTCGGGCATATTTCCTAGGAGCTGTGTGGAGGTTCGAGAGGTGCTGGGTGAGGATGAGATAGAAGAAGATGAGGATGGACCACCATTGACGAATGGGCATATTGTGCGGAATCGGAGTGGCAGCACCGGCGTGGATTCAGATAATAGTGCCATGGGGAGTCCGCGGTCCTCGAAATCGTCTAAGAAAGCTCGAATCAGCACCGAGAAAAAGACGGATAGGAAAGGCAGCATGAGGAAGAAAAAACAGCTTTCCGATGGCAATCTAGCTGTAGCTCAAGCTCGAGATCCGGATGCGCCTAAACCGCCTGCTCCTGTGCCCATGCTGAAAATTGGAGACGAGACACCGACTTCTGCTTCCGAGCCGCTGGTGGACGAAATAGCATCTTGTCTGCGAGAATGGCATTCTAGGAACCTACACGAGTTGCTGCTGTCGAGGCAATACCCACAGCTGGAAAGGATGTCAGGTCTGGTGCAAACGCTGGATTTGTCGCGGAGGCAGTTCCTTCATAATGTTTTGACGACCCATGAGATGCAGTCGCTGCGGGAAAAGACGGTCTGGGATCTGGTGAGAGGAAATAAACTGTTTAATGGTGAAGTTATTGTGCGGGATCCTGCGGAGCGAGGAAGGGTGTTGACTGGGGAGGATTCTGCTGTGGAAATCACGAAGCTGCAGTCTATGATGAGCCTCTTGGATGAACGACCGCAACCTCCTGTGAACGAGAGATTGACGCTGCACCATCTCCTAATAGACGTCAAGGCCTTCGTAGGAGCATCATCGGAGCCAACCACCCTGGTATTCTTCCTTGCCTCAAAGACACCCGGAGAAATGACGAAGGCCCTCTCAGAAAGCTATATCGTGGAAGTACCTCCTACCGGAGCCATGACGAGTCTCGCAAAAGCAGGTGATATGCGGACGCTCTTCACAGACCTTGCATCAGCGGATATTGGCGACCTACCATCAACAGACACCGAACTATACTTGGTAGTGAAAATACGGTCGACGCAACAAGTACAGCCTAGGAAGCCGGCTTCTAGGGGTGGTTCACGCGATGGCACGGCAACGACGAGGAATGGAGAAAAGCCACAGTCGAGTGGCGGAAGTAAATCGGGACCGGGTAGGAGAAGTCTCATGTGGGGTCAGAAACGAAATGCGCCGATGAGTTCGAGGCTCAATTCTCTCTCGGAGCAGGGCGAGGAAGCAGATGGGAGACAGTCTCGAGATAGACCTCCTTATACTGCAGATTCAACAGCGTTTGCTACTCAGCCTCCTAGGTCCGCATCTGCGAGTCGGAGTGTGACACGGACTGTAGGCTTTGGGGCGTTGAGGATTAATTCCATCATGAAGCAAGAGGATGAAGTTGAGCAGGTCTTTAATGTGTGGACACCATCTCTTGGCTTTAAAGATGACAAGCAAGATATGGGCGAGGGGTGGGAAGATGCCATTTCTGATCTTATGGCAAGTAAAACTGGGAACTATGAGAAGTCACGGAGAGCCGAACGCCTGCAAATCCTTCTAAAGCCCTTTGAGAGTCCGGATGTGGATGCTCTCATCAAGGCGACACCTACATTACTTTCGGAGGTCAAGAGGACAGCCAAGATGGGGTTTTCTGGTGCTCCTACCAAGGCACGATCAGATATTTACATTAACATTGACGAAGCGTTCCTCCCTCGACATGCGTTGCTCTCACGCTCATCTGGTAGCGCCACGCCTTTGAGCTCCACCATTGAAGGCGCGAACCTTCAAATCACCCTTGAAGTCCGAAAAGCATCCGGTGATCGTATCGAGAAGTGTATTTTCGCTTCTTCTAACACGGAAGGTCAAAGTTCATGGGAGTCTACAGCCGCAGACCGAGGCGATGCGTGGAGCCAGACTCTGCGCCTTGCAATCTCTCCAAATGATGTTCATAACTGCCATGTTGTGATGACGTTGTCAGATATACCCTACCAGCCCTTTGCTATTTGTTATATTCCCCTTTGGGACCAACAAGCTTTCATGCGAGATGGGCACCATTCGCTTTTACTATACAGATATGACGAGTCAACTTCAACCCCCAAGAATCAGGCTGGTGGTAAAGGCGGGTACTTGTCTCTACCCTGGAATGCAAGGGGCAAGGATGATGTGAGCAAAGACGAGGCTGTCACGGGTCCGATTGCGACACTGAGAGTACAAACCTACCTCTGCAGTACACGATTCTCCCAGGATAAAGTACTGTTGCGTCTTTTGAAATGGAAGGAGCAGCCTCCAGGAGAAGTGCAAGAACTCCTGAAACGGCTAGTCTTTGTTCCTGAGATCGAAGTCGTGAAACTTTTGAACGACGTTCTTGATGCCATTTTTGGGATACTGGTTGAGCAGACTGGAAACGATGATTACGAAGACTTGATTTTCAGTGCCTTGATTACCATTCTTGGAATTGTTCATGACAGACGGTTTAATTTGGGACCGTTGGTTGATCAGTACGCCGAAAACAAGTTCAATTATCCATTTGCTACACCTTGTCTAGTTCGGTCGTTTACTCGACTTTTGGCGAAACCTTCAGACCCAGAAACTTCACGGAAATTACGAGCTACTTTTAAAGTTGTACGGCATATTCTCAAGTTCATCACGCACGCGAGGGGTCAGCAGAAGGCGAAGGAAGCTGGGATTGGTATTACGAGTACATCCCCTGGCTTCACCCGACACTTGCGGACGATTTTCAAGGCGTTGGATGGGCTTATGCGAAACACCGCTCCAATTTTGGTGGGAAGTCAAACACTTGCCGTCCAACATTTCCACACTTGGTTACCAGAACTCACGGGCTTGCTGAGCACGGAAGAGATCTTACATATTGCAATCGACTTTCTAGATTCCTGTGCCTTGGTGAAGGGCAAGCTTGTTCTGTACAAGCTCGTGTTGATCATCAATTACTCAAAGCTGGAGCTTTTCTCGCAGCCAGAACAGCGAGCTGCGCTCAGTGCGAATACGGTTCGATGGATAGCTCCACATTGGGGCAAGACGCACGAAGTTACTGAACAGTGGCGAGAGCAAGTCCGCCTTTGCTGCTCAATTCTCTCAACGCAAGTTCAAGATCTCGGACCAGAAGTTCCGGATTATATCCCCAAGATCATCGATTCGTACCTCGCGCTTCAAGCTGCGCCGAAGACTGAAAAGACACGGCTCTCACTTCTATTCCCCACAACTTACCCATTTCCAACCAAACCACTCCCAGAAAATACTCAGTTTGATGAAGCGCTTATCGAACTGTCCGCCATTCTATCTGGGATTTCGACATTGCCTGCAGGGATGCAACTCGAGCTGGCGGAAGACGAAATGGCTACGCTTCTTGAGGATACACTGCATGTGCATCTCAGCATTTTACAATGCGAGGCGTTTCCTTCCAACTGGCTAAGTGTGCACATCTACCACCACAGATCGACAATAAAGACACTCGAGTACCTTGCTGGCATTTTGCTCGAGTCATTCTTGCCGCATCCTGATGATGCAGAGATTTACAACACAGAGCTGTGGAAAGTCTTCTTCACTGTTCTGCTCAAACTTGTCGGTAGCGATGCTCTTGCGCTTGAGACGTTTCCCGAACAGAAACGGCGTGCGGTGTGGAAGATCGCTGGCGATATTCGAGAGCAAGGAGCTGCTCTTCTGCGGAGGACTTGGGAGTCTATTGGGTGGGAAACTAGCCCTGACGAGCGACAAAAGTACAATTTGACGAAAATGGGCGGCTATCAAGTGCAATATGTTCCCGTGCTTGTTGGGCCAATCGTTGAGTTGTGCTTAAGTGTGCATGAGGGCCTCAGGAGGGTCGCTGTTGAAGTCTTGCAAACGATGATTGTCAGCGAATGGACGTTGAGTGAGGATTTATCGGTCATTCAGACTGAGATGATTGACTGTCTGGACCAATTGTTCAAGTCGAAGCCGTTGACGGAAAGTATTCTACAGAAGCTTTTCATCAATGAGCTTCTTGAATTGTTTGAGCCCCTTGGGCAAGACCCCGACGATCCACTTTACGAGTCGCTCAAGGACCTTATTGCTACGATTGACGAGTTCTTGGATCTTCTGGTGGCGGTTCACAGTAGCGATGTCTCAGGCGAGGCTTCACATATGATTCATCGCTTACGATTGATGGAATTTTTGAGGGACATGCAAAAGGAAGAGATCTTCATTCGCTATGTGCACCATCTAGCACAACTGCAGGCAGATGCGAGGAATCCATCTGAAGCAGGATTGGCCTTGCGTCTTCATGCTGACCTATACGAATGGGAGCCAACCAAGCTCGTGCCTCCCCTGGCAGATCCGGAATTTCCATCTCAAACGCAGTTCGATCGCAAGGAACGGATATACTTTGATATCATCAAGTATTTTGAAGAGGGCGAAGCCTGGAGCAGTGCACTCGATGCGTATCAGGAGCTTCAGCAGCAGTATCAGGAGAATGTCTTTGATTTCCCGAAGCTGGCGAGGACACAGAGGGCAATTGCTACGATTTACGAGACGATTGCAAAGAGTGAGAAGCTGGTGCCCAAATACTTTCGTGTCCAATACAAGGGTATGGGTTTCCCGCCTAGTCTTAGAGATAAGGAGTTTGTCTTCGAAGGCTCGCCTACAGAGAGAACTTCAGCATTTACAGATCGGATGCAAGAACAACATCCCTCGGCCCAGATTGTTACTAATGGAGAGATGGAGGAGGTTGAAGGGCAATTCCTTCAGATATCCACCCTCGCCCCGCATCGAGACTTTGATAACCATGTCTTTCAACGGGCCCGCGTGCCTCAGATCGTGCGCGATTACCTTCTTTCTGCTCACCCGCAGCATTTTGCCGTCACTTCCAAGCGGAACACCTCTGGCCCCGTCGCTGAGCACTCGGCCGAGAAAATAGTCTACACAGTCGCAGATCCATTCCCTACGATTTTACGCCGAAGTGAGATCATAGCCGTTGACCGTATCAAGCTCAATAATCTACAAACAGCATTAGAACGAGTCATCCGAAAGACGCAGGAAATGTCCGTCGTTGAGAAACGCGTTGCAGATGGCGAAGAAGACATGGCGCCTCTCCTCATTGACGCTCTCAACATCTCCGTCAACCCCGCCTCCGACTCCAGCGTCGCGCGTTACAGAGAGCTTCTCCCCACCAAGACCACCGACGAGGACGGCGAAGAGCTTGAAGAAGAAGAAGAAGAGGTAGAACTCAGCCCGCTTGAGAATGCCCTCAAGATTGCGCTCATCGATCACGCAATAATGATCAAACGCTGCCTCTCCATGTTCTCCAAGCACCCGCAAAATTACCGCATCCCGCGCACCTCCCGCGATGAATCTTCTCAAAGTACATCCTACCCCCACTCATTACATCCTAGTCTCCAAGCAAGCATTCTAAAATCCCACACAGACTTCGAAACCACCTTCGCGCCCGAGCTCGCTTCCTTCTCCTTCCCCCAATTCCAACGCAACACAACGCCTGTTCCCGTTTGGGCCGTTGCCAGTCCCGTGCAGAGCTTGGCAATGCCATATAGTAGTACGAATGGTACGATTAAGACGCAGAGTACGGATATTCTCGATCTGTCACTTCCACGAACCGGCGGTGGCGGTGGTGGGGCCGGACCTGGCAAAAACCGCCTCAGTTTCCTAAAGCGCGCGCCCAATTCTAGTATAAGTCAAGAACCACCTGCTCTCGGACCGGTAAATGGCAATGCGACTCGTGGACGTGGTGGCAGTGGTGGTGTAGCGGCGTCGGAGAGTAGTGTGAGCGTGAGATCACGTAGCAAGGAGAATGCGAACCGACGCTCGTTTTTCGGCAGCCCTCCACATGTGCAGCATCCACAGCAAAATGGTACGAGGGGTTCCAACGATCCGGCCGACGAGGAAGCGGGGTGGGTCACCTCCTCTGACCTCACTGCTGGCAGCCCTGGCGGTGAAGATGGAGCCGTGAGGAGGAGCGGGAGTTTCAGGAGGGCAAATACGGCTAGTAGTGGGACTTCGACTGTAGGGAGTCGCGTGGGCAGTGTGAGGAAGAGACTCAGTATGCTGAAGTTGGGGAAGAAGAGTAGTAAGGCTAGTGTTTTGGTGGCGAGCGTGGCGGAGGAGGATTAATGTGTGAGTGGAAGAAGGGAGCGGTCGAGTTGGGTACGTTGGACTTGACTTGAACTCAAACGCGAGGGGAAGGGTGTTTTTTTTTTTTTTTTTACCTGGATATTGAATGATTGATGAGCGCTCGACAGAACTGGAATACCCTTTAGTTGGTTTGATTTGTTTGAATAAGTTTACTGGTTTTTGTGGATAATTACAGAGGTTAATTGATGAATGGAAATGTGTATCTAGTAAAGATTAGTGGGTGGATCGGCAGATGGAGGGGTGGATGGATGGATGTTAGGTGTTGTATAATAGATGGGCTAGATCAGTTCAGATGGCCAGGCTTTCTTGTGTATTGTATTATACTATATAATAATTAACCTTACTCATAAAGGGCAATACTCCGTATAGTATATTAGCCGTTCTTCTTTATATCCTGGTCCACCTTTCATCATCGATCTCTCCGGTCGAGTAAAAGGTGGCGGAACAAGTTCGCGGTATTTGAGGTACGCGCGTAAAGTTTTGAGATATTTCTCGGGACGTATGATCTTTTATGGTATTTATTAGGACGTACGATCTCTATTCCGCTACCTTTTTCTCAACCTAAGAAGGTCAGGTTAGGTTGTTCGAGTGATCTCATGAATCTAGGCGAAGTGAAGCGAAGCGTCAAATACATACTTTGCCTATATAATACACATGTACCTAACCTTAACACCTAAAAATATATAATTTCTCTAAATCTGCGAACCTTAGTATAGTTTAAGAGGCCTTCGAGTTTAATCCTCTATAGATTAGTAGATGTGTTTTCAGCAAAGTTTATATAGAGGGGTAAAAGTCGGGGTAATTTCTAGAGTAGGGCTAGAGATTTTAGCTCTTGATAGTTTAAAATAAACGTTTCTTATCAACAAATCACATGAACACAATCTGGATGGCAGAGCGGTCTAATGCGTGTGACTAGAAATCACATCTCTTCGGAGGCGTAGGTTCAAATCCTGCTCCAGATGGTAACATTCCTTTTTTTTTGCCTTTTTTACCATGTTTTATTTATTTTTGATTAGGCTGGTGATTCTTGCTCAGCCGAGTTTGAACATCGCCCCCTGGAACTCCAGCAAACGGTCGCTTAGATATCAGGTTGAACCACCTGGCTTAACCCTACTAACAAAGGCACACCCCAAAGTCCTATCAAAGGTTTCTAAAATCCCTATATAACGATATCCAAAGAACAGCTACAGTAACTAGCCAGCGAGGATAAGTACTCAAGTCAGCCTTCTTCATTCTAAATCCCGGGCGTGATAAGGAAAGTCTTAATAACTCTCTTTAGTAACATCCTTACCCAATCATAAAGGTTGATTAGGTGAGAACTTTTCTATTTGGGTCGAAAATATACGAGCATAAACTTGAGGGCTCAAGTGAACCTTACTAACATATCTGAGTTTACTATAAAGGTATGGCCCTTCCCTTTTATGATCTCGGCTCCCTTCTAATGGAGCAGAGGATTTCTGATTGCATAAAGTCCTATTTCTCAGGCGCACTCGTTATTTTCGTACTTGAATGACTTGGTCGTAGTAGGATCTTACTTTACTATTTTTCTGAGCAGCATACTCCACTATAATACCGGTATAAGCGATTTCGTAGAGGTCGAGGCATAAGTTAATTGGAAGATCAAGTTCATGTACACATAAGTGAGGATTTTCCGTGGGTGGTTTGAAAGTACTACAATCATAAAAAGCCAGCATGCGTCCCGAGTGTAAAACTGCAAATTGTTTGCAAATAAGACGTTAGGCTGTGACTAGTCAGTTGCTTGACTTTAGATATTAGAAAGCCTGTCATTAGATGACAATTCTGCCCCTAATCGTACGCTTCCCCTCTTTAGTGAACTTCCCTCTTTACAATAGAGTCAGCTTTGCACTTTTTCAATAAACAAATCCGCACCGATGTACTCCAAGCCGTCTACTCATCCCAGATAACACAAACGGGACCAAGCGTACTCCCGCCCTGGCCCCCCTCACTTCCCAGCCCACCAACAACCGCCTCTTTTGCCGGCGCCCCAATATTGCCTGTGGCCACATCTCTTGGCAGCACAATAACCCAACCATCAGCTTGCAGTGCAACCGCAACCATATCACCGAGTCGATTCAGCGCAAACTGGCGGGGCTCGGAGCCGCCTGCAGCCACAGAACTGACGAGCTGCAACTTGCCTGAAGGACCAATAGAGTACGATATTAGCGAGTCAGAGACGATCATTGTACCGTTGAGGGGCGAGGGGATTGTATACGACTTGTCGCCACGGAAAGAGACGATTGCAAAGCGGTTATCGGGCTGTGGGTAGGTGGTTAGCATTTAGGGGAAGAGGCAGAAGCAGTTTGGAAAGGAAAGTATGTACTGAGATAGCAAACTCGGACGGATTTATTCCTTCTACACCTTGAGGGGCAGGGATTGCGCTCCCGTCCGGTCGGATTCGAGTATCTGTCGTCTGGATGTGCGTGAACTCGAGCTCGTCATCGCCGCTGTACGTTACCTTGTACGATTCGATCATGTCAGAGATCTGCCCAACGATATAGAAATAGGTGTCTAGCCCCACGCGTGCAAATCCGCCATGGCGAGGACCAGTGCCAGATGGGACCTGTAGGGGCGTCTTGGCTGTAAGCGTTCGATTGGAGTTGAAGCTAAGGTCTCGGGCGATGGCGAAGATGCGTACCAAGTCCGAACCGAGATCGGGCACCAAGATGAAGGCGCCGGAGGGGTCAGGAATTACCTCGTGTGGAAGTGATACGTTTTGTACAGGGTATGGACCCGGGCCTTGGATGGTTGGGGGGCTGAATGTGAAGGTTTGGGAGGGCTTCAGGTGCTGCGGATCTTTAATCGAGTAGGTTTCAAAGACATTCGAAGAACTGTGGCCATAATGTAAGCATTCAGAAACTGAAACAGCCTTCTTTACAACTTAAGCTTTGGTGAGGTAGGACTTACTAATATGCGGTCCCCAGAAAGTCCCCTCCACCATAGATAGCAGAGTCCGCGGCTTGTTGCGGAGTGGAAATATTATCTAAAGGCGACAAAGATCCATTATTATGTACTTCGAGGGAGAAAAGCTTCCCAGTAGGAAGGCCCAATCCTGGATTATTGCAATACAGCGTATTCTTGTCATCCCCGAGAATTATCCAAGATGGTGGGGATGGTCCATCAAAAAGAGCGCATGCTGTCTATTCTCGGGAATCAGTTCACGAAGCTTATAATATCAAAATATTCTCCAACAGAAAACCAAGGGACTAGTTACCGAGTCTGCTATCTTCTCAAGCGTGGTTCCATTTTGACCATGGTTGAAAACCTCGATGGTTGATATAGTTCCAATGTACGATGCAGCGAAGAGTCGTGTGGCTTCACATCCCAAACCCATAGAGAGATAAAGGAAATATTGTAAAGAGGTTGGAAAACGCATACTTACGAAGTACAGAGGCGCTGGAGGAAGACAAAAAGAACAACTTATGGTAAATAGAAAATGAGAAGGATTATACGCAACCTGATATACTTTTGAACTTTTCTATTTGTTCCTGAATACAATTTTTGCCCTCGTAATCTGATACGCGAAGATCCGACTTCCCGGTGTGTCGGAACTTGAAGTTGCGAGATGACACGTTATTCGGCAGACGTTAACTAGGGCCTTGAAAGCGGCGTTGTTTTAGGCTTCCATAATTTCACTAATTCTAACCCAAAATGTGAATTTATGTTGACTAGGTTCTGAATCCTGATGCTCACAAAATAAATTAGACCCAAAATAGACCAAGGTTCTAACTCAACTTAACTTAGCTCAGTTTACACGCTAGCATTAACTCTAACTAAGGCACATCTTCATCTAGTAAGTACTAACTTATTTCGAAGCGCTCTCTTCGATATGGTATTCTCGAATACAATGGCATTCTTACTAGCGGCGGCCGCGTCAGAGTTGAACTTATACAAGAACAAGATCTTTGAATGCTGAACAATAAAAACACTATCGGTCTATCTCTTTGCCCAATCTGACTATGTATATTCGCTCAAATGCACTACTTCTAGGAAAGTTGAGGATCGTTTAGAGTATTCGCTGAAAGAGATGATGAGCCTTTTCTTTTCATTCAATGAAAAATTTATGTGAGGTGCTCGGTAGCCCCAATAGATGTGCAAGGTATACTCGCACGGAAGCGCCAGATCCCATGGTTTGCAGCGTAGTTCAGTGGAAAGTTTGGCAAAGTGTTTGAACGTCGTATATGGTTTTGCAGGGTTTTTGTAAGCCAGCCTTGAGATGATCTGGGGCCCGCTGCTCTTGTAGAGACCACGATTGCTCATTCTTCTACCGGAAGACGAAGGTGGGGCGGCGACTGGGGACATACCATCCCGGAATTGAGAATGGATTGTTGAATACCAATAATGGAAATGTATCTGAAGCCGAGCCTGAGTCCATAATTCCAGGGGTGGTTGGGTGGAGTTTGCTCACTTGGGCAAAGTGGTTTGAATATATGTTGTATCAGCAGATCGAAGAACACTCTAATAACAATTGATGGCAAGGTAGGGAAATTGTCCGATGCCTCCTTTTCATTTTGTAAGAGTAAATCAGGTTTGTGTGAATGTTTTCTAGACATTAGAAGAAAATGATTAGCCTGCATTCGGTAATGGGAGCGAAAAGAACAGGCGATGAGGAATCCGGAATCTTTAAGTGCAAGGAGTCAAGACTGCACGAATGGACTGGAATCTATTATGTATGTGAATTTCGAAAACAATAATGTTATAGCTGAAAATATGTTTCAAAAATGTCTTGGTTAAGTCAATAGTAAGTCTGGTGTGTTAGTAGTCTCGCTTAGAAATAGGGGCAATGATCTCTAATAATATGCTGCAAACCAGACGTGTTCTAGGCAGACAAACTAAGAAACATAATAATACCACGATGTATCGGCGAAGGAATAATTTGGTGCATTTGCGTACCTCCGTAGAACTTCTACGGGAAAAAAGAGGATCTCACTATCCTTAAGTTTTAATTAGCTGCAGGCTTGCTAAATGGAAGAATATTATAGCGATTTGGACTCAACGTTGTATTCCAGGACAACTAAAGAGCTAAGTTCTAAGTATAGAAAGGGCCTCTTATAGACCAGAGGGTACTGCATCCAATAATGCAACAAATTGTACTGAAAGTAACCCTGTACTTAATCCCTGGTGACAATACTTTTATCCTATAATTGTGGGCCCTTGACCTGCAGGTGCAGGCCGGGGGGTCAACCACCGTGCAAACTCTCGTGAATTTAGCCTAATTTCCTGTGTTGGCTTGAGGAGCTTCGCCGAGGTCCTACACTTGTAGTTATTGGCGCTCGCACCTCGTGTGACGAAAGAGAATATCTATCTTATTGCCAGCTCAGACGCTAACATGGCTTCATTCTTTGGCTCAAAGCATGCGGCTCCAGCTCCAGGTGATCGAGTGCGGCCCCTTCACTTCTTCGAGGACAGTCTGCTGGTCCAGGGTAACAATATGGCTGTATCACTTGTCTTCAATGAAGTCCTTGATCCAGAAAAACTCCGGCAAGCCCTCGAGAGCCTGGTTAAGCGGCCTGGCTGGGAACGATTGGGCGGTAGACTGAAAACGAATGTAAGCCCCGTTAGATCACTATCAGCCTTTATTAGAGGTTTTGAGGCCCTTTCAAGCTTAAGTATGATTCGTATTCTAAGACTCACACGTTCCAATGTAGGCTTCCGGTAAAATCGAGTGGCATATCCCGGTCAACTTTACCGCCGAACGACCCGCAATCACCTTTGTCTACGTCAACCACGGTGTTCCTGCTGCTTCTCATCCAGCAGCGTCAAAAATCCCGAAGCCATCCACTAAGCCTGCCGTCGTAGGTGACCCGGATAATCTAGCGGATATAGCCTGGGAGCCGGGGTATAAGCCGAACGGCATCAAGGACTACCTGAATACTGACCGCCCGGTCTTGGGCTTAAGGGTGAACTCTTTCGACGATAAGACCATTGTAACCCTTCAATGGCAACATGTCACCTTCGACGCGCTTGGTATGCAATATGTAGTTGAGTCATGGTGTGCCATGCTTTGGGGCAAGGTATCTGACATTCTCACTCCACTCAGCCCCGACTCGGACCCATTCGACGTACTTGCGCAAGGCACAAGACCTGCGAGCGAACAACACGTCTTAGCTGATAGACAGGTAGGACTCGGGGGCATGCTGAGGTGGGGGCTAGGGTACGGTGTAGATATGTTTGTTCGGGCCAAGGAAAATCGCATAGTTTGTGTGCCAGAGTCTTATTGGCGGCCGCAGTTAGAGAAGGCTTTAGAGGAACTTCGAGCTGAAGCTGTTGCTAATGGTGAGGATGTGGCGAAAGTATTCTTGACCGAGAACGACGTATTAACGGCCTGGATTCTTCAATCTACCGTACGCCAAATGGCGCCGAATCCAGAGCGGCTAGTGAGTGCATCGGCATTGATATTTATATTGCCCCTTCCCGTATATATAGTACGCGCTAACTGATATTACTCTTTTAAGGTTGCTGCATCTATAGCCATGTCTCTTCGCAAGGCCTTTGAGGGAGACTTGATCCCTTTTGCTGCTCGGCAACCATACGTGGGCAATGCCTTTGGCTGGGCTAATGTGCTTGTTCGCGCAGGCGACGTTGTCTCTAAGCCACTAAGTTGGCTCGCATGCCAAATCCGCAGTGCCATCAACCAACAGGGTACTCGTGCTCAACATGAGGCCTACTATTCCATGGTGCGCTCGTCAGGAATCGGCCTACCTATTGTGGTTTTCGGTGATGGTGGGATGGCTCAAGTCGGGTTTTCGAATTGGTCCAAAGCAGGTCTCTTCGACTTAGACTTTGCGCCGGCTCGGAAAGACTTGAGAAACAATAATCAGCCATGCAGACCTTCATACGTGCAGGAAAATCATGGCCCTGTAAAGCCAGTTGATGGTTTCTTCATTCTTGGAAAAGACTCTCAAAGTAATTACTGGACCTCAGCGTACAAGGTAAAAGGTTCGTGGGATAAGTTCCAAGAGCAACTCGACAAGGCTTTTAAAACTTGACCTAGAGCTAATTTATAGAAATTAAATGCTCGCAAGGTGGACTTGTGAAGGTTTATAATGTGATTTTAACCCCCAGATCTTACAAAAACTCTATAATTGAAATAGGTCCCCCTGCGGTATAATGCAGCAAAGAGGAGTAAGACGCATCATAGAAGATTATATAATATATTACTATACATGCATTAGGCGTATATCTTAGTATAGGATAAAGTGCATCACTGTCTGCTTAGTTACTACTTAGTCATATAATGACTAATC